TGCGAGGTTTGCTGATGTTTCCAGCATATACACCTCGAATAATCAGTCAACGACTGTATTATGATCTATTTTCAATTCTCGTTCACTAAATGTATAGAAGACGTTAATACTTTTCATTAATTCTTCACAATTTGAGAAAATATTCCAAGTTGCAAAGCTACTATAAAGCCATTATTTCCTCACTCCACTAAACATTTAACTTAAAAGTTCACTTGTCTATAAAAGGGCAAACAAACAAAAACAGACAGACAAACACTTCTCGATTATATAATAAGATGACATATGATGATGACATGTCGGCAAAAAATTTTCCGCAATGTAATAATGACCTTTCTATGAGAAAATTATATTATATTACGCCCCTTAATGGGAAAAGTATGTGTATTGTATTATGAAAAAAATTTTTCACATGTCTATTACAAGAATAAAAAATTAATTTGAAAAAAATTCTCTCAAAGAGAAATCTCTCAAAGTACAAGAGATTTTTTCGTAATTTTTATTTTTTATTTTCGTAATTCGGAATTTTTTCCGGTATCTTCGTAACCATAATTCGTAACCCAAAAAATTCGTAACCCTCATACGAAATATTTATTACGGAATAGTTTGCCCTATGTCATATTATTTAAATTCAATATTAAAGGAAAATTTATCATTTTTGAATAATTAGTAGACATAAAATTAATATTTAAAATTATTTTTTAAATAAATTAATTTATAATGAAACTTGATTGTCTATTAATAATTTTAATCTTCAATGCGATATTATGGAGTTTAATTAATTCTGTTAAAAATAATAAAGATAAAAATGAGTTAACTAGAGTTGAGGAGACCTCAAAGGATTTAACTAAGATGTTTAACGATGCGGCAGAATCTTCGGTTCAAAAATCTGAAGGGACATTAAAACCAATTGAAAATAAAGGCAAAAGAATAATTAATAAAGAAAGGAGGAGGGAAATTAGCCGAAAGTACTACCAAAATAATAAGGAAAAAATTCGAGAAAGAAAACGCATTTATCATCAAAATATTAAAGAAAAGAAGCGAGATTATGATCAAAAATACTACCAAAATAATAAGAAAAAGATTAATCAGAAAAGGCTAGAATATAATCGAAAATACATAGAAAATAACAGAGAAAAGAAGCAAGAATGGAATCGAAAATACCGAGAAAAAATGCAAAATAAACAAGCAAGTTTACAAAGTGTTTTTTCTAGGGAAAGTAATGTTCATTCTAATAATGGAGAAACTTCTTTAGCTGATACACAGAATGATAATTTTGGAAATAAAGGTAAATTGCCAATCGTTTACGAAGAGAATATTCAGTTTGAAGGAAATCCTTCTAATAAAGAGGAGGAAGAAAGTAAAGACGAAACAGAAACTTATGTGGATGAGCAAAATCAAACTGTGGTAGAAAATCCAAATAAAATTCACGAGAATTGCATGAATCAGATAGATTTGAATGAATATCCTTTTGATTTGAACGAGAAACCTGAGAACGAAGATGAAGATGTTTGTTAAAAAAGAGATATATTTGAAAAACTTTAGACGACTTTGTATAAACTTTCGATCATTCCTATCAGAATTTCATTTTTCATTACCTCTTTCAAGTCTGTATGGGTTTCGATTTTGGGTATTTTCTCAAATTTCTTAAATATTTATCAGACTGCACTTTCATTTCAATGAGAAATATATTGCTTGTTAATACAAAATATAAATATAATTTGCACTATTTTCATTTAAATATATTAATTGTTTAAATACAATATTAAATGCACTTTCCTTTAATTTAGACATGCACTTTTTATTTTTTATTATAAAGTGTAGAATAATTTTCCCAATGTGTTTTTCCATCTACATTGCTTATTTAAATTCAATAAATTAAATTAATTATCTTGGTTAATTAGTAGTACATAAAATAATATTTTAAATAAATTTTTAAAAATTAATTTATGATGAAACTTGATAGTATTTTAATAATTCTAATCGTCAATGCGATATTTTGGAGTTTAATTCTGCTAAAAATAATAAGGATCAAAATGTGTCAACTAAAGTTTCAAAGCAACTAAAGCCCTTATTTCCTCACTCCACTAAACATCTACTTAAAAGCCCACTTGTCTATAAAAGGACAAACAAACAAAAAACAGACAAATTTGAAAAAAACACCACATATTTTTTCTCGTAATAATGCACTTTATTTTCGCTGGGAAAATTATATTTTATTGCGAAACATGTAAATATGTTTACTATTTTCGGATATAGTTTAGTCGAGGGCCCGCTCCAAACCGGGTCGAAACATATGTCATTCGATTCGTCTCGGCGAGCTGAGTCGAATGGTACCACTCACTAAGTGCGGAAATGCCTGTGGACCGAGATATAGGTCCCTGAAATTTGAAAAACCATAGGGGGGAGTAAGCTGAATTTTGGGGTGAAAAATTCGATTTTTTGTATGATAGCTCATTCGAAAGAGCTCCTCGAGCTGAGTCGAAAGACGCCAAAATCACTGTGATTGGACAAGTTTGGGCCGAGATATAGGGCTCGAAATGGTCAACTTAAACCTATGGAGCATCGGCGAGGCGCTTGTGCAAAACCCCGCGCTTCGCGCGGGGTTTTGCGGCACGCGCCTCGCGGGGAGTCTACGGGCGCTGGGTCTGGGCTCGTAACCTAATCCTATTCCTTTTTACCGATTCTCAGCTTTGAATGCCGACCTACCCTCCGTAGCAGCACAAATAGTTATTCGCGCGAAAGTTAAGTTGTTCATAATTTTGTTCAGAATCATCGGATCGAGCTGATTTTGGTGTCATTTATCTCAGCTCGTCGAGCTCTTTCGAATGAGCAATCATTTGTATATTCAAATTTTTGACCCCTAAAATCGCCCTATGTGTTTTGACCATTTTGGGCCTCTATCTCGGTTCAAAATTTAGATCTAGAGCTGATTTTGGTGTCATTCGACTCAGCTCGAGGAGCTCTTTCGAATGAGCTATCATACAAAAAATCGAATTTTTCACCCCAAAATTCAGCTTACTCCCCCCTATGGTTTTTCAAATTTCAGGGACCTATATCTCGGTCCACAGGCATTTCCGCACTTAGGGAGTGGTACCATTCGACTCAGCTCGCCGAGAAGAATCGAATGACATATGTTTCGACCCGGTTTGGAGCGGGCCCTCGACTAAACTACAGCCCTATTTTCACCTATGCATTGTTTAAGTTCAATTCTACATTAAAATTATAATTTTTGGTTAATAAAATATTTTAAATAAAATTTTTTAATTTAGAATGAAGCCTCTTAGTATTATTATAATAATTATCATATTAAATGCGGTATTATGGAATTTGATTGATTCTGTTAAAAATAATAAAGATAAAAACGAGTTGACTAGATTTGGGGAAACCTCAAAGGATTTAAATAAAATGTTTAACGATGAAGCAGAAGCATCGGCGGATCCTCAAATTAGAAAAGATAAAGAAACGGTAAAACCAGAAATTAGAAAAAATGGCAGTAATAGAAAGGAATACATGAAAATTTACCGGAAAAATAATAAAGAAAAGAGGCGAGAATACATTCGAAATTACTACCAAAAATCTAAAGAAAAAATGAGAAAGTTCGCGTAATTACTATCAAAATAACAAAGAAAAGAGGCTAGAATGGGATCGAAAATACCGTCAAAACAATAAGGAAAAGAGACGAGAAACTAATCGAAATTACTACCAAAATAATAAAGAAAAGGAGCGAGAACGGAATCGGAAATATCGAGAAAGTAGGAAAAATAAAAAGGCAGATTTACAAAATGTTCATTCTGAAGGAAGAAACGATCATTCTGATAACAATGAAGGAACTTCTTTTGTTCGGCATGATTTTAGAGATAAAGGTAAATTGCCAATCGTTTACGAAGAGGGAATTCAGCATGAAGAAGGAAATCTTTTTAACCAAGATGAGGAAGAATGTGGAGAAAAAGAAACCAATTTGGATGAGCAAAATAAAAATGTGGTTGAAGAGGCAAACATAAATCAGATAAATTTAAATGAGAAATATTATCCTTTTGACCTGAACAAGAAACCTGAGGGCGAAGATGAGGGTTTTTATTAAAAAAGAAATTATTAAAAAAATAACGCTTTTAAATTATTCAGAGTAGATTAAAAATTGTAAACATTAAACAAAATTGTATAAACTTTCGTGCATTTACCTATATCACAATTTTACGTTTCAATTATATACTAAGTTGCGGTGTTTTTTAGACGTTCGGATGCATTTTGCTTCACCCGAGTCTGTATGGGTTCGGCTTTGGGCCTTTCTTTCAAACTTTTTAAAAAATTATCACGATGCACTTTCATTTCAATGATTGTTTCAATGGCGGGAATGCACGTGAATGAAGTTTGTGTGGAGCATTACTTTTATTGATTTTTATTTAATCTTTTCCCTCTCTTCGTTTGCAAATATATATTTTTTATTTTAATTTTTGCCTTTTTTTAATTTGCAAAATCAGCCCATCTTTCATAATTGGGCTGCAACAATTTATCATTTTTGATTAATTAGTAGAAAATAAATTGATATTTTAAATCAATTTTTAAAATTAATTTAGAATGAAACTCGATAGTCATTTACTTGTTTTGAGATATGTGTATATGTGTGTGACTAAATATTTGTTAATTGCTGACTTTAATTTTAATTTACAGAAATTTATTTCTGTTGATTTTTAATGTCAATTTTCAATGTTTTAAACAATCGAATCGACTTGTCATATACACCTTAGAATCGTCTGTTGATTTTTCTCTAATTAAGAAATGGAATATTTTGTCCTTACTAATGTCTACGGAAGTGCATTTTCTTAATGCACTTCAGTCTCAATGAGAAAAGTACATGTAATTTGTTATGAAATAAAATTACACAATGTATTTTCCCTTTATATTGCTTACTTAAGGTAATATTACATTTAAATTTAACATTTTTTGTTGATTAGAATTAAATAAAATTAATATATTAAGTAAATTTTTAAAATCTATTGAGGATGAAACTTTTCGGTATATTAATAATTTTAATCTTCAATGCGATATTATGGAGTTTAATTAATTCTGTTAAACAAAACAAAGGAAAAAATAGACTTGAGGAAGCCACAAAGGATCGAACTAAGGGCGATGGGGCGGAATCTTCTGTCAAACCTCAATTTCAAAAATATGAAGAAATCACCAAAAAGAACACAAGTAAAGATAATGAAAAAAAGTTGAAAAGAAGTGAATATATGAAAATTTACCGTCAAAACAATAGGGGAAAAAATCGTGAATATAATCGAAAATATAGAGAAAATAATAAAGATAAAACTCAAGAATATGGTAGAAAATACCGTCAAAACTATAAAGAAAAGATTCGAGAAACTGATCAAAATAAACAGGAAAAGATGATAGAATATTTTCGAAAATACCGTCAAAACAATAAGGAAAAGAAGCGAGATTATGATCGAAGATACTACCAAAACAATAAGGAAAAGAAGCGAGAACGGAATCGAAAATACCGAGAAAGTAGGAAAAATAAACAAGCAGGTTTACAAAATGTTCATTCTGATAACGGAGAAACTTCATTTGCTAATACACAAAATGATATTAGAGATAAAGGTAAATTTCCAATCATTTATGAAGAGAGCATTCATCATGAAGAAGAAAATATTTCTAATCAAGAAGAGGAAGAAAGTAACAAAAACGAAATAGAAACTTATGTGGATGAGCTAAATCAACAAGTGGTAGAAGATCCAAAGAAGATTACTGAAAATTACACGAATCAGATAGATTTGAATGAAAAATATTACCCTCTTGATCTGAACGAAAAACCTGTGGGCGATGATGTGGACGTTATTTAAAGAAATTGCTAAAATTTTCAAAGACCCTATTAAAGAATTTCATAATTTTAAACAACTTTGTAGCAAACAGTATAAAATTTTCAAGCATTCATCGTCAGAAATTTAATTCTCTATAAAATCCGAAGGTGCGGTGTCCCTTAAGAGAATTTGACTAACACTTTATAAAATTGAGCAGTCAGGAAATTAGTGAATAAAATTTTGACGAATTACTCTTTGCACCACCACGGCTTGTTTAAAATAAAATAAAAATTTTGAGTCATTATTTAAACTCGTATAAATAAATTTGATTAATAGATGATTTGATTTCTATACTTATTCTATATTTAAATTCATTGGTTAATTTAATATTATTATTTGATGATCTATCGGAGCCTAAAGATCAAGGATTTAAGTTATGATTTGCTTTGTAAAATATTCCGTAACTAAAATCAGTCTTTTCTCGATAGTGCCGCCAAATATCCAAATTTGTGGTAAAAATCTGCCACAGTTGTTTTAACGTCTTGTGAAAAGCGACTCATGTAATTCAAAAATAGTATATAGTTTTGTATAGCTTTTGTTGATTATTATTTGAATAATAATTTAAATTTTTGTGTAATATGTCTTATCTTTAATTCCCATTCGCCTCAATTATATTTAAATATTCTTTATTAAAAATGTTAGCCTTTTTAAACTTTCCCTCACCCTTTTCCTTCAAGCTTATGATTAAATTTATCAAACCTTTCCTTCTTTGTTTATTTTAAATATGCACTTTCCCAAGCATATTTATTTTATGACTTAATATTTTGTCCTTCTTATGTCTACGGAAGTGCAATTTTGTAATGCACCTCCGTCTCAATGAGGAAAGTACATGTAATTTGTTATGAAATAAAATTACACAATGTATTTCCCTTTATATTGCTTACTTAAGTCAATATTACATTTAAATTTAACATTTTTTATTAATTTTAAGTAAATAAAATTAATGATTTAAATAATTTTTTTAAATTAATTTATGATGAAACTTGATAGAATATTAATAATTTTAATCTTCAACGCGATATTTTGGAGTTTAATTAATTCTGTTAAAAATAATAAAGAGAAAAATGAGTTAGCTAGAATTGGGGAAACCTCAAAGGATTTAACTAAAATGTTTAACGATGGGGCAGAATCAACGGTTGATTCTCAAATTCAAAAATATAAAGGAACGGTAAAACCAGAAATTAGAAAAAATGGCAGTAATAGAAAGGAATATATGAAAATATATTGGCAAAATAATAAGGAAAAGAAGCGTGGATATGATCGAAAATACATCCAAAATAATGAAGAAAAAAGGCGAGAAACTGTCCGAAATTACAACCAAAATAATAGAGAAAAGAGGCGAGAATATTATCGAAAATATAAAGAAACAATAAAGAAAAGATTCGAGAAAATGAACGGAATTACCGTCAAAATAATAAGGAAAAGAGGCGAGAATGGAATCGAAAATATCGAGAAGATAATAAGGAAAAACTGGCAGAATACCGTCAAAACAATAAGGAAAAGAAGCGAGAAAGGGACCGAAAATACCGAGAAAGTAGGAAAAATAAAAAGGCAGATTTACAAAATATTCATTCAGATAATGGTGAAACTTCTTTTGCTAATACACAAAATAATTTTGGAAATAAAGGTAAATTACCAATCGTTTATGAATTGGGCATTCGGTCTGAAGAGGAAAATCTTTCTAATCAAGGAGAGGAAGAAGGTAACAAAGACGAAGCAGAAACTAATGTGGATGAGCAAAATCAATCGGTGGTTGAAGTCCAAAAATCCAAAAATGCTTCCAAACAAAATCCAAAAATGCTTGTTCGTTCTGACAATAATGGTGAAGGAGGAACTTCTAATCCACAAAATGATAATTCTAGAAATAAAGATAAAATTCCAATAATTTACGAAGCTAGGATTCAATCTCAAGAACGAAATCTTATTTATCAAGAGGAGGAAAGAGAAACTAATATGGATGAGCAAAATCAAACGTTAGTAGAAGAGCCAAACAAAATTCCCGAGAATTGTACGAATCCGATAAATTTGAATGAGAAATTTTGTCCCTTTGATCTGAACGAGAAACCTGAGGACGAATATGAGGACGTTTATTAAGAAAGACGTAAATTAAGAAAGAAAAGATTTTAAAATTGGAAAGTAATTAATCTTTTATAAATTTAAACAACGTCGCAATAAAAAATATAAAATTGCCCTTTATATTTGTCGCGAAATGCGACATTTGCATTATATTTTTTGGCCCTTTTCTCCCTTGTCTTTTTGTGGAAATATTTTTGTTTTTTTTAATTTCTATTTTTAATCATGCGTAATCAAATACGCATACTTCGTTCAAATTCTTCCAATTATTTATTGCACTTTGTATATTTTTGCTATTTTTATGTTAAAACCCTCCCGTTTTTTACTCTATTTAAACGTTAGGAATTTAGAGTTTGTTGTGTATGGGCGTCAGCCTTTAAAGTGTATACTATAAAAGCCAGCCATTAGTTAATTCGAGAGTCTCTTCACCTGTCCATTCTTCCTACCAACCTTCATTGTATTTCGTTCGTGTGATAAAGCATTTGTTATCGTCCTCTACGTAAGCGGGGTCGTAACAGAGTTTATCAAAGTTTATCTTGTAAATTCTCAGAAATAAGAGTCTGTTTAGATTCTCAAGAGCTTTTCTAATTGTAATAGATTTTGTTTGAATAAAAGTTGAGTAACTTTTGATTTGTTTTATTTAAAATAAAGAATTGAACTTAGAACTTAAAGAGTTTGATCTAAGTTTTCTAAGTTTAGAATTCTTTGACTAAGAGTTTATTGTGTTTCTATTCTAATTAAATTTGAGTTTTCTAGAGATTTTCTAGAATTTTATTTATAAAGTTTGGATTGTATAAAAAGATTTAAATAAAGTATATTATTTGTGAAACTTTTTAAATAGGATTTAAGTTAAATTTTAACTTGAAGATTCTTTTAAAATATTGCGTAATATTTTAATTATTGAATAAATTTGATTTTTAAAGAAATTGATTTTGAATAGAAAAGAAAAGAGTAAAAAGAGTTTATTTGAAATTTTATTTGTTTTTGCGACAATATTTTCCACTTTTCTGTTTAAAATAAATTAAAAATTACTTTTGCGTCCATAACGTTCTGTGAATAAAGGAGTTAAAATTGTGCCTGAAATTTTTTTATTTATTTTAAAATTATCCCATATTTAATGTGCATAAAAAGATTATATTCCCTTATTAAAAATATTTTTGGGTTGTAATTTTTTGTTTTTTGAACCAAGGAAACGTTTAGTACCGTAGATAACCGGAACTGAAGAACCTTAGATTAACTTCAACTAAAAAGCATTGGTCTGAGTTTTCCTTTGTTTTATAGTGAAAATGAAGACGAAAAAATAAAATTTTCTACCAAACAAATAGCCAATAAACCAAATATTGAGAAGCAAAGACCAATACCTCAAAAAATATTTTTTTAATTTGAAACAAAATTTAAATTGACCAAGTAAATTCCCATACAGTTAAAACACTTCCTCGCGCAATATAAGAATTATTAATGAATTCTCTATGGAATAAATGAATTAGAAAAATTTTAAATAAGTAAGATTTACCTAAACGAGTCTCCTATAAATTAAAATAATATTTTTGGGAATAATATTAAAATTTAAATACCAGCAGTGTTAGGATATGAAGAGGAATAGCCTTCCTAATAAAAAAATAAATTTTGGGGTGAAAATATTTTTTGGAGATTTAAATTAAAAATTTTTAATGATAAGAAAAATTCCGAGAAAAAATTTTTTAATAGAGAATTTTTAAGAAATCAAAAAAAAATTCAAAAAATTTTTTTAAAATACCAGAAAATTAGATAATGCAGCGACGGCAGCTATTAAACCAATAATTCTTGAAGGACTTCCTCTAAAATTAAAAAAATTGCAGCTTGATATTGTAAAGCTGCCAGATACTTTATTAGTAGCACCGGATGGTTAATAGAATCCTATACAGATGACGATCCATCCTGTAGGCCTGGGTAGAGGAAATAGGCCCTAGTTCCGTCAAGAAACACGATGATTTAGTTTACCCCGCAAGGTAAGTGAAAAAGTGGGAAGAGGGCATAGACTAGAGTCAGTCTTCCCTGGGGATGGATGTGTAAAGCATATAGTCTAGCTGCTTGACTATCAATAAGTGGATTTTTAAAATTTTAATAAAATTTTAAAAATTTTATTCACCTTGGGGCCAGCATTATATGGAAGGAAGAACAAAAATTGTTGATTACTCACTTCCTCAATAAGTGATCAATACTGAATATTTTTAAATGTCAATTTTAAATATTTTAAGGTCTTGATCTTTAAATTTTTAAACTTTTAGCTTTAGTTAAACTAAAAAATGTAAAGAAGACAAATAAAAGTGTTAGGAAACGAAAAGGATTTAAAGAAATATTTCGGTTACTTTAAAGAATAAGTAAACAAACCAAGCTTAAAAAGCTAATTACAAGTAAATTAGGTAATAATTATCTAGGGATCGGATCGCTACGAAATATCGGACAAAAATCGGTAATAGTTTGGTTTAGACTAGAGACCGGCACGGGACCCCGTACGGGATTTTACGGGATCCCGTCCCGGAATCCCGGGTTTTTAGACAAACGGGATTACCGGGATTTACGGGATTAATCCCGCGGGATCCCGTCCCGGTCGAATTTTAAAAACGCAATCCCGTTCCGGGATCCCGTGAATGCGATTTTGCCGGATTCTAGTTTAGGCCCCCTGATTTTTTCTGTTCTCTGACCATTTTGAGCTTTTTTGCTAATCTATAGTCTTATAGCAACGAAAGAGCTCCTCAAGCTAAGGTCGAATAACACCTAGATCGGTTAGGTGCTTATGAATAGAAAGCTGAATTGAAAGATGAATTATGAAAGCCGAATTCTCCCTAGAAAGAATCTTTGTGTCGCTCCAAAGGATTAAAACAAACGGTCATAACTTTGTTGATTTAAGTCAGATTATACTGAATACTAGTCGACTCATCCTAAAGATCTAAAAATATATAATTTGGCATAATAGCTGCAAATGAAATTAAGAAAATACAGAGGGAGGGGGAGTCTGAAACAAAATACTAACCAAAAATCTCTATTAAATAGAATTTTCTAGGTGTCTCTTGCGAGACTTTCAGTCTAATCTTCAATAATATATCCATTAACAAGCTGATAAAAGAGAAATAAAAAAGAATTTTTAAAAATTTATTAAAACCAAAAAACACTGAAAAAATTGAAAAAATAAACAAGGAATGATGAAAAATTAACAAATAATCTCCTTTCTGTAGGGTGCAAGAGAATAAAGTTGATAAAATCAATAGTTATGCTGTTAAAAATGGAAGTGACTGTCATTCACGTGTAGTTAAACCAATTTTATGCAAATTCTTTGACTAAAGATCGAAGTTTTGTCTTATTTTTGTATTTAAAACAACTCGCAAAATAAAAAGACTACTTTGGCATTATGTTTAATTAAATGACTTTTTATCCCAAAATTTATTAAAATTGAAATAGTGTGTAAAATGAAGAGAGACAAGAGAAATTCACTTCAAATTCTTTGATTTCTACTTTTCTTCAAGACTTTCTCGAGACTGCGAATCATTTGACAAAAACGTTTCAGGCGCTTTGGTGCAGTTAACTTGGCACAGTTTAAACTAGAGTACGTCCGAATTGAGCGAGTTCGAATTTACTCGACTCGACCGCTCGGGTTTTTGCGTCATTACTCGGACTCGGAACTCGGGGTTTTCAAACTCGGCATTACTCGAAATCGGTTTTTTCCCAATTACTCGGTACTCTACGTACACTAGTTTAAACCCTTAAAAAATTTTTTAATTTATCGCAATGCACTTTCTTTCAAAAGAGAAATGTACTTTATATTTTTATTATGAAATGTAAAATAATTTTCCCAATGTACTTTCACCTATATTGCTTAATTAAATTAAATCAAATTAAAATATATCATTCTTGGTTAATTTTAATGATATAAAATTTTATTTTAAATTAATTTTTAAAATTAATTAATGAGGAAACTTGATAGTATTCTAATAATTTTAATCTTCAATGCGATATTTTGGAGTTTAATTAATTCTGTTAAAAATAATAAAGAGAAAAATGAGTTAAGTAGAATTGGGGAAACCTCAAAGGATAACGATGGAGCCGAATCATCGGTTAATCCTCAGATTCAAAACAATGAAAAAATGTTAAAACCAAAACCTAAAATTACAAAGGGCACAACAAAAGATAATCAAGAAGAAAAAAAGTTTAATAAAAGTGAATATATGAAAATTTACCGTCAAAACAATAAAGAAAAGATAAAAGAATCTGATCGAAAATACCGGGAAAATAATAAGGAAAAAAGACGAGAAGTTGACCGCAATTATTACAAAAATAACAAAGAAAAAAAGCAAGAATATTGCCAAAAATACCGAGAAAATAATAAAGAAAAGATTCAAGAATATGGCCGAAATTATTACCAAAACAATAAAGAAAACAGGAAAGAATATGAACGAAAATACCGTCTAATTGCAGGTAATAAAGAAAAGAAGAAAGAATATCATAGAAATTATCGAGAAAATAATAGAGAAAAGAAGCGAGAATCTGATCGAAAATACCGAGAAAAAAGGAAAAATAAAAAAGCAAATTTACAAGATCCAAGAAATGTTCATTCTGACAATAATGGTGAAGGAACTTCTTTTGCTAATACACACAACGACGATGTTAGAAATAAAGGTAAATTGCCAATCGTTTACGAAGAGGGCATTCTGTCTGAAGAAGAAAATCTTTCTAATCAAGAGGAGGAAGAATGTGAAGAAACAGAAACTAATGTGGATGAGCAAAATCAATCGGTGGTTGAAGAGGCAAACATGAAACAGATAGATTTAAATAAGGAATATTATCCTTTTGATCTGAACAAGAAACCTGAGGGCGAAGATGAAGACGTTTGTTAAAAAGAAATAAATTTGAAGAAAAAAATGATGTTAAAATATTCAAAGTAAATTAAAGAATTGTAAAACTTTAGTCAACATTGTATAAAATTTTGAGCATTCCTATTTTCTGTTATGCCCTAGGTGCGTTGTCTAAAAATCTACAGGAATGATTCGGCTAAGGATGGCATCATTTATAAAAAAATATTTAAATTAATTTAAAAAATCAAATATTTATTAATAATAGTTGATGCTTCTCCTGTCGCAGACCCGAGGGCCTGCGACGTAAGTTTGGCAAGATGCCGCCAAAGATGAGTAGACGTTGGATCCAGGAAATTGGCCATTTGGTTTTGCCGGGCTTGCTGGTGCCTATGAGTCGGGGAGAACCCCTAAACTCGGGAATTTAGTCGTTGAGGCCACCTAAAAGTTTATTATGGGGCGGGAAGACTCGTTATATTTTATAGAAGGTACTTAAGAATTAATTTCTAATTTTAATTTAAGAATAATTACTAATTAAGAAATAATAATAATTTATTTAAATTAAAGAAATACAAATAATTAAAAGCATAAAATAAAAATATAAATTTATTTACAAAGGAAGGGGACAAGAAAAAGGGAAGGGGAGAAAGGGGAAAATAGATATTTTCTTTTATTCCCTCTACATCCCAGAACTGAGCAGTTAAACTGAACAGTCAAACTGAGCCGCTAAACTGAGCATATTTGTGGAGAGTCTTCTTTTCTTAAATAGACCAGGCCAGCGCATGCAGAGTAGTCGCGGCTGTGTGCATTCCCACCATTGAGCAAAGGCCGCTTCTCAGAGAGTGAGCGACATAGCCAGTTGATCAGAAGAGCCAGTTGATCAACAATAGAATTAAAGTCGTTAACTCTGAGAGTTTCGACATAGCGGAAGTTAATCCATTACTAGAAAGGTTAATAGTCACAAACTCTGAGAGATGTGACTCGACTATAAAGCTTTCCATAAATGTTTGTATGAGAAAGTCAATCGCTCGAAGAGAGATTGACAATATTTATTGTAGTCTAGCGGGAGCATTTCACAACAAAATGTCTTTCCTGAAGGTCGGGACCGGGTATAGTGTATCAAATATACGGGAGAAAAACAATTCCCATACGCCTCGATAACAATCAGGGAAAGGAAATAATATTTCCCAATAAAGCAAGTGCTTTCATTGTCGGGTCTCCGACACACTCCCCCCTTTCGAGAAGATGCCAATTCCATATTGTGCCCGTTGTATCGAAATTCCGCGTAGATCAATTTAAAAGACTTTGTCCCTTAAACTTGTCGAAGAGGATCAGCAGAAGCTAAACCTCAAAATAAACTCAACTTCGAAATTTTCCTTTTATTTATTTCTATTTGAAATTATTTTTTGTCGGTTTTGTCAACCACATGAAGTTTCCCCAAATGTCCGAGAACATAGTTAAACGGACAAATTTCCAATTTCTAGTATATCCTTTGAAGGGAATGTTGTTTGATTGACCATGTTGTCTATCCATTTATGGATGCTGCAGAAGACTTCAAGCAAAGATCCACTTTCTATCTTCTCCCCCCTTTCGAGGAGTAGAATATAAGAATATTTTTATATTGGTTTTCTGTTGTTTTAAAAAACAAATACTTTACTTGTTTTATTTATTCTCGTCGAAGTTGTAGATGAAAGTTTCAAGTCAATCCATTTGCTCAACTGTTCGATAAGCGGAGCTTCCGAACTTCAATTAGCTATATTTTGTAAGCATGCAAACCATGAATTGATTGAACATACAAACATAAATTGTGGCGTAATTTGTCCGAATTTATTAGATGTAAATTACAATGAATCCCTTTTTATTTGTCCACACATTTGAATGTATAGACTGAAGTTCCCAAGTCACAACTATTGATTAGCACAATCACGAGTTCTATCTATTACTATTGTTGTCTTTCTGAATCCGGTAAGCGTAGCTTCCGGACATGTTGTTTGGGTCATTCATCTATTCCTTTTCGGTTGAATTCTTTTGTCTGCACGAAGCGAGCTGTGAAGACGTACAATTTAATTTTCCATTCTTTTCCGTTGGTGAATCTTTTTGTCAACCAGGTGAACTGTTGACTACAATTTAAAATATTATTGTTACGTTCGTCTATCTGAACCAATGAATGTGATGAAGTACAATTTTGATTAACTGGTTCAGTTGTGGTGGCTATTTTGTTCGCCCAGTAACTGTAAAGATAACAAGCTTAAATGATGTTGAGTTGGCTTTCTATATAATTTTATGTCGATTCTATTTGTTGAGTCGTTTTGTCCGACAGAGAACTATGCAGACGATTAGTTTCATTGCCAAGTTGTCCAAGTAGCTCAATTTGTTTGCTTTTTCAATTATGCGGTCCTACAGCTAACTGTGAGGACATGACATATTTTTGTTGAGAAAATTTGTCTACACAGAGAACTGTGAGGACGGTTAGTTTAAATGTCCTAGTGCTACATTTCTTTTCAAATACCTTTTGCTTCTATTGTCCGCGCAGAAGACTGCGAGGACAACAATTTAAATGTTGCTTTGTCCGTTGATTCCAACTATTGAGTTTGTTTTGTCTTCACAGATGAATGTGGGGATCATTAGTTATGAAGTTCAAGTTGATACAATTTTAGTTCCCCAATAATTTTCGCTTCCGTTGTTCACATAGAGAACTATGAGAACGTGATTTCTTCAAAAATAATTATATTGATTGCAAATATCCTTTTCTTTCCATTTCTTCTTTTCCAAATTTTTTTTTCTTTTTCTTTTCTTCTGCTGTCCTCGCAATTAAATGTTAGGACGTGATTTTGATTGACAGATGATTACATTATTTGCCTAATATCTTTTCTTCTCTTGTCTACACAATTTACAGTGAAGCTGTTGTAGTTTGTCCAATCCAGGTATAATAGCATTCTCTGGCCAATGTTGATCAAGTGTGCTGAGTTGAATCCGATTGTTCCGTATTTGTATTGATTCCATGTTGCATATGAGAGATGTTTCATTTTGTGTAATTAATTGATAGTGTTGTCTTTATGTTGTCGCAATATTCGCTGTTAGCCAGTAACGAGACTAGACTAACGTAACACTCAGGAAGTAGTTGTGGATAAAGCTGCCAAAATGAGTTAGGTTGTTGGTCTCCGAGATTTCTTTTAATTCTGATGCTGAAGAATCAATTTTATTTGATAGTTGTTTGTTCATGTCGGTCTAAGAAAAGATACCGACTTAGTTTTTTAGTTGGCCCTAACCTAAGGTCGGGCTTCTGTATCTCTATCCTTTGTAGTATTCTTTGCTTCATGTTGTAGACCATAAGCCATTTTGTAAGATATCTCCTCTTGGACTAGTTGTTTTAATTTGTCTCTGAACATTTTCGTGTTCCATGCCGTTATTACGTTTGGCTTCCTTGATTTCCTTTAATATTGTATAATTTAATTTGTCCTCCAAAGAAGAACAAATAATTGGATTGTTTAACTCAGCTCCCAGAGCTTCGAGTTGTCTGCAAATCAATTCCATTTCAAGTTGAAATTGTCGGACGTCTGAAAACGACCAACAGGGTTTTAAAGCAAGGAATCGTTGAATCAAGTCGTCTGTGATTGCTTCCTTATCAACATATTTCTCTTTCAGCATGTCCAATGCGATCTTATAGTTATCGGCCGAAGGCCTAAAATAACGTACAAGATTCAAAGCTTCTCCTTCCAAAAGTCCTAATAGGTGATTGAACTTATAAATTGGTTCAATATTCGAATTTCCCACAGTTGCATTAAAAGATTCTATAAACTCACGCCAGTGTCGAAAGTTGCCTGAGAATTTCTTTGGTGATGCCAGAATAGGAAGAGAGACGGGTTGTACAGTTTGATTCAAGATTTGGTTTGTTTGGTCCATGCTTCGATTCAAAATTGATGATGACTCACTCCTCTGACATGTTGATTCTAATACAAATTCTCTAGTTGTAAATTTAGCTATAAGCCTCATTAAACCTCTTCTTGCCTCAAAGGCTTTAGTCATAATAACTTCACACTGATAATCTTCTTGATCTTTATCGTAGATTCGTGACATACGAACCTTATCTGTCTCCGTTGCTTGAGAAAGGACAGAAGCCCATTCCTCGTCTATCTTATTCATTGCTGCCATAACATCTTCAAGTTCTTCGAGGTGACCTCGAAGAACAACTAATGTTGATTTAATTTCCGCAAGTTCATTTATGTTGTCTTGTTGTTCTGGTAAAGCTGGCATTGATTGTGCCAACAATAAGTTGAGTGTTGTAGCTGCCTTCCTTGTTCGGTTGCTAAGTACGTTGGTCATTTGTAGTTAATTCAAATACCAATTGTTATCTTAAATTTAGTAATTTAAATTAAAATTTTATTTTATTTTAGAGCAAGTCGCGTTAAAATAAATAGAAAGAGCGAATAACGCAGGAGAGAGAAAAGCGGAATGCGAATAGCGCAGGGGCGAGCAAGAAGCGGAATGCAAAAAGCGCAGAAGAGAAAGGGAGAGGCGAATAGCGCAGGAGCGAGCAAGAAGCGGAATGCAAAAAGCGCAGAGCATTAAGCGGTTGGGCGCAGAGGCGCGGATTGGGACCCTATAATTTATTTTATAAAGCGGGCGTGAAGCGGATAGGCGCAGATAGATCGAAGCGGGTACCCAATATAAAGAAGCTAGCTAGCAAAGATGTATAGAAGAGTAGAGATGAATAATTGTTAAGTGGTTGGTAAATTTGAGCCTAACCATTAAAAGATAAATAAATTTATTTATTGTTGTTCGCTCTAAGACGATCAACTATGTGTTGTAAATTATGAGAAAGCAATGTTGTTACACTTAGTATAAACAACGTTCGCACTTGAGAAAAGAGCATTTTAAAGTTAAAAGAATGCTTAAGTGTTGATAGAAGGAAGATGAGAAAACGGAAGTGGACAACAGAAATAAATTATAAATTTTTATTAGAGAGAAGATTAAAAGGTGTAAAGTATGGGAAAGGGGATAAAAATGAAGAGAGTAAAAATAAATGTATTGTCCTGAACTTTGGTCGTCGCGTTGAATGTTGTCCACGTAAATTGCTTTTGAGACTCTACCGACATCTGACAAAAATGTTGAGGCTCAGAAGAGTCTCAACTATTATAAATTATTAAAATTTATTTGAAATTTAGTGTCATGTCCAGAAGGATCGTGACGGATATTTTAATTTTTAAAATTTAATTTTATTGAATTTTCAATAAATTAAAATTTGTTTTACGTATTCCAGGTCGGTTGTATGAGGAAGTGCACGCTAAACAATTGTCGGTAGAGCCATAAATTATGCATTAGCAACAGAGTTGAGCAGCAGAGTAACTGTGTCGTTTGAGCATCAGAGCCTAATGTTGTCACATTAGAGCAAAGCCGCAAAAGAATTGTTGTTTAGTCGGTTTGTAAAATTTGTGTTGTTGTCTTTTATGACAGTAACTAGGTTGGAATAGTAAAAACCGAAGGTTGTCGATGAGGAGTCCACAGATAGAACTGCTGTGAATACTCTAAGAGTAATTCACATAAAGGAAATAAGTTAAGTCACTAAGTGAGCTTAACATTAAATTTTTATTTTTATAATTAAATTAGTTAAAGAAAATTTTAATTTTTAAATTCATAATAAATTAAAATTTTGCCTCTATTAGATTTATTGTTGTTGTCTTTTAGAGACAGTAACTTGGTAGAAATAATAAATAAATAATTATTTATTATTGTCGTTGTAGAAGTGTTTGTAGCAGCGAAGTTCACGAAGAGACCTGAAGTGAATACTCAAAGAGTAATTCACATAAATGGAATGAGTTAAGTCACTAAGTGAGCTTAACATTAAAATTTTTATTTTTAAAATTAAATTTCTTAAAGAAAATTCTAAATTATTTTTGAATTTATAATAAATTAAAATTTGCCTCGCTTAGCCCAATCAGTGTGTAAGAAGCGCCCAGAGATCAAATGTCGGCAGATCCATAAAAATATGTAGTAGTATTATTGTGCCGTTTGTGCATCTGAGCCTTATGTAGTCGCATTAGTCGATTTGCTAAATCTATTGTTGTTGTCTCTAAGAGACAGTAACTGAATTGGAATAGTAAAACCAGAGGTTGTAGCTGAAAAATCCACAGAGACACCTGAAGTGAACACTCAAAGAGTGAGTCACGTTAAATGAAATAAGTTAAGTCACAAAGTGATCTTAACTTAAAGTATTTTTTTTAATTTAAATTCTTAAAGAAATTTTAAATATAATTTTTGAAATTTATAATAAATTAAAACTTTGCCTCGATTACGAACGAGTCCATAATATTTCGGTAGAAGGGATTGAATTGTTGAATCCACCCAGTAGTGTAAAAATTGTGTAGATTTTCCAGGATCCGTCAAATGTAGTTAATTAATTAATGTCGTCTATTATGTTGTTAATTAGTAGTCCTGTCTGGGTCGCCATGTGTCGCAGACCCGAGGGCCTGCGACGTAAGTTTGGCAAGATGCCGCCAAAGATGAGTAGACGTTGGATCCAGGAAATTGGCCATTTGGTTTTGCCGGGCTTGCTGGTGCCTATGAGTCGGGGAGAACCCCTAAACTCGGGAATTTAGTCGTTGAGGCCACCTAAAAGTTTATTATGGGGCGGGAAGACTCGTTATATTTTATAGAAAGTACTTAAGAATTAATTTCTAATTTTAATTTAAGAATAATTACTAATTAAGAAATAATAATAATTTATTTAAATTAAAGAAATACAAATAATTAAAAGCATAAAATAAAAATATAAATTTATTTACAAAGGAAGGGGACAAGAAAAAGGGAAGGGGAGAAAGGGGAAAATAGATATTTTCTTTTATTCCCTCTACATCCCAGAACTGAGCAGTTAAACTGAACAGTCAAACTGAGCCGCTAAACTGAGCATATTTGTGGAGAGTCTTCTTTTCTTAAATAGACCAGGCCAGCGCATGCAGAGTAGTCGCGGCTGTGTGCATTCCCACCATTGAGCAAAGGCCGCTTCTCAGAGAGTGAGCGACATAGCCAGTTGATCAGAAGAGCCAGTTGATCAACAATAGAATTAAAGTCGTTAACTCTGAGAGTTTCGACATAGCGGAAGTTAATCCATTACTAGAAAGGTTAATAGTCACAAACTCTGAGAGATGTGACTCGACTATAAAGCTTTCCATAAATGTTTGTATGAGAAAGTCAATCGCTCGAAGAGAGATTGACAATATTTATTGTAGTCTAGCGGGAGCATTTCACAACAAAATGTCTTTCCTGAAGGTCGGGACCGGGTATAGTGTATCAAATATACGGGAGAAAAACAATTCCCATACGCCTCGATAACAATCAGGGAAAGGAAATAATATTTCCCAATAAAGCAAGTGCTTTCATTGTCGGGTCTCCGACATCTCCCATGATCCTTCCAAGTCCTCTTATTTCTCTGATATTACTTAACATGCCAATTAATTTTCTGATATCTCTCTTAATCCCATTAATCCTCCGATATCTCTTCAATCAATCATGAGGATCTACACAAGATAAGCTATTTTTCTACCACCGACCGAGGATGTGTTGTCTGCGGCCGCCGTTTCATTTACTTGTTTTAGCTATGTTGTTTGAGCTATGTTTACTTGTTTGAGCCCTAGGTACGTTGCTAAAAATCTGCCGTAATGATTCGGCTGTGGACAGCATATTGAGATAGTTATGGTGTAAGTGATTCAATTGATGCCATTGTTTCTGGCGCTCTATCCAAAATTTAGTGATTAACAATTTAAGCTAAGTGCTTTGCTTTTAAAAACACTACAAGAATCATTCTCTCAAAGATGACACCAAATATCCAACTATGTGGTAAAATCCTCCATCGTTGTTTCTCCGACTTGTGAGTAGCAACTCATATTTAACAATAGTATTATCCCCTGTTAAAACAAGAATTCTGGTTACACAAGATAAGTTATTTTTCTACCACCGACCGAGGATGTTGTCTACGGCCGCCGTTTCATTTACTTGTTTGAGCTATGTAGGTATATGTGTGACTTAAATATTTGTTAATTGCTGACTAATTTTATATTAAAGTAATTTATTTTTGTTGATGTTTTATGTCAATTTTCAATGTTTTAAAAAATAGAATCGACTTGTAAAACTTGTAAAATCACTTGAAATTCTTTGTTTTCTACTTCATAGCTTTCTCAAGATGGCTTTATCAAGACATACATAGAATCATTTGACAAAAACGTTTCAGGCGTTTTGGCTCAGTTTACTTGGCAGTTTAGACCTAAAATTTTTCTTTAATTTATCGCAATGCACTTTCCTTTAAGTGAGACATGTACTTTGTATTTTTATTATGAAATGTAAAATAATTTTCCCAATGTATTTTTAACATCTTTATTGCTTAATTAAATTCAATCAATTAAAATTTATCATTCTTGGTTAATTTTAATATAAAATTTTAATAATATAAAATTAATTAACGATGAAACTTGATAGTATTCTAATAATTCTAACATTCAACGCGATATTTTGGAGTTTAATTAATTCTGTTAAGAATAATAAAGAGAAAAATGAGTTAGCTAGAATTGGGAAAAACTCAAAGGATAACAATGGGGCTGAATCATCGGTTAATGCTCAAATTCAAATGTTAAAACCAACACCTAAAATTACAAAAAAGGGCACAAAAAAAGATAATAAAGAAAAGGGTAATAGAAGTGAATATATGAAAATTTACTATCAAAACAATAAAGAAAGAATACGAGAATACCAAGAAAATAATAAAGAAAAGAAGAGAGAATATGATCGAAAATATGTCCAAAATAATAGGGAAAGGAAGAAAGAATCTAGCAAAAATTATTACCAGAATAATAAAGAAAAGAAGCGGGAATCTGTCCGAAAATACCGAGAAAAAATGAAAAATAAAAAAGAAAACTTAAAAAAGGTTGATTCAAAAGTAAGAGATATTCATTCTGATAATAATGAAGGAACTTCTTTCGTTCGGAATGATTTTAGAGATAAAGGTAAATTGCCAATCGTTTACGAGGAGAGCATTCAGCATGAAAAAGGGAATCTTTTTAACCAAGAGGAGGAGGAATGTGGCGTAACAGAAACCAATTTGGATGAGCAGAATCAATCTGTGGTTGAAGAGGCAAACATGAATCAGATAGATTTAAATGAGAAATATTATCCTTTTGATCTGAACAAGAAACCTGAGGGCGAAGATGAAGATGTCTATTATAGAATTTCGAGCAGTCCACTTGGGAAAGTTTAAACATTCAATTTTTTTAGAATTTATCGCAATGCTCTTTCTTTTAATTGAGACATGTACTTTATTTTTTATTATGAAATGTAAAATAATTTCCCCAATGTGTTTTTTCATCTATTTTTCATCTCTATTCAAAAATTCATCATAATGCACTTTTCTTTTAATGAAAAAACGGATATTGCATTAAGAAATATAAATAAAAAATATTTTAAATAAAAGTTCATTTATACTTTTATTTAAGTTCAATATTAATATTCAAATTTAATACTCTTGATTTAACTAATTATTTAAATTAATTTATAATGAGACTTGATAGAATATTAATAATTTTAATCGCCAATGCGATATTTTGGAGTTTAATTAATTCTGTTAAAAATAATAAGGATCGACCCGAGTTAACTAGAGTTGGGGAAACCTCAAAGGATAACGATGGAGCTGAATCATCGGTTAATGCTCAAATTCAAATGTTAAAACCAAAACCTAAAATTACCAAAAAGGGCACAACAAAAAATAACCAAGAAGGAAAAAAGTTGAATAAAAGTGAATATTATCGAAGATACCGTCAAAATAATATAGAAAAAAAGAAAGAAGCTGAACGAAAATATCGAGAAAAAAATAGGGAAAAAAGACGAGAATCAGCCCGAAATTATTACAAAAATAATAAAGAAAAGAGGCGAGAATACCTTCGAAATAATAAAAACAAGAGGCGAGAATGCAGTCAAAAATATCGAGAAAATAATTTAGAAAAGTACCAGGAATATCAACGAAAATATCGAGAAAGAAGGAAAAATAAAAAAGAAAACTTAACAGATCCAAAAATATTAAGAAATGTTGATTCTGATAATAATGAAGGAGGAACGTCTAATCCACAAAATGATGAGTTTAGAAATAAATATAAATTGCCAATAGTTTACGAAGAGGGGATTCAGTCTGAAGAAGGAAATCTTATCAATCAAGAGGTGGAAGAAGCAGAAACATATATGAATGAGCAAAATCAAACAGAGGTAGAAGAACCAAATAAAATTCCGGAGAATTGCATGCATCAGATAGATTTGAATGAGAAATATTATCCGTTTGATCTGAACGAGAAACCTGAGGATAAAGATGAGGATATTTGTTAAAAAGAAATAAATTTGAAGATCCCCCCCCCTCCCTCTCCCCCACTCTTTAATTTCTACCTTCGCTCGAGTTTGTATGGGTTCCGCTTTGGGCCTTTCAAATTTCTTAAGAATTTATTAGACTGCACTTTCATTTCAATGGGAAATATATTGCTTGTTATTACATAATATAAATATAATTTACACTATCTTCATTTACATCATCCCAGTGTGTTTTTTTAATTTTCCCAATGTGTTTTTTCATCTATATTGCTTATTTAAATTCAATAAATTAAAATTTATCATTTTTGGTTAATTAGTAGTAAACAAAGTTTTTTTTAAATAAATTTTAAAGATTAATTTAAGATGAAACTTGATAGTATTATAATAATTTTAACATTCAACGCGATATTTTGGAGTTTAATTAATTCTGTTAAAAATAATAAAGATAAAAATGAGTTAAATAAAGTTAGGGAAACCTCAAAGGATAATGATGGGGCTGAATCATCGGTTGATCCTCAAATTCAAATGTTAAAACCAAAACCTAAAATTGCAAAAAAGGGCACAACAAATGATAAAAAAGAAGAAAAAAGGTTGAATAGAAGCGAATATATGAAAATTTACCGTCAAAAAAATAAAGAAAAGATTAACGAAAATAACCGAAAATACCTAGAAAATAATAAAGAAAAAAAGAAAGAATCTGCTCGAATTTACCGACAAAATAACAAAGAAAAGATACGAGAAAGTAAGCGAGCTCATTACCAAAATAATAGAGAAAATTTGAAAGAATATGCCAGAAAATACCGAGAAAATTATAGAGAAAAGAGGAAAGAATCTGCTCGAAAATACCGAGAAAGGATGAAAAATAAAAAAGAAAACTTAAAAAATGTTGATCCAAAAGTAGAAAATATTCATTCTAATAATAATGAAGGAACTTCTTTTGTTAATACACAGAATGCAGATTTTAGAAATAAAGGTAAATTGCCTATAGTTTACGAAGAGAGCATTCAATTTGAAGAAGGAAATCTTTTTAATCAAGAGGAGGAAGAAAGTAACAAATACGAAGCAGAAACTTATATGGAAGAGCAAAATCAAACTGTGGTGAAAGAGCCAACTAAAATTAATTCCATAAATCAGTCAGAATCAGACGAGGAAGATTATCTTCGTTATCTGAACGATAAACCTGAGGATGAAGATTGAAAAAGAAATTAATTTGAAGAAGTTAAAATTTTAAGAGAGAGTAAAATATTTTCAGATAGAATAAATTAACGAATTTTTAACTTTAGACTATTTCGTTGTAAACAGCATAAAATTTAAGAAATTGTCTTTTTTAAACCGCACATCGGTACTTATAGGGTTTGTATCATTTAATAAGCAAATAACTGAGACTTAAACATATCACGATTTTATGCAAATCCTTTACTGTAAATAGAAAATAAAACCCCAATTCTGCTTCGATTTTGAATTTAAACCGTCGCGCGTTTACTCAAAAAAATTTATTTTGGCATTATGTTTAGATAAATGACATTATGTCCCAAAATTTATTAAAATTGAAATAGTGTGTAAATTGAAGAGAGACGACAGAGAAAATTATCGATTCTTTTTTTTATTTTCTTCAGATTAGCTTGTTTGTTGCCTTTTTCTAACAGCTTATTATTGACGAGAGTATTTGTACTTTATCCTTTCTATTTAACTTGTGTTTCATTTAAACTGTGTTCACTGATCAATATTTGTTAAAAGTTACTTTTAGTGTTCTTTAATCAAAATGTATCTAAACTAGACGAATTCCACAATCATTTTCACCCAAAATCAATCATGCCTAATCGCTCAGCATGCGATATTGAAGTTCCAGATGTACCGCTAGCACAATTTGACGATCTTGAAATATTGGATGATTCAAATCTAGAAAGATGTATTCTACCAAAAGCAACTCTTGGAAATAGGTAACAAGAAGTTTAATGAGGTCTAATGAGTCTAAGTCAAGTTTAAGTCGCCGTCTTAGGGAGGGAGGAGATCTGGGGAAATTTTCGAAGAGCAGCACCACGTGGGGGGTGGACAGGCAATTTTTAAAAGCATCCTAGGGAAGGGGGAAGGAAGGAGATCCTAGTGAAGGGGATCGGGGAAAATTTTCATGTATGTAGACTATGGAATGAACGGGCAATTTTTAGAAACATCTAAACTCCTAGGGGAGGGGATCGGGGAAAGTTTTCGGTGATTCAGCCAACGGGGGATGGGCGGGGAATTTTTAGAAACATCCAACTTCTTCGTCAAATTCCCAGTTTATTTGTTACTTGGAGCAACCTTATGAGACATTTTATCCCAAAAAATTGGTTTCACAGGCCGCGCAATCAACAAACGCCACAGAAAATACCAGCTGAAATGGACAAATCTGGCTCTTCTACTTCCAACTCTATGATCTCTACTTCTCTTCAAGACTTGGTTGAATCATTTGACAAAAACGTTTCAGGGGTTCTGAAGGATATGAATAAATGTACTGAACAAATTGCTCCAGTCAAAATTCGTTCTCATGAGGAGATTATGAATGAGAGCCAGTATGCTTTTTTGACTTGTCTTTTGATTGTCTTTTACCTGTTTTAATCATTTTAAGGTTCTGGTGGACGCTCACAGGCAATTACGGCAGTCTTCCCCCTATTGATTTTCACCAATCAGTCATTCGACGTAATCAAATGGCAGCGCTAGATTTGAAAGTTCCAAAGGTTTCTCATTTTTTTGCTTATTCGAAAATTAGTTTTTAGCAACGCAACCACGAGGGAACTACTCCAACCGGTCCAGACAGTTTTTCTGATACGGACAGTGGAGAGGATGACGATAGCGATGGTAAAAATGACACTCAGCGTTTGGACTTTCATGCTGCTTCAGCGTCAATTGGAACTGATGCTTTGCCTCCTGTTAATGCTGATAGAGTTATTGAAGAGATTGATGATATTATTCAGGTTTTCTTTTTGATTTTTTAGGTATTTTAGTTATTAAAATGGTAATGTCAGGGTCTGGACTTATTTTCGAATTCACTTACCTCATGGGTTTTGGGGTGTAGTTCTGAAAGCCCACGAAACCCCAGAGAACCCTTAGGACAGTAAAAGTCAAGGAAGCTAAAAAATTATTGTCTTAGGGTACAGGAGATTCCTCAGACTTTTGCCTAGATCGTTGGCCCAGATCTCAGACTTTGGCCCAGATCCAGTTCATTTCTAAAAATTTTTAGGCCGGTGACTTGATGACTCGTTCCTTAATCAACACTCCACGTACATTAGAATCCTTCGACTCAATGTACTCTTCAATGCGGTCTCCAAACAATTGTATAGATGCCGAGCAACTATTTAGCGTTAAACAACAACCTAAAAACAGCGAATTGCCCCCTATTAGCGCTGAAGGTTTTTTTAAATTTTTTTGCAATTTTTTGCTATTTTTTAAAGAAATGACACGTTATAGTCAAAGTAAATTGATCACAATAGTCTCAGAAATTGAGCAAATAATCCAATTATACAATGAGGAATTGGTCAATGAACTTGCTAGACGTGATGAATTAGACTATGCCAAAGAAGTTAGAAATCAATTTATTACGTTATTAATCGATGTGCAAGAAAAGCGGCGAAAGGCTGGAAGTGTAAAAAAGCAAAAACAAAAGGAAACTAAATTTGCTGCTACGAAAAATAATGTTTGTTGAATTTTTAAAATTTTTTTTTAACTTAACTTAAGAGTTTATTTGATCGGAGAACCATTTTTAAATTAATTTTTTCGAACATTTTTCATTTTAGAATAAAATAGGTTAGGTAATTTTTGGGATTAAAAAAGCTAGGAAATTTAAGAATATTGTGAAAAAAAAATTTTTAAACTGTTTTTAAGATTTTCTTTATTTTCTGGGTATTTGACATTTTTAATTGATATTCCCAGAACTGCTACAAACAAATATAGAATTGTGAGAGTCGTTCGAGAATTGAGATCAATTTTTAAATATTATAGTTCGATAATTGAGATTTTTGTTTGAGAGCTCTTCTCAGTCCGTTTTTTTCTTTAAATCCCCAAAGCTTTTTTAAGTCAAATGAAGTGTTATTTTTGTTATTCATCACTAGGCTTGGTAATGGACACGGATTTTGGTATCCGTATCCGCTGATGTCCGGATATTTTTCGTTTTTATTACCAAGCCTGATCGTCACCTCTTATCTTTTTTTAAATAAATTTTTTTCAATTTTTTTAAAGTTGTGTTCTGTCAAAATTCCATATGATAATTCTCAGGAAGTTCCAGATGTTCGTGTTTTGGAATCTTTAAACAAAAGTATATTTTTTTAATTTTTAAAATAATTTTTTGTCGTTTTCTAGTTTTGCAAGCAATGAGCGATGATAGTGATCAATTACCGTCTTTACTTACTGACTATATTTTGAATGGTTTTTTAAATTTATTTTTTATTTAGAATAAAATTTTTTTTAATTTTATAGTGATTTGTCCTACAAAAAATACAAATGTGGAAAGTTAAAATTAAAAAAAATTTTTGATTATTTTTTGTTTTTTATTGGTAATGATTGGGATTGTCGGTTCGGACCAGGGATACTATCACGCTTCAGCCGAATCCCCGTTTGGCTCTAAATCTCTATTTTCCAAACCTGGCCGAAACTCCATATAAGGAAGTTTTTAAAAAAATTTTTTAAAAATCTTGTTTGGCTCTTAAGTTCTGTTCCGACTACCCGAAGATTTTCTAAGAACCGACAACCCAAAAGCAATTATATTTTATATTTCTTGCTTTTTTTATTATTTAAAATTTTTTTTATTTCAAAATTTCCCCATGACATTCTGCTTTCTTGATTTAATCTAAATTTGAGTATTTTTGAAAAATATTTAATAATATTTTTTAAATAATTAATTCTTTCAATTTTTTCCTCTCATATTTTTTAATTTTATTTTTGAAACAAATGTGGATCAAGGAAAAAAATTTTTTTAGTCATCGTTAGGCCCCTTCCCTTCCAATGTCGTTGAAAAAATTTTTTAGAAAGAAAAGTTTTTTCCTCGTTTCTCTCAAATAGTTTTCTCTCAAAAAAAATTTTTTTTAATTCCCCCTAATATGAATTGAAATCTCTTTACAAAAGAAATTTATTTCTGTTCTCCTCCTTAAAAAAATTTTGGGAATTTTTTGTGGTCCTACTAAATGAAAAAATTTATTTTTTTCAATTTTTATTCCACATTTGTTTCTTCAATTTTTATTTGCTTTTTTCCTCTTTATTCTTTAAATTTAAATGCAATCTATATATTTATGCTTCTCCCAGATTTTAGATTTTTTTATATTACTTAAACTATCAAAAATTTAGATGTATGTATCTCAAATAAATACAACAAAAATTTTGCTTCATAAATTTTTTGCTTTTTGTGAATAAATGATTCAAAAAAAATTTTTTTTTGTTAAATTAAGGTTAATTTACTTGATTAATATTTTTTATTTAAAGAATTTAAAAAATTTTTTTAGAATTTTTTACAGGTCAAAAAAATTTTTCAAAAAATTTTTTTCAAAAAAATTCATGGATGCCTGCAACAATTTTGACAATTTTGGCCCTCTTTTTAAATCTCGTTTGGATCGAGTATTGAATCAATCTACAAATTTTAAAGCCGTCTGTTTTGCTCATCATATTGTTAAGCCGGTACTTCAGGTTGGGCCAACGTAAGGTTTTTTTTCTTTATTTTTTATTTTTTAAAATATTTTTCCTTGTTTAAATTCTTTTTCTCAGTACACATGAGAATTTCCTTTATTTTAAGTTGGGTTCGGGTCCCGCATTTTTTTCTTTTTGGGGGTTGAAGATATTATTTCTTTTTGATTTTTTAGTATTGTTTTGGGTTTGGGACATAGGGCAACTGACTCTGTTTTAAACACGATTGGGCCATTTTACTCGAAGCCATGCTTTTCAATCCTAAACTCGACTTGAGTAATTTTTAAAAACCTGACCCAACACTCGTCCTTTTCCTTTGAATTTTTTCATAAGACGAAGAAATTTAGGTTCTTTTCCGTCCGAAATTTTAAAAAATTTCGCTAGTGGCCAATACATTTTTTCGATTTTCTTGGGTATTTTTCTTCAATTTTTGATTTTTTTTTATCAAGAATAAAAAATATTCCTTTTGTGGCCCCACAGAAATCCTTTTCTTAATATCAAAAAAATTTTTTTTCAGTTGTGGTTTTGCATCATTATCCAATGCTTTAAATATTTACAACCTAAAATCTCCAAATTTAAAAGATTTAGTAAAATTGGGACGCTTTTTTGGAATAACAAACGGAGGGGAAATATTTTCTGTTGAATGGTTTTGTAATTTTATACAAAAATATTGGCCTAGTCTACACCCAAAAATTGCAGAATTTGGCGAAATGAAGTCTTCAATAATTGAATATTTTGGAAGAAGGGAAAATAATAAGGTTTTTTTTATTTATATATTTTTAAAAATTAAAACCTTCAATCATAGACTAGGGATGGGTTGGGGCCCCGATCCGGCCCGGTCCAAAAGATCGAGTCGGGCCTCGAATTTTGGCCCGAAAAAGACTCGGTCGGGCCGGCCCGAAAAAAATGACTCGAACGTCGGCCCGACTCGAAAACCCGAACCCTACTAGGGATGTGTTGAGAAAGATCGGATTTTAATTTTTTTCGAATTTCTGTGAGAGAAAGTTAAACATATCTTCCTGTTTTCTAGTTTGTAGCCTCAACCCGAATTTATTTTTGACTCGGAAAAAACTTTTTTGAATACCTGGTAAAGAAGAAAGACTCGATCCGAAGAAAATTTTTGAATACCTGCTAAGAACACGTTCTAACTTTTTCACAGCTCGACCCACACTTGAAATGTACTATTATACTATTAGTCCTCAAAAGCCATGAGTCTTTTAATTTATATTAGGTCACAAGCTATGGGCTGCACCCACAAATTTTCTGATTTTTGTAATAATTAGCATCTTAGATTCCAACAATTCTAATTCCATATGATTGTGATAGAGGAAATTTTGAGCCTTGTAATCGTAATGGACTTGGAGCGCATTGGGCTATTTTGGTTTTTTTTTTAAATTTTTTTAAATTTTAAAATTTTTTTTCTAGACAGGGTGTCTTTTACTTTGTGAGGATAATGGAGGAGAAGAATCTAATGAAGAAAATATTAAAATAATTAATTCCTCAACTGAATTTAACAACGTTGTAAATGGTATGAAATGGGACGAGAAAAATTTATATTTAATTGGATATCAAGGAAAGAGCAGGTCTGTTTTCATTTTTGGTGTTTTAAGGGCTGACATCAGAGGTGGGTCGGAATCCAGATTTCCGACGTTTTTTTCTTTCTGATTTCAGGAAAATTTTGATTTCCAAGTTTCGACTTTTGAGCCAGTTCCGATTTCCGGCTCTTCCGATTTCCGACACCTGACTGTTCCGACCCACATCTGGATGACATATCGGGATGGACTTATCGGGATTTAATGTATGAAGAGTTTCCCTAGTTATTTTGCAATCTACGACCTCACATTCAGGATCTTCGTGACCCTTTTAAAGAAAAGAATTTTTGTTCTAGAAGCACAAAAGACGTTATTCTCACACAATCCCGATATGTCTGGTCCGATATATGTCCTCATACCGTTTTAATTGAACTTATTTTTGTCCTTTTGAGACTTGAAATTAACCACAGGGGATGGATTTTATTTCGATATTTTTTAAATTAAATCCAAGAATGGATCGGGTTGGGAAAAACGCCGGGTCAGGGTTTGGGTGAAAAGTCAAAAATGCAATATTACAAGCTCTGCGTAACCCGGCCCATCATCCTCTTGAAAGTTGGATCACCGGTCTCAAAAATTTTGTATGCGTGCTAAAAATCAAAGAAATCTGACTTTTTGACCTCCAAAATTCAAAAAAATACACTTTCAATATCCGTAAAATTGTACTCTGAAAAGTTGGGCTCCAAGTTTTTTCGGAAACCTTGGCTTCATAGGAACTTGGGCCCTTACAAATGAGTAATAAAAGTAATAATGGGCTCTAAAACGCTTTTACATCAAAAATATTTTTTTTAATTCGAAAGTTAATAAAATCGCTTAATTTGCTCTCAAGATTTTAACAAATTTTCTTTCTTCTAAATCTTTTTCTAACAGACATCCTCATCATTGTCCTCAGGTTTCTCGTTCAGATCAAAAGGATACTCATTTAAATTTATTTGATTCATACAATTCTCGGGAATTTTATTTGGATCTTCTGCCACATTTTGATTTTGCTCATTCGCATAAGTTTCTGCTTCGTCCTCTCCTTGATTAAAACGACTTCCCCCTTCAGACTGAATCCCCTTTTCATAAACGATTGGAGTTACTTCATTATTATCAGCGTGATCAGGATTTAATTTTCCTTTTTTCCTTTCCTCTCGGCATTTTCGCCTAGATTCTCGCTTTTTTCCATTAAGCTTTTCTTTATTGTTTTGGTAGTATTTTCGGTTACATTCTTGTTTCTTTTCCTTATTATTTTCTCGGTATTTTCGAGCAGATTCTCGCAATTTTTCTCTATTATTTTCTTGATATTTTTGGCAACATTTAAGCTTCTTTTCTTTATTGTCTTGGTAGTGAATTCTGTCATATTCTTTCCTCTTTTCTTTATTGTTTTGACGGTAGATTTGATTATATTCTCGCTTCTTTTCTTTATTCTTTTTCCAGTAAGTTCTCATATATTCACTTCTATCAACCTTTTTTCCTTTTTCAATATTTATAGTTGTGTCTTTTTTTGTAATTTTAGGGGTTGGTTTTAACATTTGAATTTGAGGATTAACCGATGATTCCGCTCCATCGTTATCCTTTGAGGTTTCCCTAACTCTAATTAACTTATTTTTATTTTTATTATTTTTACCAGAATTAATTAAACTCCAAAATATCGCATTGAAGATTAAAATTATTAATATTCTATCAAGTTTCATCATAAATTAATTAATTTAAAAAATTTATTAAAAATATTAATTCGTTTGAGTAAATAACCAAAAATAATAAATTTTAGAATAACATTAAATTGAACTTAAGTATGTTATTATAGTAAATAAAAATACTACATTGTCTATATTTCACAATAAAATTTATTTTCTCAGTGAAAGGAAAGTGCATTGCGATAAATTTTTTTGATAGACTATCATTAATAAATATTAGATTGAGAAACAACACATTGTTATTAGCTATATTGAGAAATTGCTCACTTTACTCGCGGCGGACGGTGGAAGGAGCGGCCGTCGCATAGCTTGAAATGTTCGCTTGAAAACTTTTTCCAGAGAAAAATTCTCAAAAAATTTTTATATACTTTCTGATATATCTGAGGGTTGGCGAAGTTTTACTAATATCAACATGCAAAAGCATAACAGTTTATCCGTAGTAAAATGTACAGTGTATGTGAAGTTGGATCGGATGGAACAGACGGGGGATTAGTCACTAGCCGGAAAGTATGATCCAACTAAATGGACACTTTCACTGGCTATTAACTATAGTGACACCACTACTCAACACTTCCAAACCAACAATCTTTTATAAAATAAAATTTATCTTATCTTCAACATTTTCACAGAAAAAAATTTTTTTAATTCTAAAATTAAAATGGAAATTTTTAATCTGTTCTTTCATAATTTCATCATATTTTCATTCTTTTAGGTTTTATAACAAACATATTATTCGTTATCCTCAGGTTTCTCGTTCAGATCAAAAGGATACTCATTTAAATTTATCTGATTGATGCATTTCTCGGGAATATTATTTGGCTCTTCTACCACATGTTGATTTTGATTATCCACATAAGTTTCTGTTTCCTCCTCCTCTCGATTGATAAGATTTATTTCTTCAGACCGAATCCCCTCTTCGTAAACTATTAGCAATTTACCTTTATTTCTAAAATTATCATTCTGTGGTTTAGAAGTTCCTTCACCATTATTATCAGAATCAACATTTCTTAATATTTTTGGATCTGGTAAGTTTTCTTTTTTATTTTTCATTTTTTCTCGGTATTTTCGTTGATATTCCTGGTACTTTTCTAAATTATTCTCTCGATATTTTCGAACAGATTCTCTTCTCGTTTCTTTATTATTTTCTCGGTATTTTCGGGCAGCTTCTTTCCTCTTTTCTTTATTATTTTGGTAATACTTTCGGCCACGTTCTTTCATCTTTTCCTTATTGTTTGCTCGATATTTTCGATCAGCTTCTCGACTCTTTTCCTTATTATTTTGGCGATATCTTCTATCATATTCACTTTTATTGAACTTTTTTACTTCTTTTTTATCTTTAGTTGTGCCCTTTTTTGTAATTTTAGGTGCTGGTTTTAACATTTGAATTTGAGCATTAACCGATGACTCAGCCCCATCGTTTCTAGTTAACTCATTTTTATCTTTATTATTTTTAACAGAATTAATTAAACTCCAAAATATCGCATTGACGATTAAAATTATTAATAGACTATCAAGTTTCATCATAAATTATTTTTAAAAATTTATTCAAAATAAAATTTTATATACTACTAATTAACCAAGAATTATAAAATTTTAAATTAATGAATTTAAATAAGCAATATTGATGAAAAAACACATTGGGAAAATTATTTTACATTTCATAATAAAAAATATAAAGTGCATGTCTCACTTAAAGAAAAGTGTATTGCGGTAATATTTTTTTGAAGTTTTAAAAAATATTTATTGAAGTTTTAAAGTTAATAAAATTCTTTTTTTGCTCTATAAAAATTTTCTTCTAATCCTTCTTAAAAAACATCATCATCATCGTCCTCAGGTTTCTCGTTCAGATCAAAAGGATTTTCATTTAAATTTATCTGTTGTATGTAATTCTCGGGAATTTTGTTTGACTCTTCTACCACATTCTGATTTTGCTCGCCCACATTAGTTTCTTTGTCGTTGTTACTTTCTTCCATCCCTTGATTAAAATGATATCTCTCGGACTGAATGCTCTCATTCAGATCAAAAGGATATTCATTTAAATCTATCTGATTCATGTTTGCTTCTTCAACAACAGATTGAATTTGCCCATCAAATTGGTCTCTGTTTCTTCACATTCTTCCTCCTCTTGGTTAAAAATATTTCCTTCTTCATGCTGAATGCTATCTTCGTAAACTACTGGCAATTTACCTTTATTTCTAACATCATCGTTGTGTGCTTTCACTGGCTTTTAACTAAAGTGACACCACTACTCAACACTTTCAAACCAACAATCTTTTATAAAATAAAATTTATCTTATCTTCGACATTTTCACAGGAAAAATTTTTTTATTCTAAAATTAAAATGGAAATTTTTAATCTGTTCTTTCATAATTTCATCATATTTTCATTCTTTTAGGTTTTTAAAAAACATCATCATTTTCGTTCTCAGGCTTCTCGTTCAGATCAAAAGGATACTCATTTAAATTTATCTGATTGATGCATTTCTCGGGAATATTATTTGGCTCTTCTACCACATGTTGATTTTGATCATTCACATAAGTTTCTGTTTCCTCCTCCTCTCGATTGATAACATTTTCTTCTTCAGACTGAATCCCCTCTTCGTAAACTATTGGCAATTTACCTTTATTTCTAAAATTATCATTCTGTGGTTTAGAAGTTCCTTCACCATTATTATCAGAATCAACATTTCTTAATATTTTTGGATCTGGTAAGTTTTCTTTTTTATTTTTCATTTTTTCTCGGTATTTTCGTTGATATTCCTGGTACTTTTCTAAATTATTCTCTCGATATTTTCGAACAGATTCTCTTCTCGTTTCTTTATTATTTTCTCGGTATTTTCGGGCAGATTCTTTCCTCTTTTCTTTATTATTTTGGTAATACTTTCGGGCACGTTCTTTCATCTTTTTTTTATTGTTTGCTCGATATTTTCGATCAGCTTCTCGACTCTTTTCCTTATTATTTTGGCGATATCTTCTATCATATTCACTTTTATTGAACTTTTTTACTTCTTTTTTATCTTTAGTTGTGCCCTTTTTTGTAATTTTAGGTTTTGGTTTTAACATTCGAATTTGAGCATTAACCGATGACTCAGCCCCATCGTTATCCTTTGAGGTTTCCCCAATTCTAGTTAACTCATTTTTATCTTTATTATTTTTTACAGAATTAATTAAACTCCAAAATTTCGCATTGACAATTAAAATTATTAATAGACTATCAAGTTTCATTATAAATTATTCTTAAAAATTTATTCAAAATAAAATTTTATTTACTACTAATTAACCAAGAATTATAAAATTTTAAATTATTGAATTTAAATAAGCAATATATATGAAAAAACACATTGGGAAAATTATTTTACATTTCATAAAAAAAAATAAAGTTCATGTCTCATTAAAGAAAAGTGTATTGCGGTAATATTTTTTTAAGTTTTAAAAAATATTTTTTGAAGTTTTAAAGTTAATAAAATTCTTTATTTGCTCTTTAAAAATTTTCTTCTAACACTTCTTAAAAATATCTTCGTCCTCAGGTTTCTCGTTCAGATCAAAGGGATATTCATTTAAATTTATCTGATTCATGCAATTCTCCGGAATTTTATTTGGCTCTTCTACCACATTCTGATTTTGCTCGCCCACATTAGTTTTTTCTTTGTCGTTGTTACTTTCCTCCTTTCCTTGATTAAAATGATATCCCTCGGACTGAATGCTCTCATTCAGATCAAAAGGATATTCATTTAAATCTATCTGATTCATGTTTGCTTCTTCAACAACCGATTGAATTTGCCCATCCAAATTGGTCTCTGTTTCTTCACATTCTTCCTCCTCTTGGTTAAAAAGATTTCCTTCATGCTGAATGCTATCTTCGTAAACTACTGGCAATTTACCTTTATTTCTAAAATTGTCATTCTGTGCATTGGAATTTCCTTCACCATTATTATCAGAATTAACATTTCTTAGTAATTTTGGATCTTGTAAGTTTTCTTTCTTATTTTTCATTTTTTCTTTGTATTTTTGATTATATTCTCGCTTCCATTCTTTATTATTTTGGTAATAATTTCGTGTAAATTCTCGTCTTTTTTCCTTATTTTTTTCTCTGTATTTTCGATCAGATTCTTTCCTCTTTTCTAAATTATTTTTTCGGTATTTTCTTTCATATTCCCGCTTCTTTTCATTATTATTTTGGTAATAATTCATGTCGTATTCTCGCTTTTTCTCCTTATTATTTTCTCGGTATTTTTTATTAGCTTGTTGTGCCTTTTCTTTATTGTTTTTCCAGTAAATTTTCATATATTCGCGTTTATTAAACTTTTTTCTTTCTTTTTTATCTTTTGTTGTGCCCTTTTTTGTTATTTTAGGGTTTGGTTTTAACATTTGAGTCCGATGATCGACCGATGATTCAGCCACATCTTTATCCTTTGAGGTTTCCCCAACTCTAGTTAACTCGGGTCGATCTTTATTATTTTTAACAGAATTAATTAAACTCCAAAATATCGTGTTGACGATTAAAATTATTAATATTCTATCAAGTTTCATCATTAATTAATTTTAAAGATTTATTTAAAATATTAACTCTGTTCGAGTAAATAGCCAAGAATAATAAATTTTATAATAAGATTAAATTGAACTTAAGTAGGTTATTTAAAATACATTGTCTTTATTTCACAATAAAATAATGTTTTCTCAATGAAAGTAAAGTGCATTGTGACAAAATTTTAGGATGTACTTTCGGTCGTCAATACCAGGATTTGGATTGACGACCGAAAGTGCATCCTTAAATTTTATCATAATGCACTTTTACTGAGAAAATCTCTATTTTGTTATGAAATATAAATGTATATTGAGAAATTGCTTGCTTTCTAGATTTTTGTGAATGAGAATTTAGAATAGATCCTAATACAGTCGTTGACTGACTATAAATTTTAATGTAGAATTGAATTTAAATAATCACTATTTGGGATGTATATGCGTGGAACATCAGCAAACCTCACATCAATACATTCTTATTTTCTGTATATTCCTGTTTTTAAGGATCGATATTGTTATCCGTGATGGGTTTTACTAAAGCCGACAAGCACAAGAGTAATAGTTTATACAAAATAATAAAAATAAGAATATAAGCTAAGTTTAAAAACAAAAATGATGCAATAGTTAAAATTGAAATGGAAAGTGATGACCCTAAGTCACCTGAAAATAACAAGCGAAATTCCTCAAAAGATAGAAAATATCAGAAATTTTATATCATCAATCTCGTCATTGACATTTAATTTACAATGAAAATTTAAACAATTCTTTCTTAATATATTTGTCTTTTATTAGACATCCTCATCTACGCCCTCAGGTTTCTTGTTCAGATCAAACGGATAGTATTTCTCATTCAAATCTATCTGATTCATGTTTGCCTCTTCAACCGCTTGTTGATTTTGCCCATCCAAATTAGTTGCTGTTTCGTCATTATCTTCTTCCTCTCCTTGATTAGCAAGATTTCCTTCAGATCGAATGTTCTCTTCATAAACGATTGGCAATTTACCTTTATTTCTAAAATCATTTTGTGTATTAACAAATGAAGTTTCTCCATTATCAGATTGATCATTTCGTAAATCTGCCTTTTTATTTTTCCTATTTTCTCGGTATTTTCGATTCCATTCTCGCTTCTTTTCTTTGTTATTTTGGCAGTATTTTCGGTTCCTTTCTCGCTTCTTTTCTTTATTATTTTGACGGTATTTTCTATCAAGTTCTCGCCTTTTTTCCCTATTATTTTGGCAGTAAATGCGATTACTTTCTCGAATTTTTTCTTTGTTATTTTGGTAGTATATTCGGTTAATTTCCCTCTTCTTTTTATTGTTTATTTTTGTGCCTTTATTTGCATTTGGTTCCAACATCCCTTCAGATTTTTGAACCGATGATTCTGCCGCATCGTTAAACATTTTAGTTAAGTTCTTTGAGATTACCGTAACTCTAGTTAACTCATTTTGATCTTTATTATTTTTAACAGAATCAATCAAATTCCATAATATCGCATTGACGATTAGAATTATTAAAATACTAATAGGTTTCATCCTAAATTAAAAAATTTTATTTAAAATATTTTATTAACTAAAAACTATAAATTTTAATATAGAATTGAATTTAAATAATACATAGTTATAATAGTACATATTTATGTTGCGTAATAAAATATACTTTTCTCAGGAAAATTAAGTGCATTAAGGGCAAAAGTTTGTTGTTTTTTCAAATCTGTCTGTTTTTTTTGTTTGTCATTTTATAAACAATTGCACTTTAAAAAAGATTAGTGGTGTGAGGAAATGAGGGCTTTAAAGTAGCTTTACAAGAATATTGTGCAATTGTGAAGCATTAATGGTTGATGTTTTCTAGATTTTTGTGAATAAGTATTGAAAATAGATCTATTTGGAGTGTATATGCGTGGAACATCAGCAAACCTCACATCGATACATTCTTATTTTCTGTAAGATTCCTGTTTTTAAGGATCGATCTTGTTAGATCCGTGATGGGTTTTACTAAAGCCGACAAGCACAAAAGTAATAGTTTAACAAAGTAATAAAAATAAGAATATAAGCGAAGTTTAAAAACATAAAAATGATGCAATAGTTAAAATATAATTGAAATGGAAAGTGACCCAGAGTCACCAGAAAATAACAATCAAAATTCCTCAAAAGTATAAAAAATATCAGAAATTTTATATCATCAATCTCGTCATTGACATTTAATTTACACTGAAAATTTAAACAATTCTTATTATATTTGTCTTTTATTAGCATCCTCATTTTCTCCCTCAGGTTTCTTGTTCAGATCAAAAGGATACTCATTCAAATCTATCTGATTCATGTTTGCCTCTTCAGCCACAGATTGATTTTGCTCATCCAAATTAGTTTCTGTTTCTCCACATTCTTCCTCCTCTTGGTTAAAATGATTTTCTTCTTCATGTTGAATGCCCTCTTCGTAAACGATTGGCAATTTACCCTTGTCTCTAAAATCATTCCGAACAAAAGAAGTTCCTTCATTATTATCCTCGTTTCTTTTTTCTGGATAAACATTTTGTAAATCTGCCTTTTTATTTTTCCTGCTTTCTCGATATTTTCGATTAGTTTCCCGCTTCTTTTCTTTATTATTTTGGTAGTAATTTTGATTAATTTCTCGCACCTTTTCCTTATTGTTTTGACGGTATTTTCTACCATATTCTTTCATCTTTTCTTTATTGTTTTGGTAGTGATTACGTGCACTTTCTCTCATTTTTTCTTTAGTTTTTTGATAGTAATTTCGATTCCATTCATGCTTCTTTTCTTTCTTATTTTGGTAGTATTTTCTATCATATTCTTGCTTATTTTCTTTATGATTTTCTCGGTATTTTTTATTAGCTTCTAATGCCTTTTCTTTATTGTTTTGATAATAAATTCTCATATATTTATTTCTATCCAACCTTTTTTCTTCTTTTATATCATTTGTTGTGCCCTTTTTTGTAATTTTAGGTTTTGGTTTTAACGTTTTTTCACCTTTTTGAATCTGAGCATTAACCGATGATTCAGCCCCATCGTTATTTTTTGAAGTTTCCCCAACTCTAGTTGACACATTTTGATCCTTATTATTTTTAACAGAATTAATTAAACTCCAAAATATCGCATTGAATGTTAAAATTATTAATATTTTATCAAGTTTCATCATAAATTAATTAAGAAAATTTATTTAAAATTAAATTTTATGTAGTATTAATTAAATGAAAATGATAAATTTTAAATTATTTAATTTAAATAAGCAATATATGTAGATGAAAAAACACATTGGGAAAATTATTTTACATTTCATAATAAAAATATAAAGTCCATGTCTCAATTAAACAAAAGTGCATTGCGATAGATTAAAAAAAGTTAAGGTAAAACCGGGGATGATCAAAATTTCGTACGTTTCGAAACGAAATAGACAAAAGGCACGACGAAAAGAGTAAAATGGTTTACTTTGTATATTGGTTGAAAAGCTAATATGTTTAAGGATTGAAAAATAAACACCCATCCCATAATAGAAACCCATATCTAATATAAGCCCACTCAAAGAGACCCATTGAAAAATAGACGCCCGGGGCTTTACTGTATTTTTAAAAAGTTAATAGAGTTGACGAACTGAAACAATTTAAATTTGACGCTATTTTACTGGAATTTTGTTGACGAAACTCAGTAAATTTTAATACATAAAATGTTCTGAGTTTAATTTTTTAATTCTTTACGGCCAAAATGCCTGACGTTACAAAAATGTCAATGTTCGGATTTTGGGTTACCCGGCCCACCATTAGTGAAAACAGAATTTATCACGTACAAATATAGTATCTAAAGTTAATTAAAAATTCTTTATTTGCTTTTTGAAAAATCTTTAAAAATTTTCTTTCTTCTATTCTAACAAACATCTTCATCTCCGTCCTCGGGTTTCTCGTTCAAATCAAAAGGATAATATTTCTCATTCAAATCTATCTGATTCATGCAATTCTCGGGAATTCTATTTGGCTCTTTTACCATTTGTTGATTTTGCTCATCCAAATTAGTTTCTGTTTCCTCCTCCTCTCGATTGATAAGATTTCCTTCTTCAGATTGAATGCCCTCTTCGTAAACTATTGGCAATTTATCTTTATTTCTAAAATCATCATTTTGTGGATTAGAAGTTCCTCTTTCGTTATTATCAGAATGAACAATTCCTAGTACTGTTGGATCTTGTAAATTTGTTTTTCTATTTTTCTTTTTCTCTCGATATTTTCGAGCAGATTCTCTCCTCTTTTCTCTATTATTTTCTCGATATTTTCGATCAGTTTTCCGCTTCTTTTCTAAATTATTTTCTCGATATTTTCGATCATATTCCCGCTTGCTCTCCCTATTGTTTTTCCAGTAAATCTTCATATATTCCTTTCTATTAAACTTCTTTTCTTCTTTTTTATCTTTTTTTGTGCCCTTTTTTGTAATTTTAGGTTTTGGTTTTAACATTCGAATTTGAGGATCGACCGATGATTCAGCCATATCGTTATCCTTTGAGGTTTTCCCAACTCTAGTTAACTCATTTTTATTTTCATTATTTTTAACAGAATTAATTAAACTCCAAAATATCGCATTTACGATTAAAATTATTAAAATACTATCAAGTTTCATCATAAATGAATTTTTAAAATTTATTTAAAATAAAATTTTATTTACTACAAATTAACCAAAAATGATAAATTTTAATTTAATGAATTTAAATAAGCAATATAGATGAAAAAACACATTTACATTTCATAATAAAAAATATAAAGTGCATGTCTAAATTAAAAAAGGAAAGTGCATTGTGAAAGGTCTTAACCAGGGGTGATCGAAATTTCGTACCTTTTCGCTATTTCTTGCCTTTTTTCCATTTCTTCTAATCTTTTTCTGACAGACTCCATTAATCATCGTCCTCAGGTTTCTCGTTCAAATCAAAAGGATAATATTTCTCATTCAAATCTATCTGATTAGTGCAATTCTCCGAAATTTTATTTGGCTCTTCTACTACTTGTTGATTTTGCTCATCCAAATTATTTTCTGTTTCCTCCTCCTCTCGATTAATAAGATTTCTTTCTTCAGATTGAATGCTATCTTCGTAAACGATTGGCATTTTGCCTTTATTTCTAGCATCATCATTCTGTGGATTAGAAGTTCCTCTTTCGTTATTATCAGAACGAACATTTCTTGGATCTTGTAAGTTTTCTTTTCTATTTTTCATTTTTTCTCGATACTTTCGATCAGCTTCTCGTTTTTTTTCTCTATTATTTTCTCGGTATTTCCGTTCATATTCCCGCTTCTTTTCTAAATTATTTTCTCGGTATTTTCGCTTATATTCTCTTCTCTTTTCTTTATTATTTTGGTAATACTTTCGGACAGATTCACGACTTTTTTCCTTATTATTTTTACGATAAATTCTCATACATTCATTTATATACAGCCTCTTTTCTTCTTTAGTATCTTTTGTTGTGCTCTTTTTTGTAATTTTAGGTTTTGGTTTTAACATTTGAATTTGAGGATTAACCGATGATTCAGCCCCATCGTTATTTTTTGAGATTTCCCCAACTCTAGTTAACTCATTTTTCTCCTTAATATTTTTAACAGAATTAATTAAGCTCCAAAATATCGTATTGACGATTAAAATTATTAATATTCTATCGAGTTTCATCCTAAATTAATTTAAAAATTTTATTTAAAATAACTCTTCAATTAATTAATCAAGAGTATTAAATTTGAATGTTAATATTAAACTTAAATAAATAATAGTGTAAATGAACTTTGTTTATAATATTTATTTATTTATGTTTCATAATAAAATAGACGTTTCTCAGTGAAAGTGCATTGTTTTAAAATTTTAGGATGTACTTTCGGTCGTCAACACCAGTTGACCAGCCCTGGTATTGACGACCGAAAGTACATCCTAAAATTTTATCATAATGCACTTTCACTGAGAAAACCTCTATTTTATTGTGAAATGTAAATAAAATAGATTACTTAAGTTCAACATTAACGGCAAAATTTATTATTTTGACATTAAGTTTAATAATTAATTTATAATGAGACTTGATAGAATATTAATAATTTTAATCGTCAACGCGATATTTTGGAGTTTAATTAATTCTGTCAAAAATAATAAAGATAAAAATGAGTTTAGTAGAGTTGAGGAAACCTCAAAGGATAATGAAGGAGCGGAATCATCGGTTAATCCTCAAATTCAAAAAGATGAGACGTTAAAACCAAAACCTAAAATTTCAAAAAAAGTCAGAACAACTATAGATAATAAAGAAAAGATAAGAGAAAGTAGGCAAATTTACTACCAAAATAACAAAGAAAAGATAAGAGAAAGTAATCGAATTTACTACCAAAATAATAAAGAAAGGTTGAAAGAATATTGCCGAAAATATCAAGAAAACAACAGGAAAAGGTGCGTGAATGTCATAAAAAATATCTAGAAAATAAAAGGAAAAGAGGCGAGAAAGAGAACGAAATTATTACCAAAAAACTAAAGAAAAAAAGAGAGAAAGTGTGCGTAATTACTACCAAAATAATAAGGAGAAGAAGCGAGAATATGATCGAAAATACCGAGAAATTAGGAAAAATAAACAAGAAAACTTAAACAAATTTGATCTAAAAGAAAGAAATTTTCATTCTGATAATGAGGAAAATTCATTTGTTAATCCGCAGAATGAGGATTTGAGAAATAAAGGTAAATTGCCAATTGTTTACGAAGATAGCATTCAGTCTGAAGAAGGAAATCTTATTAATCCGGAGGAGGAGGAAGCTGAAACTTATGTGGATGAGCAAAATCAAACTGTGGTAGATGAGCCAAATAAAATTCCCGAGAATTGCATGAATCAAATAAATTTAAATGAGTATCCTTTTGATCTGAACGAGAAACCTAAGGATAACGATGAAGATGGATGTTAGAAAAAACTTGAAGAAAGAAATAATGTTAAAATATTCAGAGTAGATTAAAGAATTGTAACCCCTAAGACAAATTTTCGAAATAAATTAAAATTAAAAAATAATAATTTTTTATCTTCTTTATTGCTTTTTCAAAAACTATAATAATTCTGTATTACTGCTAAATTTGTTGGGGGTTGGCATTTGAACATTAGTGATGTTCGGGGGAAGAAAAAACTTGGGGGAGTCGGGTCGGGATTGGAAAAACGGGAGTCGGGTCGGGAATTGGCGTCGGGATTGGGATAACCGAACATCATTTGAACATCCCTGAAATAAATTTTACTCCTGGCATAAATCGAATTTTTTGGTTACCAAAAAAAGGTTACCAAAAAAATTCGATTTATTTGCTTATTATTTTACATTTTTTATTCGTTTTATACTTCTTTTTATTCTTAAGCCATCCAGCAATTTGGTCTTTTCAAGCATTACTTGAAAGCAATGCACAATTGAATGTGCCAGCAGAATGCCCACATAATAATAAAAATAATTTTTGTCTCCCACCTGAAGGAATGGCATTAAAAGGGAAATGCTTACTACTTTTGGGTGAAGGAAATGAATAATTTTGAGGTAAAGGATTTTTGAGAGAAAAATTGAGGGAATATTTTACAAGTTTTTTAAAGGTTTATTCGATTGATGCTTTAACATTCCATTTGTTTTTACTTGAAAATTTTTTTAATTCAACTATTAATTATACAATATTCAACAATGTCGTTAAGAACAGTTACTGCTGGTGTTAGCAGTGTTATTGGAGGTGTGTAAATTTTTTTCTTGTTGATTTTCGATATCATGTCGGTTCCTGGAAAGGTATTTGTGTAGTTCCCCCTCCCTAAGTCGCGCCCACTTTTTTCTACACATGTCCCCTGGAAATTCTTCGGATACTCGAAATCGAACCGAAGAATCAAACCGAAAAATCTCCTCGGTTCTTCAGCTCGGTTATCGGTCCAGAACCGATAACACTTGTCAGAAACGATGAAGCTGAAAAATAGGGTGGGCCAACGAATTAATAAACCTAAGACTTTTGATTTTTTTGGTTCGGTTCTGGATATCCTAACATTTTGTATAGCTGACAATCTTATCCCAAACATTTTATTATAAGTTATTTCCCAGCTTTTTTGAGGTTTGAAAGACCAAGGAGCCAGATTTCTTTCTTTTTTCGAGAATTTTGGGGGCTCACTTTTTCCTCATTCCCTTCCTAAAATTTTTTTTCTTTTCCCCATTTCGAGGGGGATGGATGGAATTCCGGTCCCTAGGTTACGGGCCAGCTTAAGATGTAAAAACACAAGAAACCGGTAATAATTTCCCCCTTTTTATTTCAGTTGAAAAAATCAAAGGTTGGAAAGTTGTACACAAATCATTACCTCGTATTATTGAATATGGGCGTAGTGAGGGTATACTACAGGTTTTTCGTATTCAAGTCTAAACTGAAGAAAAAAAATAAATTTAAAGGCCACAGCTTCTATGCCCGGTATTGTTCTTGCAGCGCACGATGCTGCCCATCACCAAGCTAGTAAAGACAATAGAAATGGGGATAAAGTGCATTTACCTACTAACGACCTTACATGTTGGTTTTAATTTTTTTGGTCTTTTTTTTCTGTTCATGCCTGGGTTCATAAGCAATCTTCCAATTTCCGAAAATTTAGGCTGATTTCCGAGTTTCGACTTTTGACCCATTTCCGATTTCCGACACCGTCTTTTCCGATTGACCTTAAGTCATAGATTCAATAGGAGAAAGTCGCATCGTGTTGCTTCTGGTATCCTTTGACTCATACTCTGACAAGGTTAAACACTGGTTACACCTTTGCTAGAATCCAAACATATTTTCCAACAAGTTAACAACCCTCTAGTTGATTTTTACAGAAAATACCAGAAAACAAGGCGTCCTCCTCCCTTCTATTTTTAATTTTTTTCCAATTTTTTTCAATTTCTTTCAAATAGTAATGCATGAAGCCATTCCATTCTTACCTTTACCTGTAGCTTTAACTTGCCTATTTATGAATGTTGTATTGCCTGGTTCCGGAACAATTTTTAGCGGTTTTGCAGCTCTTTGTATGGGGCAACCTCGTGTTAATATTAAAGAAGGAAGGAAATTGGTTACTCTTTTTGTTAATTTTGTTGTAGGGATAAGGTTGGGGGTTCCTAATTTTTTCTCCAAATTTTTTAATTTTAAAGCCAATTTTTTACTATTACCTTTATGTTTGTTGGCTGGTTTTGGTCTATTGCTTGGGGTGGTCTGTTAACTATACACGCAAGTAAAAAAATTTTCTAATAATTTTAAGTTTAATTTTCCAACTGTAATTATATTTTATTAACTAAGCCGAGGGAGGCGGCTTCTGGGTTCCGGCATTTGTGGGATACTTTCGATTTCCACTTCCACATTTTGGGATTTGACCCACCTCTCTTTTTATGAGATTCTTAGTTTACTATCCACTAAAAAGCTTTTATCTAACGTTAAAATTGAGTAGGGTTAATATTTCTATTCCAACAGACGACCTAAGAGGCTGTTAAAAGTTTAGCCCCGACCGATCCTGTGACTTTTTGCTACCGGTTGAATCTCTCCTCCTTACTATATCTTTTTTCCCTGTTCAATTTTTTATTTCTTTCTTATCTACTTCAAAAATTCAACTTTAAAATTAAAAATAAAAAAAATTATTTTTTTAAGTGCAATATCGAGAAGCTTTGCAACAAAGGAGAAGCGAAGCTGTTGCTACTGGTAAACTTTACCCTTCGATTTTCTAAAGAAAAATTTTTCTTTCCTAAAGCTGCAATAGAAGCATTAACTAAAGATTCAATTTTACATCGTCGTGATGTCAAAACTCTAGTTAAGCAACACAAGGATAGAGGAAAGGAAGAGAAGGGTAAAGCTGAAGCAGCAGCAAAAGCAGCAAGTAGATCACAAACAAAATTAGCAGTAGAGAATGGCACAATTGCTACAAATAATTCAAAATTAACTCCAATTGATATTTTTAATAGTAACAAAAATAAAATTGTACCCTCAAATTGAAATTATTTATTAGGTAGAGGTCGGTAAAATCGCATTCACAGGATCCCGTGACGTGATTTTTTTTCAAAAATTTTTGCGGGACAGAATCCCGCGGGATTAATCTCGTAAATCCCTATAATCCCGTTCGTCGCTTAAAATTTTTTTACAGGATCCCTACAATCCCGTACGGAATCCTTCCCGTGCCGATCTCTAATATTAGGCTGGGTATTGGCTATTTTGTGGCTCTGGATCTGGCTTGGGACCTTTTTTTTTCAAAGCTCGACTCCTACTCCAGAAGGTTTTTAGTTCTTGACTGGTTCCGGTTTTTTATTTCCGGCCAGTTCTGGAGTCATACCAATCACTGAATATTCTATACTTATATATTGAAAAATATTTTTTATATTTTATTTTTGAAGATTAATTGTTGTATTTAAATTAATTATCTGAAATTTTTTGAAATTATATACCTGTTGATTTTGAATGGGTTTAGGGCATATTTTGAGAAAATGTCTGGGCTATGGGTACAAGAAAAACCCCCAGACCCAGCTCGGTCTCTATGAGATATCTTCCTTCCTTATCCTCCTTCCTGATTCCCCTCTCCTGCGCTTTCCTTTTTTTTTGGTAGGCTGACCGACATTTGCTAACATGCTCAAAATACCACTCAAATGATGGGTGTGTATCGTTAAAATATTTAAACTGTCCAAAACCAGGAACCGTTCTTATTTTGAAATCCGGAAGAATACATCCAAGCTAAAATTTTATTTTTTAAAGATTTTTCAGATTTAATGGCTCTATTATTTTTAAATTTATTTCCAAAAATATTTGTCAGAAATGCAAGTTCAAGTTGTATTAATAGTTTTACTTTGAGGACTCATAATTGTGGGGAACTTAGACTGGAACATGTTGGTTAGTTTGTTTTTTAAATTTTATTGAAAAAAATTTTTTTTTGAAATTTTTTTGAAAAATCTTTTTGAAGAAAAATTTTCAGAGAATTTTAAAATTTTTCAAAAAAATTTTTTCATATTTTTTTGAAAAATTTTTTTCAAAAAAATTTTTCTGAAAAAAATTTTATTTTTTGAAAAATTTATTAAAAAAATTTTTTTTTAATAAATTTTTCAACAGAATTTTTTTGGAAATTAAAAAAATTTTTTTAGGTTAATGTCTATTTTATTTAAATTTAATTTTAAAAATCAAAATTTCATTTAAGAAAATTTCAAAAAAATTTTTTTTTAATTTTTAAAAATTTAGGACAACGAGTCAAAATTTATGGGTGGCTAGAGACTAAAAGGATGGACAGTTTGTTTTCTTTTTTAAATTTTTTAAAAATTTTTTTAGAATTTTTATTAATCAAAGACGCCTATGGAAGTGTTCAAGCTTTGGCTTCAGACCAAATGAAGGATTTGATTAAATCTTTAAAAGAGCAGTCTTCTGTTTGTGTGGAAGGGACAGTTTTGGATAGAGGGAAGGATAGAAATAATAAAATACCTACTGGACAGATTGAGGTTTTATTTGGGATTTTTTAGAATTTTTGGGAATTTATTTTGGGGCTTATGGAAAAATATAAGGTCCTTTTGGCTCCGGGTAGTCCTATAAGGCTTTGGAAAGTCCGCAAAAAATTTCTAGATTTCCGGGAGTAAAAGAAGCAAAAAATTTTTTGATTTAAGGAAGAGGGGGATTAAGTGGCTAGTATTTAAGAAAATGCTTTTTTCTTAAATACTAGCCACTTAAGGCAAAAATTTAAGAACTACAATAAGTAGATTAGAGGGGAAGGTAGCGTTAATGATTTGAGTTAATTTTTCAATCTCTCTCTCTAGATTAGAAAGAGAGGCCAAATCAGCGCCCCTGGTTTAGTAGTACGTGTTGAGAGAATTTGCCTACTAATTGTAAGGTTGAGCAAATTCTGGTAACTTTACCCTACCACAATTTTTGGACATTTAGACTTTTTTAGGGCCGGCTCTGCAACCCTAATGCCTAACAATAACTCTTTTAAAAAATATTCAAATTAGATTTTTTTATTTTTAGATTGATGCTGAAAAGATAGGTTGTCGATAAATTTTTGGTTACTCAATCTTTCTGAATTTTAGAAATTTTTAATTCAATTCCTAATGCTTTGCCAGTGTTTAATTCTTCAACTGAATTAACACGGTAATTTTAAATTTTTTTTTGGTTTGGTGGTCTCCACGATTAAGTCAAAGAATTGACTTTTTTGACAAAAAATTAAAATATTTTTTGAGAATTTTGGAAGGTCATGGGCCAAACAAAAATTCACTTTTTAACTCACTCCCCTCCCGAAATTATTTTTTTTTTCGTTTTCCCCATTTTGGGAGGAGGGGGGCATTCCCCTTGGTTAATAAGGTTGTCAGGGTCCGAATCCGAAAAAAGATTGAATCTTCGGAAATTTTAGGCGCGGGTACCGGATCCGGATATTTTACAATTTCCAAGTATCCGACAACCTACTGTTTTCGAGCTTACAGACAGGAAATAAGTTTGACCATTATGAACTTATTGAGGAAGGAAAATGGGGGGGGGGGTAGGATGCTAGGCTCAGATTTACTCATAAAAATGATTATATTTTTTCAGTTTGACTCATCGCTATCTCGATTTACGCTCTGAAAAAATGCAGCATGCCTTGAGGTTTTTAAAAGTAGTTTTTTAAAAATTTTTAAAATTTTTTTTTAGATTTCGGGCTCAAATTATAAGTAAAATGCGTAGATTTTTGGAAGATGAATGCTCTTTTGTTGATATTCAGGTTTTTTCTTGAAAAATTTTTTTCTGGAAATTTTTTGGAATTTTTTGGGATTTTCTCTGAAGATTTTCAAAAAATTTCAAGAAAAATTTTTTCGAATTTTTAAAAAATTTCTTGAAAATTTTTTAATTTTTTTGGAGTTTTCTCTGAAAATTTTCCAAAAAAATTCTGAAAATCTTCAAAAAAAATTTCCAAAATTTTTAGAATATTTTTTAAATATTTTTTAATTTTTAGACCCCAACTTTAAGCCATTTTACGCCTGGTGGTGCAAATGAATTTCCTGTGCCTGGCAATGATTCAGGCGAATGTTTTAGTCTTCCACAGGTTTTTTTAAATTTAATTTTTTATTTAAAAAATTAATATCTTAGAGCCCTCAGATTTACAAACAATTGTTAATGTGTGGAGGAATTGACAAATATTATCAGGTTTTTTTTTGGTTAAGGATACAATTTTAAAATTTTCCCCTATTTTTTGAATTTTTTTTTGAATTTTTTCTATTGAATTTTAAATTTTTTTTGGCTTTAAAAAAATAAATTTTGTTTTGGAATAAGAATGTGTCTCTCTTTTTCATGTTGACCAAAAACTAGGAGAAAAACTATGAGTTTCTTTTTATCTCTTGTCACGTTTCCCCCTTTAAAAAAAATTTTTTTTACTCTTATTTTGAATTAGGTCCGTGTTCCCTTTTGGCAAAGAAAAATGAATTTTGACCCTCCTTTTTTTAATTTTTTTGTCCAAAAAAATTTTGTCCTTATTTTTAGGATTATTTTTTTAAATTTTAAAATTTTTTTGAATTTTTGGGGCGTTAAAAAATAAATTTTTTTTATTTCTCAAAAGGTTGCAATTTGTTATAGAGACGAACCTACCAAACCTAACAGACAACCAGAATTTACACAATTGGACTTGGAATTGTCTTTTACTAATCAAGAAAAAATTATTTGTTTAATTGAACAAATTTTAATTAATTCGTGGCCTAAAGAATTGGTTTTTTTGAAAAAAAATTCTTTGAAAATTTTTAAAATTTTTGCAGGAAGAATACAAACCAACCGTTCCTTTTCTTCGAATGGATTATTCTGAAGCGGTTAGAAATTTTTATTTTTTTTTAATTTTTTAAATTTTTATTTTTGTACTGGAGATAGGCCGGTTGGGGGGAAGGTTGGGGAAGCCGGTTGGAAGAATTTTTTTTTTTGAATTTCTATAAACTTATACGATGGGGAGGGATGAGAAAGAAAGAGTGTCGGGGTTGTCAAAAATTTTTTCAAAATTTTTTTGTTTCTCTAGTTGGGTTTAAAGACCCCATCCCCTATTTACCCTTACCTTACTTCTCCTTACCTTAACTTGGTAGGCGAAAACACCTAGCAGCAAAAACTGTCAGGAGACCACAGGACCTACCTGCTACCTGCCTCTTTGGCTTGCTTGTATTGAAAAAAATTAAGTATTGAAAAAAATTAAATTGAAAAAAATTTATATTTAAAAATTTATATTGCTTCGTATTGAAAAAAATTAAAAATTGCGGACAAAAATTTGCGGACAATTCTTGCGGACAAAAATTGCGGACTTTTCTTGCGGACTTTCAAAAAAATTAAATTAATTTTTCAGTTGACAAAATTTGGAACAGACAAACCGGTTAATTTATATTTTTTTGAAAAAAAAATTTTTTTTAAAGGATACAAGAATTCCTTGGGAAATAACTGATTGTTTATTGGAAGATAATTTAATTAAGGCTAAAATGTTTGTTGCCAAGGGCGCTCAAAAATATTTAACTAAAGGAAGGATGATACGTTGGGAACAGAAAATTGATATGTTGTCTTTTAAAAAGGTTTGAAATTTTAATCTTAAAAATAAAAAAATTTGCGGATTGTCCGCAAAAATTTTGCGGTCAAAAATTTTGTCCGCAAAATTTTTTGCGGACAGTCCGCAAATTTTTTTATTTTTCAAAATTTTTCTTTGAAATTTTTTGGAAAAATTAATTTAAATTTTTTAATTTAAAAAAAGTATCTTTTTAAATTCCTTCAAGGATTATTCAATTATTCGCCCATCGTCAATCAACAAATTTAACAAAATTCAAATAAATAAAGTCCATTTATTAAATTTAAATTTGGACAAGGATAATGATGTTATTGTTATTTGGTAATTTTTTCTATTAAAAAAATTTTTTTGACAAACTATTTTTATAAAAATTTTGCAAAAAATATCAGAAAAAAATTTTGTCCGCAAAATTTTTGCGGACAAAATTTTTTGTCCGCAATTTTTAATTTTTCATAAATTTGTTTAAAAAATATTTTCAATTTTATTTTTTAGTTGGGGCGATTGTGAAGAACATATATTAAAAGTTCTAGGTATTTTTTTAAATTTATTTGAAGAAAAATTTTTTTTCAAAGGGTATTTGCGTAATTATTTGGCTGAATCAGTTTTTGATTATTTCCAACCTAATCAATTTAATTTTGTTTGGATTCAACGATTTCCTTTATTTGTAAAGAATGAGGAAAGCGGGAAAATAGAAAGCGCACATCATCCTTTCACGGTTTTTTTTTGAAAAAAAAATTTGTTTGAAAACTTTGTCCGCAAAATTTTTGCGGACAAAATTTTTTGTCCGCAATTTTTCATTTTTTTCTGCAAAATTTGAAATTTCTTGGAAAATTTTTTCGAAATTTTTTTTTGAAAATTTTAATTTTTAGGCTCCAATATCTGAACATGAGGAAGATTTGAAAAATGGAATAAATTTGGATAAAATTGAAGGTTTGAAGATGAATTGCTAAGAAAAAGGGTTTTTAATTGATATAGTCAAACCACACTTTTAGACAATGGGGTGGATTTCAGGGGGCATCCCCCCATAATTTAGCGCCGAAGGAAATTTGGCACTAAATTAGGGAATACCTAGTTTTGGATGTACCTTATACTGACTTTCGACTGCACTAGCATTTGCGAACTAAATTTGCGGATTTTAGACTTGGGGTTAACTAGTTTTGGGAGTATCCTATACTGAGATCCGATTATATTATCCGCAATTTTAAAAATTTTGCGGACTAAAAATTGCGGATTTTGTCCGCAATTTTCAAAATTTTATATATAGCTCAACATTACGATCTTGTACTTAATGGAGAAGAAATTGGAGGAGGGTCAATACGAATTCATAATGCGGAACTGCAAGAACATGTCTTAAAAATTCTTAAAATTGATTCTGAACCTTTGGTAATTAAAAAAAATTTTTTTTGATAGATTTTTAATACTTTAAAAGAAACTCTAAAAATCTTTAAAAAAATTTTAGAAACATTTACTCGAAGCTTTACGATATGGAGCACCTCCACATGGTTTTACTTTTAAATATATTATTAAAAAATATTTTTCCTTCAGGTGGTTTTGCATTGGGATTGGATAGATATATAGCTATATTAAATGCTAGAGGTTTTTAATTAATTTTTTAAAAATTTTTTAGTTGCGGATTTTCTAAATTTGCGGATTTTAAAAAGCAAAAAAATTTTTGAAAATTGCGGACAAAATTTTTTTTGCTTTTTAAAATCCGCAAAAAATGTTTTGTCAGTAATTTTCAAAAATTTTTTTTAATTTTTTCTAAATTTTTAGGAGATTCAAAAGCTTCTATACGCAATGTCATAGCCTTCCCAAAATCAGCATCTGGTAAATGTTACATGACAGGTTCACCTGCAAAACCTGATAAATGGTTACTTGAACGTTATAAATTAAAAATTGTTGAAGAGGACCATGAAGAATTTGATTCTTATGAAAGGTAATATTATATTTTGTATTTGCTGATTTTGAAAAATAGTCAGGGAAAAGATTGACTTTGATTTTTAGTTTATCCTTCAAAAAAATTTTTTAACGTCCTGTTTAAACTGGAAGGTGCAACGCTGTACCAGGGGTGGGGGTCGATTTTTTTTCAAATTTTCCTTCGGATCGGATTGCGAGTCAATTTAAAAAAATTTTAAATTTAGGAAAAAATGTTTTGTTTTGATAGGCCAATAAGCCATATTTCTTCCGTTTATGGAAAATTTTCCATGGAAAATTCAAGGTTTCAGGTAACCCGATTCATTCCCTAGGAGGTATAACGAGAACAGGAAATGAAAAAATTTTTATTTTCTGAAAAAAAAATTTAAGGGTAAAAGCTAACAAAGGAAAAATAGAGGAAAAATATAAATAAAAAATAATTCAGAAAAAAATAAACTAACACTAAAACAATGAGATACTTCAATGAGCTTCTTCAACTTCACTAAAATGCACGGGTGTTTTTAAGGGTATTACTGACTTCTTCCCAACATCCCAAGAAAGTGCTTTTCTCATATCTAAAAAATTTTTTGTCCAAAAATTTTTTTAAAAATTAAAAAAAATACCAAAAGCATCCTCATCAGTTTTTCCATCATCTGTAGCCGAATAATAATCAGTAATTTGCCTAAACACTGTATATCCCAAATTTTCATACATTTTGATTGCTGTAGAATTTGAGACGCGTACAAATAAATCAACAAAATAGCAATGTTTTCTGAAAAATTAAAAAAAATCGTCACTTTTTAAAGTAGTAGAGATAGAACAAAGACGATCAAACAAAAAAAATCTCTAGATTATCGAAATCCTTTTCTGTTCTTCACTTTTTCCCAACACGGTTAACAATACGTGAGCACCAACTGGAGGTGGTTGATGGTTTTATGTCGTCATGATCTTGGTGAGCACCAGAATTCAGACCCGAGAATAAATAACGGGATTTTTGTGTCGACATGGCCCATGGTAAACACATTGCTTGTCTTGCTTATGTTAAGGAAACAATGGAGGAAAACAGAAAGAAAAAACTACAAGAAATCAGCAAAACCCCCCCCCCCCCCACTTAATAATTTTTAAAATTTAAAAGTAAAAAAAACAACAAACTCCTCAGAAATTTCCTCCAATAATTTCATAAATTTAGCTGCCAATCCCATCCTTCGAAAATCTGATGCAACTGTCACAGCTAGAAATTTATAATTATTTATTTAAAAAAGTAAGAAAAAAACCTGTTACATGCCCATGCCATTCTTGTCCTCTGCCTTCTGCTTTTCCCATAACTTGAAAAAAATTTAAAAAATTAACCTAACATAAGAGAAGGCCGCTAACTATATCCCATAATTTGACCAGTTGGGTGTTCTGCAACATGAAAATATTCGGGCCAATTGATTAAATATTGCATGTAGAAAGGCAACCCATACTTTAAAAAATTGAAATTTAATTTTTAAATTTAATTTAAATTTGATACTGTTTCTGTAAGCGGATCGAGGTTGACATTATTAAATCTGAATAAATCGCTTGGTTCAAATGGACGTATTGTAGTCATTTTTTGAGGAAGATTATGTAAATTTTCTGGATTTAAAAAATATATTATACGCTTCAACAGAAAGCTCTTGATGTGAAGCATTATTTTATATAACAGGATCAATTTGATCAGATCATCCTATCCAAAGTTAGAGCCGAATAAAGTTCACAAATAACGACCGCGCGCACTTTTACAACTACAACTTTTTGTAGGTTGTTCTGATTAAATCGATCCTGTTAGACAAAATAATCCCCACATCCATAGCTTTAGAATGATATAAAAATTATCTAAATCGGTTAAGGATCAAGAAAGTTATGGCCCAAAATGTGGCCTGAGACTGAAACGGCCATATGTTTACTTTAAAATTTGTTGTTTTGGCGTTAAAAAATACTTTGGCGTTATGTTTATTTTAAATGACATTTTACGGTAGGGGACCATTGTGTACCGCCGTTTGTGTACCGCCGTTTGTGTACGGCCGGTTGTGTACCGCCAGTTGTGTACTTGGCCGTTTGTGTACCTGGCCAGTTGTGTACCGCATTATATAGGAATATAATAAGGGAATATAGATTATATTCCCCAACTTGGAATCTTATTAGAAAATTCGAAATGCAAATTCGACCAAAATTGCCATGATTTAACAAATTTGGACAAAGTTACGATTCAAAAATAAACCAGTAAACCTATGGGCGTCGGCGAGACGCTTGTGCAAAAGCCCGCGCTTCGCGCGGGCTTTTGCGGCACGCGTCTCGCGGGAGTCAACGGTCGCTGGGTTCCGTACCAGTAACATAAACCTATTCCTTTTATCGATTTTTTGAGTTGAAATGCCGACCTATTCTTCGTAGCAACACAAAAAGTTCTTTAAGTGAAGATACGGCCTAAAATCCCCTGATAAAGTAACCTTGGGTCTAATAAGATTCTGAATTGGGTGATATAGTCTATATTCCCTTACTATCTTGACAGCAATACTTTCGTTCTGGGATATATAAAGACAAAAATTCTTAAAAATGCGGGTACACAAACGTCCCCATTTGGGTAGGTACACAACCGGCCGTACACAACCGGCCAGGTACACAAACGGCAAGGTACACAACCGGCGGTACACAACTGGCCGTACACAAACGGTGGTACACAAACGGCCGTACTCAATGGGGACACGCCCAAAACTGCGCGAGCCAAAACTGCGCGACCGAAACTGCGCGACCGAAACTACGCAGGCCAAAACTGCGCAAGCCCAAAACTGCGCAGGCCAAAACTGCGCAAAACTAACTAGAGGATGGAGTCTCTTCCGTTGCTTTCCGTCTTTTTTTTTGCTGTTCCGCCTTCCGTTTTTAAAAGTCGGTGTTCATCAAAATTTATTAAATGTAAAACATTCTAACAAAAAATTCAATAACCAGGATAATAAACCAGGAAAAAAACATAGTTTTATAACCTAAGTTTAAATTTAACTAGTTAGTCTTCAATAAGATGTGTCCAAGCTTAATAAAGAGACTAGTTAGTTTCCTTTAACTCAGGGCTCGGATCGACAAAATGCCACTCAAAAGTATCAAAATCTTGTAAAAAAAAGTACATAGGCAGAAAATTTGCTAATAAAAAGTACGCTCCAAAAATTTCGTGTACGGGTTTCGAGTTTAGCGAAAAATTCTTGTTATTTTCTGGTTATTTGGGTGATATAGAGAGAGGCAAATTTGAAGAGATTAAAAAGACATTGTGGGATTTGGGGACTAAGAGAGATATCTTGGTATAATTCCACTATATACTAATATCCCTCCGCCTTATCTTTATTAAAATCTCCAATTTCCTCCCGTTTTCAGCGCCGCAGGCAAAAATTTTGTGAATTTACGAGACCAAGAAGCCAGATTTTTTCCATTTTTTACGCCACAGGCGAAAATTTTGAGAATTTTGGAGGTCCTTAAGCCAGATTTCTTCGTTTTTTCAAAAATGTTGATAAAAAAGTACATACTTTCAAAAAAGTACAAATTCAATTTCTTAAGTACGGAGGTCGATAAAAAAGTACAATACTTTTAAAAAAGTACGAATCCGAGCCCTGCTTTAACTAGTTAGTCTAAAAACCTTCAGAAAAACCTTCGGAACTTTCTCGACCAAAAACAAGTATTCTTTGCTCATCTTCTTTCCAGGTTTATATTCATAACGTTGGTAGTTCTGAGGAATTACCAAAACAGCGCGACTTTCATTATTTTGTGGTGCATCTTGTGCCGGAGTCGAATCCGTTTAACTACTCTGCGTATAGCTGACTTGTTCGTTATGAGAATGTTTTTCTTTATTTTTTTCCTTTATTTATTTTTACTAAATAGTTTTGCGCAGTTTTGGCCTGCGTAGTTTTGGGCTTGCGCAGTTTTGGCCTGCGCAGTTTCGGTCGCGTAGTTTCGGTCGCGCAGTTTTGGCCTGCGCAGTTTTGGGCTGTACCCTACTCAATGATCGCGTTCCGGACATTTTATCTTTTCGACTTTTTTCTCATTCCACTCTCTCATTTAGTCATTCTCTCTCGTTTTTTTATATTTTTTTGTGTTTTGTATTTTTCAGTCTATTTTTTATATTCCCCAGACAATGCAATTGCTTTTTCAAGCAGAAGAACGTCAAAAATAAAGAAATTTATATTTTTTGTTTATTGGGACACGCGGCCCATTTTTTAAAGTTTTCTTTGTTAATCTTTCTTTATTCTTTAGTTTTTTCGGTTAATTTTAAGAGGATTTCTAGTCTTTTAATTGTCTCATGTTGTAAAACACGTGCGGGTAATTAGTGTCGTTTACGCGCCTCTTTTCTTTTTTTTTCAATTTTCTCTTGATTTTTGGTGGGTATTTTTAAGTTTCGTAACATTGATTAGGGACTAAAGATTGGCCTGGGTCTGGACCAATGCCTGGGTTTTTCCTGTACGCAGAGTCCAGGCCCAGGCATTTTTTGACCTTCCTGGACTACAGGCCCAGGATCTGACCCAGTTCAATAAATTTATCCCAAAACCCAGGAACAGGGCCAGGCTTTTTAAAATAATGGGGGCGGGATTTAAGGACCATCATTTGGCTTAAGGGTACCTTTTTTGGTTATAGGTCACCTTTTAAAATTCAGAGGACCCCTTTAATAAAACAAAATAGTGCCAATAGCTAAAGAATGCTCTCAAACAGTAATGGCTTTAGGTCCCAATGCCAGTCAATATCCTAGAAAAGTGAAAGGGGACTAGAAATGACATTAATTACTCCTACGTACTTATTAGAATGATAAATCTTTTTTTTTCTTTAATCTTTCAGAAAATATGTCAATTTAAAATATATTCTACTTATTAAACTTACTGATATTTTATTCAAAAAAAGAAAATGAACGGCACAATTAGACGATCTGATCCCTGTGGTGATTATGAACTCCTTCAACGTGTTGGCACTGGTCTGTTAAATTTTCTTTACCCGAAATTTTCAAAATTTTTTAAGGCTCTTATGGGGAAGTTTACAAGGCTCGTGACTTGAAAACTGGCCTTTTCGCAGCCGTAAAAATCGTAAAATTGGAACACGGCGACAACTTTGCTTCTATTCAACAAGAAGTTTTGATGCTTAGGGACTGTGTCCATCCAAACATTATTGCGTATAATGGCAGCTATTTGCGAAGGGACAGGTTATGGATAGTGATGGAATATTGTGGTGGAGGATCGTTACAGGACATTTACCAAAGTTTGTTTGAAATTTAAAAAATTTTTGTCCGCAAAAATTTGCGGACAATCCGCAAATTTTTTGCGGACGAATTTTAAAAATACGGATAAATTTTTTTAGTGACCGGTCCTCTGACGGAACTCCAAATTGCGTTCGTCTGCAGAGAAACACTTAAAGGACTAAAGGTTTTTCTAACTTCATCAAATTTAACTTGAATTTTTAAAGTATCTTCATCAACGGGGGAAAGTGCATCGTGACGTTAAAGGAGCAAATATTTTACTTACACACACTGGAGACATTAAATTAGGTTTTTAATTTGTTAAAATGTTTTGGATAATTCTATTTTTTAGCCGATTTTGGAATTGCTGCCCAAATTACTGCTACGCTTGGAAAGCGTCTTTCTTTCATTGGCACTCCTTATTGGTTATTTAATTATGTTTATTAAAATTTTGATTATAGTTAGGGGAAGAAAATTAGGTTCCTTCAAGCAGTTGTCTTGGCCTAGTGGTTAGCGAGCCAGACTTTTTTCAAGGATGATCGGATTAACGCTAGGGTTCGATTCCATCGGGGTCCCGCTTGTTTTTCTACTTGCTTTTAATGACCTTTTTGTGATTTCTTATTGTTTCTTGACTTTTTTAAATTTCATTTAATTTTTAAAGGATGGCACCTGAAGTTGCTGATGTCGAAAACCGTGGAGGTTATGGTTCTGAAGTTGATGTTTGGGCCGTAGGAATAACAGGAATTGAACTGGCCGAGCTTAAACCGCCATATTTTGAATTGCCTCCAATTCAAGTTTTGCATTTGATGACTAAATCGAATTATAAAGTGCCAAAATTGAAGGACAAGAAAAAATGGTTTGAAGTTTAAAAAAACTTTTTTTCTATTTTTTAAAAATTTTTCAGGTCCCCAACTTTTGCTCAATTTATTAAAGCTTGTCTAACAAAAAATCCAAAAAAGCGTCCATCACCAGGCAAATTACTTACGGTTTTTTATTAAAAATTTTTTAGAATTTTTTTTATTTTTTTTTGAAGACAAATCCATTTGTTTCTGGTGCTCTAAGTTCTCGTTTAATTCGTGAATTACTTGACCGAGTAAATCATCCAGACAGAATTGATAGAGATGAACAACAACAGAATGATTATAATGAAGATATAATTGTTGAAAAAGAAGTTAGGAGAAGTAAAAAAGATGGTGGGAAAAGAGAAAATGGAGGAAATAAATTGAGGGAATCTTCTGAATCTGAACAAGGTTTTTAATAGTTTTTTTATTGAAAATTAGATTTCTAGGAGTTTGGTCGAGAGTGATAGGTGTTCCATTAGACCAAAAATAAATATGGGACTAAATTATCAATACATGGGTAGATTAACTAGATACCTGTTTATGAGTAATAAAAAGATTGTCATAGGGTCAGCAACATTCGTTCAGTTTTAATTTTAAATGCCCTATCAAACAATGTGACTGGTCCCTTTCTTGTTTCTGTCTCAAATTTATGGAATAAAAATTCCAAAGAATGGTTCTTTACGGGAGTGAAACATAAGACGTGAGTGTAACACCCTAACGTTTCTTTTGAAACTAGCCCCTGATGTGGCTTTAGAATCCCCCCCCAGGGCTGACGTCGCTCAAAGTTTTCAACCTTTTAATATTTCTTAACTAATAAAAAAATTAATTTTTTTAATTCATTTTAGAAGAAAAATCAAAAACAGCTACTTATCAAGTTGAAAATTTTGCTTCTCATCATTTACACCAATTTAAATCTCCTTACATTAATAATCGTCAGAAAAATGGACGGAAGAATTTGAGAAACAATAAAATTATTCAACAAACAGATGATCGTCCATCTTCATCATCGTCTTCATCTTCCTCAATTTCTTCTTCAATTTCAAATCCACATGGACATGTTAATTTGGGAATGGATGAAAATGATGTTGGGGAAGAGGATGAGGTTTTTTAGGATTTCTTAATGAAAAGAGGAACAAAGATTTTTTCATTTTTAAAGGTTTTTGGTGATGACTGGAATCAACAAATTTCTTATCAAAGCGAAAAAACTTTGGTTGCATCGCAGGGAGATGCTAGTGGAAGAATTATTGATTTGACTCTTCAGGTTAATTTTTATTGAAAATTTTTATAGAAATTTTGGTAAATTTTTTCAAATCTTTTGGCGTCTTGCAAGGGCGTATCCAGGGGGGGGGGGCTGGGGGGGGGATATTAGTCCCATTTTTCAGTTTTTTCTTTGGGTTTTTGACTGGGAAACTTGACTCGTTTCAAATATTGATATCAAAAATTGGCTGAATTCTCTCGATCGTTATTATACTTTGGGCTGTCGGTTCTAGGCAAATCTTTGGATATCCGGATCCACTGCCTTTTGATACCAGAGACCGAACCGAGGAACCGTGCCAAAAATTCTTCATGTTAGGGGCTGGCGGTTTTTGAGAAATCTTTGAATGTCCGAATTCACTGCTTCCTGATACCAGAAACCGGACCGAAAACGGGCCGAAATTTCATCATTTTGGCAGTTAACCGACAATTCTAGTTTGTACGTTAATTTTTTATAAAATATAATTTTTTAAGGAAAATAATGATGGTAATAATATTTTTGAACAACCTTCATTTCAAATTTCTTCTCCTTTACAACCAAATTCTCCTCAAAAAAGGCCAAAAAATTTAAATATTCCAAAAAATGTTTCAAACCAAAAACAACAACAACAACTTCAACCACAACGTTCACATTCTTCATTAAGTAGCGCGCCCAAGTCTTCTTTAATTACTCGAACTCCAACAACAAAAAAAGCTTCAAAAATTTTGGCTAGAATAGATGAATCATTAAAGCTTAAATGGAATAGATTACGTTCAAAATCAGCATCTTTATTAAATGTGCAACAACAATCTTCTAATTATTATTATGGTTTTTTTTTAATTTTTCATGTTTTTGGGGATTTTTTGGGGAGTCCTTTGGGTTTTAAAAATAAGCACGTTCAATAAATACTTTGTCCTATTTCTTAAAGATTTTTTTTTTAATTTTTTTAACTTTCTTTCGTAATGTCAAAAATAGAGACAGGAATGGGATTTTTTAGAAATATTTATTTTGATAACCGAAAGATTTTTGTTCATGATCTTATTTCGGTTTTATCTCTAAATTTATTGGACGGGCTATTTTTGGACTCTTATAAATTAAAAATGGGTAGTAAAAAGATTGTATTGTCCATTATTTGAAAAAAAAAGAAACGAAAGCTTTTTCTGATATTTTTAAACAACTGCTTTCAATTTACTTTTTGTTTACTTTATCTCTTTCGTTTCTTTTGATTTTTTAACGATTTACGGAAGGAAAAGTTGAGCAATATATTTTTGCATGATTTTTTAAAGTTTATTTGACTAGAAAAAGGTCCTTAATTTTATTAATGAAAAAAAAAATTTTTTTTTGCAGCAATAAATCAAAATGGTCCTTTCGCTAGTCCAAGTAATCAAAACAACAACAATAATAATAGCCCAGCCGCAAAAAAGTATGGAACTGCAATAAATCAACATCATACTCATCATCCATTCCAATCTAGACCTATGACTTGTTGCTTTGGAATGGTTTTTATTTTTTTTAATTTTTTAATTTTAAAAGTTTATGGGCATTTTCCGTTTTCTTTCCTCTCTAATTTTCCTTTTTACTTGTATTTTTCCTCCATCTATGCTTTTTTTTTTAAAATTAAAAAGTGTCAGTAAATTCGATGACTTCCCCAACATTTGAGTTTTGGATTGTCGGTTCTTGGAAAATCTTTGAATATCCGGAACCGAACCGAAGAACCAAATTGAAAAATCATCGGTTCTTCGGTTCGGTTTGGTCCAGAACCGACAACCCTGTTTGAGCTATTTCTGACTTACGGCAGCAGATCTCTGACACCTTTAGGTTTACTATATCCAACCTATAGACAAAGGGAAGGAAGAAGAGAGAAATTTTTGGAAAGAATAACGGAAAAGTACCAAAAATTTTCCCAAGAATTTTTAAATAATTTTTTAAAGGTCCCAACTCCCCAAGTTACAATGGGCGCTTGTTTTGTAACAGTTTTACACAAAAGCCCAATAAATGTCAATTGTTGTGCACAATGGTATCACCCTGCTAACAGAAAACAATTCATGGTTTTGGGAGCAGAACAGGGTGTTTATGCTTTGGATTTGAGTGATATGTCTGGAGAGGATGAAGCGCCGTTAGTTCAGGTTTTTTCGAGGGATTTTTTTTATTAATTTTTTGGAGGAATTCGGCGCTGCTCCTGTATATACGTCCAATAAAAAATTTGAATTTTTTTTGTTGTTACAAAGTTAGGGCTGGTTTCAAAACATTTCATGTTCCTAACCTACGCCAACGGGGTCAGGGATGCATAAACTAGACCAGCGCCAAAAAAGCTTTTTTAGTCTGGCAATTTTTTTTTAAATTTTTTTCCTATCAATTTTGACTTGAAAAGTATTTTTAAAAATTTTTTTTAAACTTTCTATGGTTTTTTACTTGTCGGAAATAAATTTTTTAGCAAAACATATAAGGAAAATTTTTTTTGACAATTTCATGTTTTTGGAGAATAGAATACCATCCTATTTTTAAGAGTATTAATTTTCAAAAATTCTTTTTAAATTTAATTTTTTTTAGTCCATCGTATTCATATTTTATAAATTATTTTAAAAAATACTCTTTTTTAAAATTAATTTTTTTTCTTTTTTTTAAAGCTCCACGAACGTCGATGTACCTGGCTTCATATTGTTAACGACACAATAACTGCCTTACAAGGAAAAACGCCTTATTTGTATAGACATGATCTTCTTCAATTATTTCAACAAGAATTAATAACTCAAAAATTGGCTGATAAATTACAAAGGCTTCCTGAAAAGTTTAAACCTAAAGCTTTAATTGGGTCAATCAGAATGCCTGAAACGAAGTAAGTTGACTAAAATATGTGTTTTTAAATTTAATTCTGATTTTGTGTTTTTTTTAATTCTGGTTTGTGTTGCTTTTATAATTCTGATTTTTGTGTTTTCAATAATTCTGGTTTGTAGTTTTTTTTCTAATTTTTGATTTTTGTGTTTTTCCAAATTCTGGTTTATGTGTTTTTTTTTTTGAATTCTGATTTATGTGTTTTTTAGTAATTCTGATTTTTTTGTTTTTCTAAATTCTGATTTTTGTGTTTTTAATAATTCTGATTTTGTGTTTCTTTTTATTCTGATTTATGTATTTTTTCATAATTCTGGCTTTTGTGTTTCTAATAACTCTGGTTTGTGTTTTTTCAAAATTCTGATTGTTTAAATTAATTTGTGTAATATTTGTGTTTCTTTCATAATCCTGATTTTTGTGTTTTTAATAATTCTGATTTTTGTGTCTTCTAAATTCTAATCTGTGTTTTCCAAAATTCGGATTTATGTATTTTTTCTTAATTCTGGTTTTTGTATTTCTTTCAAAATTCTGATTTTTGTATTTTCTGCAAAATTCTGAGTTTAGTTCTGATTTTTTATATTTTCTCTATTTCATTATTCTGATTTTTATGCTTTTTATTATTTTTTTTTGTGTTTTTATATTCTTCTGAATTTATTTTTATTTTTTTCAGGGACTGTTATCAATGCAATGTTGAACGTAGTATTAATGATGGTGAATTATATCTTTGCTGTGCTGTTCCAAATGCTGGTAAATATTTAAAAATTAATTTTTTTATTTAAAATTTTTTTACAGTTTTATTATTTCGATGGTATGACCCGTTGACTCGTTTTGTTTGGCTTAAACGTGTGGAATTGGATAAATTGGCTCTTCCCTATTTGGGACCTCAACATCCACATAAACCGTTTAATTTAGTTTTTGGTTCTGGAGCAGCTAATTCTGATTATCCTATGGTAATTTTGATTATTTTGATTTGTTTTTTAAAGGTAAATTTGAAGAGTTTGTGCCTCAATTTTTATCCACGCCCTTAGATAATTTAATAATAATCTTTAATCGATAGTAGCTTTAGGTATCGTCTAGAGGTATTGGTTAACCATTCCCCCTCCTAATGGCCACATTAACTTTTAGAAAATTGTATTTTTAATTGGGATATACCTAATCATGGGTTATGGTCTAAAATTGAGGTCATTTATTTTAAAATATTTAAATAAGGGAATGTTCTTTATCCTTGAAAATACCTGTTAAATACCTGAATAACTTTTCTCTTAAAAAAATTTTTTTGTTAAGGTTTGTATTGGAATCTCACGTGCTTTGACTTCTCCTGTTGGTACAGCACAACAATTGTTAAATGATTTGAGGAATAATAAAACTTATCAAAAAGACCGTTTAGAACTTCAATTTGTTAATTTTAATGGGCCAGATAACAATAATGGAGTTTCTTCCTCAAATGGTTGTGGCGGTGGTGTTGGAGGACAATTTTTTGATCTCTTTACTTCTGACATTTTTGGTGGTTGTGGATCGTCAGATGATGAATGTTGTTTTACTCCACAAGGACGTTCCCCCAACAATTTTTGTAGTAAAAATGGTATAATGGGTTCAGATATTAACGGAAGAACTATTTGGAGATGGAGGGAAAAACTTGAAAATGTTGTGGCATTGAAACAATTGGATAGAGATACGTTATTTTTGGCTTATGATAATCAGGTGTGGTTGAGAAAATTTATTAAAATGTAAATTTTTTGGTCAAATAAGGTAATATCTTATCGATTTTATTAACTAAAAAATTTTTTTCCGGGGCTAAGTTCACTTCGAATAAAGTTTTGAGAGCTAATTCACCCCTATACCTACAAGCTGATTTTATAAAATAATTTTCTGGTTGTTTCTGGTTAATATTTTGATTGACAATTATTTGTGACATTGGTTTCACGTCTAGGTCTAAGGCATTTTAAAATATTTTAACAAATAAATTTTTTATTAATTTTTACGATACTCTCTACTCTTTTGGGCCTTAAATGCTTCTTATACCTATTGAATAATTTAAGCTTAATAAATTTTATTGATAAAATTTGTTTTTTTAGGGTTTTTTGTTTATTAAATTCATAATAATTTTATTAATAATATATTTTAAAATTAATTTAAAAATATTATAGATTCTTATTACCGACTTGAATGGCAATCAAAAGAAGACTGATTTAATGCAAACACATTTTATTTTTGATTCTCGTTTAGAATATGCAATTCCTCTGTCTGATTCTGTTTTGGGCTTTCATAAACATGGGATACAAGTAAGAGACCAAAGGAATTTTTTTTAATTTTTGAAAAATTTTCTGCAAATTTCTGAAATTTTTTGGGTTCTGAAATTTTTTTTGAAAATTCTGAAAAAATTTTCTTTTAAATAAAAAAGAATTTCTGGATCAATTTTAAGGGAAAATCTTTCTTCCGGGGAGGGGAATTTTTTTAAAAATTAAAAAAAAATTTTTTTTGGAAATTTCTGAAAATTTTTTTGAATTTAAAAAATTGTTTAAACATTCTAAAAAAATTGTTTAAAAAATTAAAAAAAATTTTAAATCAATTTTAAGGGAAAATCTTTCTTCCGTGGAACAATAACACAAGAATTAAATGACCCATCAAAAGATTATCATTTAATTGGGAAAGATAGCCTTATTGTTTTAAAAATGATTAAAAGACGTCGCTGTACAAACCTCAAAATTTCTTCTTTATTATCCTCACAAAATGTAAAAGATGTTAATGTTGAAGATGAGGCTGTTGATGATATTAATGAAGAGGAAGTAGAGGAGGAAGAGGAAGAAGAAGAAGAGGATATTTGTGTACTTACAGGCCATATATCTACAATGACACCTCCATAAGAAAGGTCCTTTCTTCTCTATTAGATGAATATACGTAGGTGCTTTTTAAAAAAAATTTTTTTTTTAATTTAAATTGAGAATTTTATCTCCGGTTTTTTTGGTGCTTTTTTCGTTAAAAAATTTTATACTATTAAAATTTATACTTAAAAATTAGACTCCGGACCAAGACGAGATCTCGAAAAAAATTTTGATTATTGAGTTCAAATTTTTTGAGAATTGATATTCTTCGAGATTAGTGTTAGTCACGAGACGATATATCGACGATATTTTTCGAGATATCGCGAGATTTTTTTCGAGATTATCGATCTTGATCTCGTCTCGATCAATTTTTGAAAAAATCGAGATTTTTTGATAATCTCGATCTCGAAAAATCGCGAATGCCTAACACTATTCGAGATCTTTATTCTTTTATGACTTTCCCAATGTCCGGTGTCTCTATTCCCAAAAAATTTTATTTTGCCTCATTTTTTAAAAAATGTTTGTTTATTTATTTTTCTGTACAATTTTGTGACAATATATTAACTTAAATATAGGTTGTATATTTTAAATATTTTAAACTCATTTGAATGAAAAAATAAATTTAACTTATTTGAAAAAATCATGATTATGTGATTTTTTAATATCTAGATTAGGCTTTGTTAAAATTAAGGCCAGACTCGATTCTTTTTTTGTATTTTTGAATTTAACCGAAGCCACTTTTGGCCGGGCTCTAATTATTTAAAAGGGTTGACTGAAATTTGTTTGACCATTAAAAAAAAATTTTTTTTTGAAAATTTTTAAGAATTTTGCTACTATTTATTTAGAAAAAATTAAATAAATCAAATATCGGTCAACTTATGTCATCTTTTTGTTATTTTATCCGACTTGCCGACACTATTTTTTATGTACTTTAAAAAAGCATATATAATTTTTATTTAATGACTTGGTTATTTTTGTAGGGGGAAATTAAAAATTAAACTGTTTGGTTTAGAATTTTTGAATATTTCTTGAATTTCAAAAAATTCTATTACCCAAGCTAAGCTAATCAAAAAAATTGTTTTTTGCTTTTGAAATAATTAAAATTATAAATATTTTTTAATTAATATATTCTACCATCTCTCTTTAAACCTCTAAAAAATATAGAATTTTTTTTTCAGATTTTACTTGCCATTTTTTCTAATAATTTTTTACCTCCTCTTAAAATATTTTTTCAAAAATTTTTAAATGTTATTTTTTATATTAATTTTTCTTATTATATCAATCACATCCCTTTCTCTCACCTCTATTTTATTTTTATTTTCGCGCAAATTTTCTCATGGTTTTATTTTATATTCCCCTTCTCTGGATCTCTAAATATTTTATTTTATTATTAAATCACATGTTAAAAAAGCTTCTTATCTATTTTTTAATTTTCAAATCCAAATTTATCGCTTTATTATTTAATTTTTTCGATTGAAATTTTGTTTCCGCTATTCATCAAATTATTTTCTAGAAAAATTTTTTTGATAATTTTTTGTCAATTTCCGAAACATTTTCTTTAATGTTTGTTATTTAAATTTGAGAAAAAAAATAATGTATGTTCGTTAAAATTCTTTGAAAAAATTGTTATAAATCATTCTTTTCTATAAATGTTTACTAATATTATAAAAATATTTTTATCATTTTATATGCTTTCTCAAACTTCAAAAAAAATTTTTTTACTATGACAAGCCACGATTTTTTATTTGTCAAACAAAAATAATAATATTTAACGTTTAAAATGAAAAGTCTTAGGCAGGTTAAAAATGAAAAAAAAATTTTTTTTAATAATTTTAAATTTATTTCCTCTATAAAAATGGCCAGTTTATAAACTTAAAAATCATTTATGTATTTAACATTCCCCCCAAAAAACATTTATTAATTTTACATTAATTCTGTTTTTCGCAAACTTCTCTGCTTTGTTTTTCTGTTTTATTTTTATTAAATATACTAAAATACATTAAATTCTGATGTATATGTATTTTTATTGTATTTTCGACTTGGATAAAAATTTAATAAAATTCTGATTTTAAACTTTATTATGTATTTTTGGATGATTCTGATTTGTATATTCTGATTTTATTTTTACTGAGTAATTCTGTTTTTATTTTTGTGTTTTCTGTGTTTTAGTTATCTGATTAATTCTGATTTTATTTTTTCTGAGTAATTCTGATTTTTGTGTTTTATATTCTGATTTTATTTTTGTGTTTTCTGTGTTTTATTTTTTTCGAGTAATTCTGATTTTTTCTTTTTCGAGTAATTCTGATTTTTGTGTTTTATATTCTGATTTTATTTTTCTGTTTTCTGTGTTTTATTTTTTAATTCTGATTTTTGTGTTTTCTTATTTTATTTTTGTGTTTTCTGTGTTTTAGTTCTCTGTATTTCTGTTATTTTTGTGTTTATTTGTTCTTCTGATTTTTTTATTTTGTATTTTCTATTTACCTTTATTCACCTATAACCAGAATAATGATTAAAAGAAACTTGTGGGGAGTATTTTTTTCCACTTATCAATAAATTAAAAGTCACGCATGCGCGAGTGTGTGTGTTCCACAAAATTGTTTCTTCTAATTTATTTATAGTCAAAGGTTGAATATTTTTTTAATGTTTATTTTATTTTTCTAAGAATATTTTATTTTTTAAAGTTTTTAACCCAAACCTTAAGATTTTTTCTGATTTTTTAAATTAAAGGGTGAAATTAATTATTCTTAATTTTTTTAGTATTAATATTTATTTTTTTAATAAAATAATTTTTTTATTAAAAAACTTGTTTTTATTTATTATTTTTTTTTAATTTGAGTATTATTTTTCAAATAAATGTTTTGTTTACTAAAATGTATCATATTTTTAGTAGTAGTAGTACCAATATTTTTATTTTTCCATTAAATTATTATATTTTTATTTTTTTGGGAAAAAATATATTTGGGTTTATTATTATTGTTTTTTTTTGTATTTTTAACTTATTTTTCATTTTTTTTTTAAATTTTTATTTTATTGTTTTTAGAGGTTATTTTACTTTAACGTCGAGTATATTCAAATTTCAAAAATTTAAAAATAATGATGACAATTTTTATAAAATATGTATAGGAGAAGGGAATTTTTATTAGTCAAAAAAAGATCTTTCACTAGCTAAAAAAGGTCTTCAAAAAACCCCCTTTTTAAGCCCCTTTAACCTTTTGGAAGTGAGGTGATAATTTTAATTTTCAAATGAGTGAATTTCAAATTTTGTTTAAAATTTTGTTTTAGATTTTTTTAAAGCTTTATTAAATTTAAAACAATGCTAAATTCACTACAATCTTTCCCTATATTTATTTTTACACTTTTTTGCATTGTACATAGTGCTGTTGGGGAACCTAAAGGTGTGAATATTATTTCCAATTAAAAAAATATTTTTTACAAATTTAGTTACCAAGGCCCGTGCTTATCTCTTTAAAGCTGTTCAGTCTCCCGAATTAACTGCCCTTCAGCCTTTGGGAGTTGTCGATTTTTGTGATCTTGGGAAAGGATTGATGGCTGTGAGTTATAAATTTTTTGATGATTTTTTGGAAAGAATTTCTCAAAAAATTTTCTAGATAAACGGCACACTTAAAGGTCTCCCTCCAGGTCTACACGGCTTCCATGTCCACCAATTTGGTGATTTAAGCCAGCTCTGTACAGGTGCAGGATTGCACTTTAATCCTCATAAAAGACACCATGGAGCGCCTCAGGATTTGGAAAGACATGGTAATCATTTTTGGAGTTGGACATTTGGCTGGGTCTAAGATGGGCTTCCTATCTTGGAAAGCGCCTGTTTCGACCACGGAGAAATAAGGGCATATAGGTGAAGTGTTCCCGGTATTTTGGTAAAAGCAGATTTCTCGTCGATGTTTCCGTGCTTTTGAGGTCTTAACCCTGAAAAAGCTGGCTCGGCTTTCCGATCTAGAAAATAGGGTATTTTAGTAAAATCAGATAAAGTAGGACCTGGATACCGGACCCGACAATTTAAAAATGTTCAACTCTAGTAATCTTTAAGAAGAAATTTAAAAACCAAATTATTTTTTAGTTGGCGATTTGGGCAATATTCAGGCTGACGTGAGTTTAATTTAAAAAATAAAATTTTTTAAAATTTTACAAAACAAACATTTTTTGTTTAAAAATTTTAAAAAAATCCAAAAATTCCATTCTCTTTAAAGGAAAACGGAACAGCCATAATACGCATCAGAGATCGTTATATGACATTTGAAGGTGTAAATAATATTATTGGAAGGGGACTTTTAGTGCATGAAAAGGTTGATGATCTTGGGCGTGGAGGGAATGATGAAAGTTTAAAAACTGGAAATGCTGGTCCTCGTTTTGGATGTGGAGTAATTGGTATACGTGGAGAAAATTTGTAAAAAAATTAAATTTTATAAAAAATAATTGGAAGGAAAAATTAATTTAAATTAATTTTTTAAAAAATTTTTAATAAATTTTTTAATAATTTATCCAAAAAATGTAAATATTCAAAAATATAAATTATAATAAAAATACATTATAGTTAACAATTAAATTTATAATAAAAATTTTATCAATATATTTTAAAATTAATTTATAAATTTAGATTCTCATTACTGACTTGAATGGCAATCAAAAGAAAACTGATTTAATGCAAACACATTTTATTTTTGATTCTCGTTTGGAATATGCAATTCCTTTATCTGATTCTGTTTTAGGCTTTCATAAACATGGAATACAAGTAAGAGAGAGGATGGGAATTTTTTTAATTTTTTGAAAAATTTTCAAGAAATTTCTGAAATTTTTTTAGGATTCTGAAAATTATTTGAAAATTTTGAAAAAATTTTCTTTTAAATAAAAAAGAATTTTTGGATCAATTTTAAGCGAAAATCTTTTTTCCCTGGAGGGGAATTTTTTTAAAAATTAAAAAAAAAATTTTTTTTGGAAATTTCTGAAAATTTTTTTGAATTTAAAAAATTGTTTAAACATTCTAAAAAAATTGTTTAAAAAATTAAAAAAAATTTTAAATCAATTTTAAGGGAAAATCCTTTTTCCGTGGAACAATAACACAAGAATTAAATGACCCATCAAAAGATTATCATTTAATTGGTAAGGATAGTCTTATTGTTTTAAAAATGATAAAAAGACGTCGCTGTACAAACCTCAAAATTTCTTCTTTATTATCCTCACAAAATGTAAAAGATGTTAATGTTGAAGATGAGGCTGTTGATGATATTAATGAAGAGGAAGTAGAGGAGGAAGAGGAAGAAGAAGAGGATATTTGTGTACTTACAGGCCATATATCTACAATGACACCTCCATAAGAAAGGTCCTTTTTTCTCTATTAGATGAATATACGTAGGTGCTTTTTTAAAAATTTTTTTTTAAATTTAAATTGAGAATTTTATCTCCGGTTTTTTTGGTGCTTTTTTTGAAAAATTGTATACTTTAAAAATTTATACTTAAAAAATTAGACTCCGGACCAAGACGAGATCTCGAAAAAAATTTTGATTATTGAGTTCAAATTTTTTGAGAATTGATATTCTTCGAGATTAGTGTTAGTCACGAGACGATATATCGACGATATTTTTCGAGATATCGCGAGATTTTTTTCGAGATTATCGATCTTGATCTCGTCTCGATCAATTTTTGAAAAAATCGAGATTTTTTGATAATCTCGATCTCGAAAAATCGCGAATGCCTAACACTATTCGAGATCTTTATTCTTTTATGACTTTCCCAATGTCCGGTGTCTCTATTCCCAAAAAATTTTATTTTGCCTCATTTTTTAAAAAATGTTTGTTTATTTATTTTTCTGTACAATTTTGTGACAATATATTAACTTAAATATAGGTTGTATATTTTAAATATTTTAAACTCATTTGAATGAAAAAATAAATTTAACTTATTTGAAAAAATCATGATTATGTGATTTTTTAATATCTAGATTAGGCTTTGTTAAAATTAAGGCCAGACTCGATTCTTTTTTTGTATTTTTGAATTTAACCGAAGCCACTTTTGGCCGGGCTCTAATTATTTAAAAGGGTTGACTGAAATTTGTTTGACCATTAAAAAAAAATTTTTTTTTGAAAATTTTTAAGAATTTTGCTACTATTTATTTAGAAAAAATTAAATAAATCAAATATCGGTCAACTTATGTCATCTTTTTGTTATTTTATCCGACTTGCCGACACTATTTTTTATGTACTTTAAAAAAGCATATATAATTTTTATTTAATGACTTGGTTATTTTTGTAGGGGGAAATTAAAAATTAAACTGTTTGGTTTAGAATTTTTGAATATTTCTTGAATTTCAAAAAATTCTATTACCCAAGCTAAGCTAATCAAAAAAATTGTTTTTTGCTTTTGAAATAATTAAAATTATAAATATTTTTTAATTAATATATTCTACCATCTCTCTTTAAACCTCTAAAAAATATAGAATTTTTTTTTCAGATTTTACTTGCCATTTTTTCTAATAATTTTTTACCTCCTCTTAAAATATTATTTTTTCAAAAATTTTTAAATGTTATTTTTTATATTAATTTTTCTTATTATATCAATCACATCCCTTTCTCTCACCTCTATTTTATTTTTATTTTCGCGCAAATTTTCTCATGGTTTTATTTTATATTCCCCTTCTCTGGATCTCTAAATATTTTATTTTATTATTAAATCACATGTTAAAAAAGCTTCTTATCTATTTTTTAATTTTCAAATCCAAATTTATCGCTTTATTATTTAATTTTTTCGATTGAAATTTTGTTTCCGCTATTCATCAAATTATTTTCTAGAAAAATTTTTTTGATAATTTTTTGTCAATTTCCGAAACATTTTCTTTAATGTTTGTTATTTAAATTTGAGAAAAAAAATAATGTATGTTCGTTAAAATTCTTTGAAAAAATTGTTATAAATCATTCTTTTCTATAAATGTTTACTAATATTATAAAAATATTTTTATCATTTTATATGCTTTCTCAAACTTCAAAAAAAATTTTTTTACTATGACAAGCCACGATTTTTTATTTGTCAAACAAAAATAATAATATTTAACGTTTAAAATGAAAAGTCTTAGGCAGGTTAAAAATGAAAAAAAAATTTTTTTTAATAATTTTAAATTTATTTCCTCTATAAAAATGGCCAGTTTATAAACTTAAAAATCATTTATGTATTTAACATTCCCCCCAAAAAACATTTATTAATTTTACATTAATTCTGTTTTTCGCAAACTTCTCTGCTTTGTTTTTCTGTTTTATTTTTATTAAATATACTAAAATACATTAAATTCTGATGTATATGTATTTTTATTGTATTTTCGACTTGGATAAAAATTTAATAAAATTCTAATTTTAAACTTTATTATGTATTTTTGGATGATTCTGATTTGTATATTCTGATTTTATTTTTACTGAGTAATTCTGTTTTTATTTTTGTGTTTTCTGTGTTTTAGTTATCTGATTAATTCTGATTTTATTTTTTCTGAGTAATTCTGATTTTTGTGTTTTATATTCTGATTTTATTTTTGTGTTTTCTGTGTTTTATTTTTTTCGAGTAATTCTGATTTTTTCTTTTTCGAGTAATTCTGATTTTTGTGTTTTATATTCTGATTTTATTTTTCTGTTTTCTGTGTTTTATTTTTTAATTCTGATTTTTGTGTTTTCTTATTTTATTTTTGTGTTTTCTGTGTTTTAGTTCTCTGTATTTCTGTTATTTTTGTGTTTATTTGTTCTTCTGATTTTTTTATTTTGTATTTTCTATTTACCTTTATTCACCTATAACCAGAATAATGATTAAAAGAAACTTGTGGGGAGTATTTTTTTCCACTTATCAATAAATTAAAAGTCACGCATGCGCGAGTGTGTGTGTTCCACAAAATTGTTTCTTCTAATTTATTTATAGTCAAAGGTTGAATATTTTTTTAATGTTTATTTTATTTTTCTAAGAATATTTTATTTTTTAAAGTTTTTAACCCAAACCTTAAGATTTTTTCTGATTTTTTAAATTAAAGGGTGAAATTAATTATTCTTAATTTTTTTAGTATTAATATTTATTTTTTTAATAAAATAATTTTTTTATTAAAAAACTTGTTTTTATTTATTATTTTTTTTTAATTTGAGTATTATTTTTCAAATAAATGTTTTGTTTACTAAAATGTATCATATTTTTAGTAGTAGTAGTACCAATATTTTTATTTTTCCATTAAATTATTATATTTTTATTTTTTTGGGAAAAAATATATTTGGGTTTATTATTATTGTTTTTTTTTGTATTTTTAACTTATTTTTCATTTTTTTTTTAAATTTTTATTTTATTGTTTTTAGAGGTTATTTTACTTTAACGTCGAGTATATTCAAATTTCAAAAATTTAAAAATAATGATGACAATTTTTATAAAATATGTATAGGAGAAGGGAATTTTTATTAGTCAAAAAAAGATCTTTCACTAGCTAAAAAAGGTCTTCAAAAAACCCCCTTTTTAAGCCCCTTTAACCTTTTGGAAGTGAGGTGATAATTTTAATTTTCAAATGAGTGAATTTCAAATTTTGTTTAAAATTTTGTTTTAGATTTTTTTAAAGCTTTATTAAATTTAAAACAATGCTAAATTCACTACAATCTTTCCCTATATTTATTTTTACACTTTTTTGCATTGTACATAGTGCTGTTGGGGAACCTAAAGGTGTGAATATTATTTCCAATTAAAAAAATATTTTTTACAAATTTAGTTACCAAGGCCCGTGCTTATCTCTTTAAAGCTGTTCAGTCTCCCGAATTAACTGCCCTTCAGCCTTTGGGAGTTGTCGATTTTTGTGATCTTGGGAAAGGATTGATGGCTGTGAGTTATAAATTTTTTGATGATTTTTTGGAAAGAATTTCTCAAAAAATTTTCTAGATAAACGGCACACTTAAAGGTCTCCCTCCAGGTCTACACGGCTTCCATGTCCACCAATTTGGTGATTTAAGCCAGCTCTGTACAGGTGCAGGATTGCACTTTAATCCTCATAAAAGACACCATGGAGCGCCTCAGGATTTGGAAAGACATGGTAATCATTTTTGGAGTTGGACATTTGGCTGGGTCTAAGATGGGCTTCCTATCTTGGAAAGCGCCTGTTTCGACCACGGAGAAATAAGGGCATATAGGTGAAGTGTTCCCGGTATTTTGGTAAAAGCAGATTTCTCGTCGATGTTTCCGTGCTTTTGAGGTCTTAACCCTGAAAAAGCTGGCTCGGCTTTCCGATCTAGAAAATAGGGTATTTTAGTAAAATCAGATAAAGTAGGACCTGGATACCGGACCCGACAATTTAAAAATGTTCAACTCTAGTAATCTTTAAGAAGAAATTTAAAAACCAAATTATTTTTTAGTTGGCGATTTGGGCAATATTCAGGCTGACGTGAGTTTAATTTAAAAAATAAAATTTTTTAAAATTTTACAAAACAAACATTTTTTGTTTAAAAATTTTAAAAAAATCCAAAAATTCCATTCTCTTTAAAGGAAAACGGAACAGCCATAATACGCATCAGAGATCGTTATATGACATTTGAAGGTGTAAATAATATTATTGGAAGGGGACTTTTAGTGCATGAAAAGGTTGATGATCTTGGGCGTGGAGGGAATGATGAAAGTTTAAAAACTGGAAATGCTGGTCCTCGTTTTGGATGTGGAGTAATTGGTATACGTGGAGAAAATTTGTAAAAAAATTAAATTTTATAAAAAATAATTGGAAGGAAAAATTAATTTAAATTAATTTTTTAAAAAATTTTTAATAAATTTTTTAATAATTTATCCAAAAAATGTAAATATTCAAAAATATAAATTATAATAAAAATACATTATAGTTAACAATTAAATTTATAATAAAAATTTTATCAATATATTTTAAAATTAATTTATAAATTTAGATTCTCATTACTGACTTGAATGGCAATCAAAAGAAAACTGATTTAATGCAAACACATTTTATTTTTGATTCTCGTTTGGAATATGCAATTCCTTTATCTGATTCTGTTTTAGGCTTTCATAAACATGGAATACAAGTAAGAGAGAGGATGGGAATTTTTTTAATTTTTTGAAAAATTTTCAAGAAATTTCTGAAATTTTTTTAGGATTCTGAAAATTATTTGAAAATTTTGAAAAAATTTTCTTTTAAATAAAAAAGAATTTTTGGATCAATTTTAAGCGAAAATCTTTTTTCCCTGGAGGGGAATTTTTTTAAAAATTAAAAAAAAAATTTTTTTTGGAAATTTCTGAAAATTTTTTTGAATTTAAAAAATTGTTTAAACATTCTAAAAAAATTGTTTAAAAAATTAAAAAAAATTTTAAATCAATTTTAAGGGAAAATCCTTTTTCCGTGGAACAATAACACAAGAATTAAATGACCCATCAAAAGATTATCATTTAATTGGTAAGGATAGTCTTATTGTTTTAAAAATGATAAAAAGACGTCGCTGTACAAACCTCAAAATTTCTTCTTTATTATCCTCACAAAATGTAAAAGATGTTAATGTTGAAGATGAGGCTGTTGATGATATTAATGAAGAGGAAGTAGAGGAGGAAGAGGAAGAAGAAGAGGATATTTGTGTACTTACAGGCCATATATCTACAATGACACCTCCATAAGAAAGGTCCTTTTTTCTCTATTAGATGAATATACGTAGGTGCTTTTTTAAAAATTTTTTTTTAAATTTAAATTGAGAATTTTATCTCCGGTTTTTTTGGTGCTTTTTTTGAAAAATTGTATACTTTAAAAATTTATACTTAAAAAATTAGACTCCGGACCAAGACGAGATCTCGAAAAAAATCTTGATTATTGAGTTCAAATTTTTTGAGAATTGATATTCTTCGAGATTAGTGTTAGTCACGAGACGATATATCGACGATATTTTTCGAGATATCGCGAGATTTTTTTCGAGATTATCGATCTCGATCTCGTCGATCAATTTTTGAAAAAATCTAGATTTTTCGATAATCTCGATATCGAAAAATCGCAAATGCCTAACACTATTCGAGATCTTTATTCTTTTATGACTTTCCCAATGTCCGGTGTCTCTATTCCCAAAAAATTTTATTTTGCCTCATTTTTTAAAAAATGTTTGTTTATGTATTTTTCTGTACAATTTTGTGACAATATATATTAACTTAAATATAGGTTGTATATTTTAAATATTTTAAACTCATTTGAATGAAAAAATAAATTTAACTTACCGTATTTCCTAAAATAATACTCCCCCCTGAATTAGTACTCCCCCCTTAAATAATACTCCCCTTCGGAGGAGGGTTGAAAAATAGTACTCCCCCCTTAAATAGTACTCCCCTAAAATAGTACTCCCCCCTAAAATATTTTTTTCCTATATTTAAAAAAAATATAGTAGACTCAATGAATTATTTTATTGAAATTTATTTATTTATTTTATTTATTCTACATAAGTAGGTTGTCGGTTTCACTTGATTCTTCGATAACCGAAACCGAACAAGTTTCGGTTACCGAAAACGAACCGAAATTTTAACCTAAAATTTGTCGACGATTAAAGAGATATATTGTGATTAGTTGGTGGGATAAAAGTGGATTTGAGGATATAAGTGATTATATCGGGTGATAAAATGTGTTCTGGATTGATAAGTGGGGTCTAAAAAATATCATTGCATTATGGTTTCATAAACGAATTTGAGGGAATAATGAAGGATGAGTCATATTAGGCGATTTTGGTTGATTAAGAGTGATAAAGATATGAAATTTAATAATAAATCCTCCTTAATCCACAGATATTTTTTCGTTACCTCTAATCAAAAATACCCAGACATCCAAACACTGATATCCAACTTATCTCATTTGATCCCTGGTGCCCAAATATGGATATCATATAATTCGTAGGGATATTGGAAGAACAAAAGGAATATGAAAGATATCGGTGATTAATGCTGATAAATCCTTAGACACAGAGATTAGGACATCTCTAGACACAGGATTACACTAGACACAGGTAATCACTATACACAGGAGATTAGGTAATCTCCTGATAAATCCCCTTGAATGATGTCTAGGGGATTTTACGCATATCAAGTGTATAAATGTGTTCGGGAGTTCAAGATGGACGTAGAGTGTAAATTTAGATATCTAGTCTTAATCGCTTAAATCCCTTTATATCCCTCGATATCACTCCAAATCCACTAATCGAATCAAATCTTCCTGATCCGGCATTTTTAAATAACAATCTCTAATTCTAACATTTAGAATTTTAAAATAAATTTTCCTATAATAAATCATGGAGGAGGGTTGAAAAATAGTACTCCCCCCTCAATTAGTACTCCCCCCTTAAATAGTACTCCCCTTTGGAGGAGGGTTGAAAAATAGTACTCCCGGGAGTACTATTTTAGGAAATACGGTATTTGAAAAAATCATGATTATGTGATTTTTTAATATTTAGACTAGGCTTTGTTAAAATTAAGGCCCTGCTCGATTCTTTTTTCGTATTTTTGAATTTATCCGAAGCCACTTTCGGCCGGGCTCTAATTATTTAAAAGGGTTGACTGAAATTTGTTTGACCATTAAAAAAATTTTTTTTTGAAAATTTTTAAGAATTTTCTACTATTTATTCAGAAAAAATTTAATAATTCAAATATCAGTCAACTTGTGTAAATTTTTTTGTTATTTTATCCGACTTGCCGACACTATTTTTTATGTACTTTAAAAAAGCAGATATAATTTTTATTTAATGACTTGGTTATTTTGTGGGGGAAATTAAAAATTAAACTGTTTGTTTTAGAATTTTTGAATATTTCTTGTATTTCAAAAAATTCTACTACCCAAGCTAAGCTAATCAAAAAAAATTGTTTTTTGCTTTTGAAATAATTAAAATTATAAATATTTTTTAATTAATATATTCTACCATCTCTCTTTAAACCTCTAAAAAAAATATAGAATTTTTTTCAGATTTTACTTGCCATTTTTTCTAATAATTTTTTTTACCTCCTCTTAAAATATTTTCTATTTTTTCAAAAAAATTTTTAAATGTTATTTTTTATATTAATTTTGCTTATTATATCAATCATCCCTTTCTCTCACCTCTATTTAATTTTTTTCGCGCAAATTTTCTCATGGTTTTATTTTTATCTCCCTTCTCTGGATCTCCAAAAATTTATTTTATTTTATTATTAAATCACATGTTAAAAAAGCTTCTTATCTATTTTTTAATTTTCAAATCCAAATTTATCGCTTTATTATTTAATTTTTTCGATTGAAATTTTGTTTCCGCTATTCATCAAATTATTTTCTAGAAAAATTTTTTTGATAATTTTTTGTCAATTTCCGAAACATTTTCTTTAATGTTTGTTATTTAAATTTGAGAAAAAAAATAATGTATGTTCGTTAAAATTCTTTGAAAAAATTGTTATAAATCATTCTTTTCTATAAATGTTTACTAATATTATAAAAATATTTTTATCATTTTATATGCTTTCTCAAACTTCAAAAAAAATTTTTTTACTATGACAAGCCACGATTTTTTATTTGTCAAACAAAAATAATAATATTTAACGTTTAAAATGAAAAGTCTTAGGCAGGTTAAAAATGAAAAAAAAATTTTTTTTAATAATTTTAAATTTATTTCCTCTATAAAAATGGCCAGTTTATAAACTTAAAAATCATTTATGTATTTAACATTCCCCCCAAAAAACATTTATTAATTTTACATTAATTCTGTTTTTCGCAAACTTCTCTGCTTTGTTTTTCTGTTTTATTTTTATTAAATATACTAAAATACATTAAATTCTGATGTATATGTATTTTTATTGTATTTTCGACTTGGATAAAAATTTAATAAAATTCTGATTTTAAACTTTATTATGTATTTTTGGATGATTCTGATTTGTATATTCTGATTTTATTTTTACTGAGTAATTCTGTTTTTATTTTTGTGTTTTCTGTGTTTTAGTTATCTGATTAATTCTGATTTTATTTTTTCTGAGTAATTCTGATTTTTGTGTTTTATATTCTGATTTTATTTTTGTGTTTTCTGTGTTTTATTTTTTTCGAGTAATTCTGATTTTTTCTTTTTCGAGTAATTCTGATTTTTGTGTTTTATATTCTGATTTTATTTTTCTGTTTTCTGTGTTTTATTTTTTAATTCTGATTTTTGTGTTTTCTTATTTTATTTTTGTGTTTTCTGTGTTTTAGTTCTCTGTATTTCTGTTATTTTTGTGTTTATTTGTTCTTCTGATTTTTTTATTTTGTATTTTCTATTTACCTTTATTCACCTATAACCAGAATAATGATTAAAAGAAACTTGTGGGGAGTATTTTTTTCCACTTATCAATAAATTAAAAGTCACGCATGCGCGAGTGTGTGTGTTCCACAAAATTGTTTCTTCTAATTTATTTATAGTCAAAGGTTGAATATTTTTTTAATGTTTATTTTATTTTTCTAAGAATATTTTATTTTTTAAAGTTTTTAACCCAAACCTTAAGATTTTTTCTGATTTTTTAAATTAAAGGGTGAAATTAATTATTCTTAATTTTTTTAGTATTAATATTTATTTTTTTAATAAAATAATTTTTTTATTAAAAAACTTGTTTTTATTTATTATTTTTTTTTAATTTGAGTATTATTTTTCAAATAAATGTTTTGTTTACTAAAATGTATCATATTTTTAGTAGTAGTAGTACCAATATTTTTATTTTTCCATTAAATTATTATATTTTTATTTTTTTGGGAAAAAATATATTTGGGTTTATTATTATTGTTTTTTTTTGTATTTTTAACTTATTTTTCATTTTTTTTTTAAATTTTTATTTTATTGTTTTTAGAGGTTATTTTACTTTAACGTCGAGTATATTCAAATTTCAAAAATTTAAAAATAATGATGACAATTTTTATAAAATATGTATAGGAGAAGGGAATTTTTATTAGTCAAAAAAAGATCTTTCACTAGCTAAAAAAGGTCTTCAAAAAACCCCCTTTTTAAGCCCCTTTAACCTTTTGGAAGTGAGGTGATAATTTTAATTTTCAAATGAGTGAATTTCAAATTTTGTTTAAAATTTTGTTTTAGATTTTTTTAAAGCTTTATTAAATTTAAAACAATGCTAAATTCACTACAATCTTTCCCTATATTTATTTTTACACTTTTTTGCATTGTACATAGTGCTGTTGGGGAACCTAAAGGTGTGAATATTATTTCCAATTAAAAAAATATTTTTTACAAATTTAGTTACCAAGGCCCGTGCTTATCTCTTTAAAGCTGTTCAGTCTCCCGAATTAACTGCCCTTCAGCCTTTGGGAGTTGTCGATTTTTGTGATCTTGGGAAAGGATTGATGGCTGTGAGTTATAAATTTTTTGATGATTTTTTGGAAAGAATTTCTCAAAAAATTTTCTAGATAAACGGCACACTTAAAGGTCTCCCTCCAGGTCTACACGGCTTCCATGTCCACCAATTTGGTGATTTAAGCCAGCTCTGTACAGGTGCAGGATTGCACTTTAATCCTCATAAAAGACACCATGGAGCGCCTCAGGATTTGGAAAGACATGGTAATCATTTTTGGAGTTGGACATTTGGCTGGGTCTAAGATGGGCTTCCTATCTTGGAAAGCGCCTGTTTCGACCACGGAGAAATAAGGGCATATAGGTGAAGTGTTTTCGGTGTTTTGGTAAAAGCAGATTTTTCGATGTTTCCGTGCTTCTGAGGTCTTAACCCTGAAAAAGCTGGCTCGGCTTTCCGATCTAGAAAATAGGGTAATTTAGTAAAATCAGATAAAGTAGGACCTGGATACCGGATCCGACAATTTAAAAATGTTCAACTCTAGTAATCTTTAAGAAGAAATTTAAAAACCAAATTATTTTTTAGTTGGCGATTTGGGCAATATTCAGGCTGACGTGAGTTTAATTTAAAAAATAAAATTTTTTAAAATTTTACAAAACAAACATTTTTTGTTTAAAAATTTTAAAAAAATCCAAAAATTCCATTCTCTTTAAAGGAAAACGGAACAGCCATAATACGCATCAGAGATCGTTATATGACATTTGAAGGTGTAAATAATATTATTGGAAGGGGACTTTTAGTGCATGAAAAGGTTGATGATCTTGGGCGTGGAGGGAATGATGAAAGTTTAAAAACTGGAAATGCTGGTCCTCGTTTTGGATGTGGAGTAATTGGTATACGTGGAGAAAATTTGTAAAAAAATTTAATTTTTAAAAAAATAATTGGAAGGAAAAATTAATTTAAATTAATTTTTTTAAAAAATTTTTAATAAATTTTTTAATAATTTATCCAAAAAAATGTAAATATTCAAAAATATAAATTATAATAAAAATACATTATAGTTAACAATTAAATTTAATTTCTGAAACATTTTATCTCCTATTAAGTAAAAATCAGAAAATACAAAATCAGAAAATACAAAATTAGAATAAATTAAAACAAAAATACATTTCTGATAATCAGAAAAATAGAAAAACACAAAAATCAGAATTTTCCGGAAAAATACAAATAAAATACAAAAATCAGAATTGTTTCAGAAACATACTTATAATTCTGATTTATTGCAACGGAAAAACACAAAAATAAATAAAACACAAAAAATAAATAAAATCAGAATTATTTAATCAGAATTTATTAAAATAAATCAGAATTATATATAGTCAGAAAACACAAATAGATAAAATCAGAATTTTCCGGAAAACACAAACAATAAAATCAGAATTTCCGGAAAAATACAAATAAATAAATCAGAATTTTCCGGAAAAACACAAACAATAAAATCAGAATTTCCGGAAAAACACAAACAATAAAATCAGAATTTCCGGAAAAATACAAATAAATAAATCAGAATTTTCCGGAAAAATACAAATAAAAATTAAAATCAAATAAAATACAAAAATCAGAATTATTATATAATAATTCTTACTCTATTATTTAATTTTAAAAAATTCTGTTTTTTAAAAAATAACACCCAATTCCCTTAATTGTCTCCGTTCTTGTTCTAATCTGCGTTTATTTGCTTCTAACATTCCAAATTGTTCTTCTGATAGCATTGAACGTAAATGTTCAGGTACAAGTTCTTCTTCTTGTTGAATATTTTCCTCATTCTCTTCCTCTTTTTTATTATTTTCTGTCCATCCATTCATTTTTTCTTTATTTAATAAATTATTTTTTAAATATTCTTCTTCATCTTCTTTTATTTTTTCTAATTTTTCTTCCTTTAATTTGCCATTTTTTGGTGATCCAATAATTGCTGTTGTTTGTTGGTGTTTTATTTCATTAATACCCTCATTTTTCTTAGAATTTCCGTTTATGGTAGAAATTACAGCAGCGGCGGCAATCTTTATTTTAAAAAATCAGAATTTGTATTTTTCTTTATTCGAGAAAATCAGAATTTGTATTTTTTCTTTATTTTAAAAATCAGAATTTGTATTTTTTCAAATTAATAAGGCTTTTATAAATCAGAATTCCTATTGTTGTAAATCAGAATTTGTATTTTCTTTTGTCAGAATTATTGGTTGTATTTTTAGAAAACCAGAATTTGTATTTTTGTTTGTATTTCAGAATTTTTATTTTGTACCAATTTTGGTTGTATTTTTATATATCAGAATTTGTATTTTTTCAGTTAATAATGCTTTTGTATTTTTTTTGTATTTTTCAAATCAGAATTTGTATTTCAGAATTATTATAGTTTCTCACCTCACTCATAAATTTCTTCCCATTACTAATTTCAGTCTTTTTCGTCTTATCCACTTCATCCTCTACTTTCTTCTTTTCTTCTTCCTCCCTTATTTTCTCTTCTTCCTCTTCCATTTTTTTATTATTTTCTTCATTTATTTTTTCAAAATTTTTTTCCTTAATTTTTGGGGGTCTTTTTATTTGATAGTCTTCTGCTGTTCCATAAATTTCTTCCTCTCTAGGGGACAATGATTGTTGCTGAGCTTGAGGTGATTTTATTTCAACTATTTTTGTTGTTTTGTTTATTTCATTCATTTCCAGCACTATTTCATTTTTAAATTCTTTCTGGGTTGTTGAAGTAATTTCTTCAATAGTATTGTTTTCTTGGGCTGCTTCTGCTTCATCTTCTGTTTTTTGTTGTTGTTTCTTCCGTCTATTATTGTATTTTCCGGCTGCTTCCGGAAAGAGTAGTTTATCTGCTAAAGTATTTTTGTGTTTAATTTAAATCAGAATTTTTATGTATTTTTGAAATATTTTTGTGTTTTAGAGACCAGAATTTATTTTATATAAAATCAGAATTTTGTATTTTTAATGTATTTTCAAATCAGAATTTTTTCAGAATTTTGTATTTTGCTTGTCAGAATTTTGTGTTTTAAAACCAGAATTTTGTATTTTTGATGTATTTTTAAATCAATTTTTTCAGAATTTCTATTTTAATGCGTGTGTTTTTAAAATCAGAATTCTAATTCATTGTATTTTTAACCAGAATTTTGTATTTTTTGTATTTTAACTAAAATTCTGATTTAATATATTTCTTACCAAATTGATGATTTCTAACCAAATACCATACTGCTAGCGCAAACCCAGTACACAACAAAAGAGTCCCAAAAATTGCCCCAAAAATAGCTAGAGTTAATCTTGAAGGGTCTACACAAAGATTATTATTATTTGTAGACATGCTAAAAATTTTATTTTTATTTTTAAAATATTTTTAAAAATAAAAATGAGTTTCAGATTTAAATAAAAGATGATTCTTTTTATTTTTAGAGAGATTACAAGTAGCGATATCTTTAAAAATACAAAAAAAAATTTTTTTTTGTATTTTTCTTCTTTTCTTTTTACCGCCCAAAACAACAGCAAAATTTATTTGTACCTTTAACTGACCGTTACAAGTACACAAAATCTTAAAAACATATTATTTTTGTATTTTCTTATTAATTTTGTATGTCAAGGTCAGAAAATATATTATTTTTGTTTTCTTTCTTAAAATGATTGGAATCATTTCCGTTAAATTATTAATAATTTTTTAAATTTTTTGGGGGTAGTGTAAAATTGATTGCGAATGTTTATTGTTAGTGTGTGTTTTTAAAATCAGAATAATTTTTATTGCAAGTGTTTTAGCTTGTATTTTTCGAAATCAGAACTAATATTCTTTATAAATCAGAATTTTTTTGAGACCAGAATTTCTTGTGTTTTAATTGTATTTTTGTGAAATCAGAATTTCTTGTGTTTTTGTATTTTTCTGAAATCAGAATTATTTTTATTTTGTTAGTTATTTGTATTTTACTTCAGAATTTGTGTAAATCAGAACTATTTTTATTGCTTGTGTTTTTGTATTTTTCTTGAAATCAGAATTTTATTCTTATTTTAAAACCAGAACTTATAGTGTATTAATTTGTATTTTCTGTCAGAATTTTTGTATTTTTTAAATCAGAATTATTTTTATTACTTGTGTTTTATTTGTATTTTTCGGAATCAGAATTTGTATTTTTGATCGATAGATAGTGAAATACAATTTAAAATTAATAAAATCAGAATTTCCTATTATAGGGGGAATATAGGGGAAATTAATTATATTAAGCAAATTTAATCGCTTAAAAAAGGGAAAATTAATTGGTTAGAAAAAAATTTATTTTGTGTTAATTTAAAATAAATAAATTGCTGCTAGAATGGAAAATAAATAAATAGCTTTTCTAATATTTTGTTTTGATTTTGGGACGGAAAAATGAATTTAATCGGGGGTGGGTGGAGGGGTGGGTGGAGTGATCAGATAGAGGTAAATCAGATAGAAAATATTTATTTGTGTTGTTGGGGGGTTTTTAAAAATGGGAACGACGGAAATATGTCCAAAATAAATTTTTATTTTTATTTAATTGACTGAAAGAAGAGTCAGTTTATATTTAAAATTGGGGATATATTTATTTAAACCAGTCTTTCCATAAACAAGATTATTTGTGTTTATGATTAGTGTTTTGGAAGGGAGGGGGGAATTTAATAATAATATTATTATTATTACGTGTTGCAGTATAAATTGACTTGTGTCTTTTTTGGATTAAAAATAAAATAATATTTAAATAGATATTTGCATAATTTTTTTGGAAGGGGTTTGCGGAAGGGGTTTTTTGGAGTTATTCTAAAATTTAAATAAAATTTTGGGTTGAAATTAGAATTTTCTTGTACATATAGAGGGAGTTGGAAGTCAAGGGAGTAATGAGCTTTCTTATTTCCTCCAATCCAGGAATTTTTTAAAAAATTTAGAAACCAGAATTGGGCCTTGGTATAGTCCTCTCTACTAGCAGTGCATTTTTTTCTTCCGGCATTTTTAGAAGCGGAAAACGGAAGGAAAGGTGGAAGCGGAAGGGCCGAAAAGAAGGGAAGTAGGCAAATGACTGTAGAGATCCCACCACCCCTTGCTAATATCTCTAAATATTTTTAAATGACATGGGTGGGTTATTTATTAGAATATAAATTTTAGGGGTAATTATTTTAAACTGTTTAAGAAGTAAAGTTTGAAATAAATTTTTAAATTTTTATTGTGTTAAAAGAAAAATAAAAATTTTTCTTTTGCATTTTTACCTGTTAAAGGCTGCGCAGATATATAAATTATAAAAGTGACTATTATTATTTTAGTGGTATTTTACACAATTTTGTATGTGTGTGTAAATTAAAAGAAGCAAAAATTAAGGAGAAGAAGAAGAAATTTTCAGTTGTTTTGTGAAGAGTCGCCCGTTAAAAATTTTTTTTTCTTCGTTCTCTTCTCTCATTGCACTCCTTAATTGTTTCTATATGTGCCTTTAGGAGCTCTTTACAATTTTTTTTCTTCAAAATTGATCATCACCTTGTGCTTCAATTCATTTATTCTCTCAAATGGTTAATTTTTTGGTGGTTTTTCTTTCAAATAAAAATTTCGGTCGTCTTCTTTTGGTAAGAAAATCTCTCATTTTTCAAACTGCTCTTTTTTTAAACTAGAAAAACTTGTTAAAGAAGAAAACGGACATTTTTTAAATTAGAAACTGCAATAATACAAGGTCAATATATGTAACTTTTGAAAATATGTAGAAGCAAAAAGTTTATTTCAAGTTTAATAAATAGGAGAAAATAGAGAAGTTGTTAGCATGTGTGTATGGTCGAGTGGATTAGAGCGCTGATAGTAAGGTGAGTGCTAGAAAGTAAGTTAAAGGTTTGAATCCACCACTCGAAAACTTTTTATTTTTAATATCTTTTTGTTTTATTTTTTCTCTAAAAAAATTAAAAATATTTTTCAATCGGTAAAAATTATGGATATAGTGTAGTTCACCGGAGGTAAAAGTTCGGGACGAGACATATGTCATTCGATTCGTCTCGGCGAGCTGAGTCGAACGGTACCACTCCCAGTTTCAGGAAATGATTCTGGACCGAGTTATAGGTCCCGAAAAATCGAAAAACCAAAGGGGGGACCAAGCACTTTTTTGGGGTGAAAAATTCGAATATGCAAATTATACCTCATTCGAAAGAGCTCGTCAAGCTGAGTCGAATGACACCTAAATCAACGAAATCCGACTTGATTGGATCGAGATATAGACCCCTAAAAATCGAAGATCCAAAGGGGCGATTTTTGGAATAAAAATTTTTTATACAAATAATACCTCATTCGAAAGAGCTCGACGAGCTGAGTCGAATGACACCAAAATCATCGTAATTGTACAAGTCTAGACAGAGTTACGATAGAAAAACAAAAACCTAAACCTATGGGGCGTCGGCGAGGCGCTTGTGCAAAACCCCGCGCTTCGCGCGGGGTTTTGCGGCACGCGCCTCGCGGGGAGTCTACGGGCGCTGGGTCTGGGCTCGTAACATAAACCTATTCCTATCTCCCTTGCTCTGGACCAGGGTTGCCGCCCGAAACCCGAAACCCGATACCCGAAACCCGGCCTTTTTTTGTACCCGAAACCCGATACCCGAATTGAAAATTTGGATATAGTGTAGTGTACCGGTGGTAAAAGTTCGGGACGTGACATATGTCATTCGATTCGTCTCGACGAGCTGAGTCGAACGGTACCACTCTTAATTTTAGGAAATGATTCTGGGCCGAGTTATAGGTCCCGAAAAATTGAAAAACCATAGGGGGGACCAAGCACTTTTTTGGGGTGAAAAATTCGAATATGCAAATAATAGCTCATTCGAAAGAGCTCGTCGAGCTGAGTCGAATGACACCAAAATCAGCTTGATTGTAAAAGTTTGGACAAAGTTACAATAGAAAAACAAACAACATAAACCTATGGAGCGTCGGCGAGGCGCTTGTGCAAAACCCCGCGCTTCGCGCGGGGTTTTGCGGCACGCGCCTCGCGGGGAGTCTACGGGCGCTGGGTCTGGGTCAGTAACATAAACCTAGTCCCATCTCCCTTGCTCTGGATGTATTTGGGGCTCCAGTAGCAGCAAAAACCTCCACGGGCGCCATAGGTAAGGAGTTAAAACAAACGGTCATAACTTTGTCAAATCAAGTCAGATTTCGTTGATTTTGGTGTCATTCGACTCAGCTCGCCGAGCTCTTTCGAATGAGCTATTATTTGCATATTCGAATTTTTCACCCCAAAATCGAGCTTACTCCCCCCTTTGGTTTTTCAATTTTTCGGGACCCATAACTCGGTCCAGAATCATTTCCTAAAGTAGGGAGTAGTACCGTTCGACTCAGCTCGTCGAGACGAATCGAATGACATATGTCACGTTCCGAACTTTTACCACCGGTACACTACACTACAGCCGAAAATTTTCCAACCCGAAACCCGAAACCCGTACCCGATATTTTTTCCAACCCGAAACCCGTGACCCGAAATTGGTTAAAACCCGAAATTTCTACCCGATAACTTAGCCTTACTCGATTTTTTAAAATAAATTTAAAAAATTATAGAAAGGAAAAGGGAAAGGAATATTTATAATTTCTTCCATTATTCGTTAGGTTGATTGGTGGTTGAATTGGTTATGCGACTGGCTCGATATCTTTATAGGGTTAGGTTCGAGTCCAGGGCTGGAAATGAGGTTAAAAAAATTTTCTTTTCAAAAATAAATGTTTTTAAATCTTGATTTTCATTTTAGATTTTTAAATTTATTTTTTTAAATATTTTAAGCTTGAAAAAGCATTAAAAATTTTAATTTAGTCATGAATTTTGCAAAATTTTCGCCTGCGGCGCATAAAATTAAGAGTTCTGGATACCTGACAAACTAAACTCAGCAAAAAAAGTCAGCAGAAATGGGGTAGGGATAACGAAAAAGTACCAAAATTTTTTGCCTGCGGTTCTGACAATTGGATTTTTTCTCCTAAGTCCTTATAAAATTCTCAAAATTTTCGCCTCCGGCGGTGAAAATGCTAGAAATCTGGCTTAAGGATCATCAAAATTTTCGCAATTTTCGCCTGCGGCGCAAAAAAATGGAAGAATCTGGCTTAAGGATCTTCCAAAATTCTCAAAATTTTCGCCTGCGGCGCAAAAAATGAAAGAAATTTGGCTTCTTGGTCTTCCAAAATTCCCAAAATTTTTGCCTGCGGCGCTGAAAACGAAAGAAAATTGGAGGCTTTAATGGTGATAAAGCGGAGGGATATTAGTATATAGTGGGATTTTATCAAGGTGGGATTTTACCAATATATCAAAATATCCCTTTTAATCTCCAAATCCCACAATGTCTCTTTAATCTCTTTAAATTTGCCTCTCTCTATATCACCCAAAATCCTTTTATGCAAAATAGCTTGTCTCCTTGCAGTTTAGTTCAACAATACCTGAACACCCGAAAATAACCCGAATTTTTCGCCAAACCCGAAACCCGTACCCGAAATTTTTGCCAACCCGAAACCCGTGACCCGAAATGAAAATTTTATAACCCGAAACCCGTACCCGATATTTTTGCCAACCCGAAACCCGATACCCGAAATGAAAACGCGGTATAATTTCGGAATACTAAACAGAACGCAAATGGGTCAAACGATATGTCATTCCAAAGAGCTCATCGAGTTGAGTCGAACGGTGAAAAAATTTTCGTGCGGACTCATACAGGGCCTGAGATATAGGCCCCCGGAAATCCAAAAACCATAGGGGGGACCAAGCACTTTTTTGGGGTGAAAAATTCGAACATGCAAATAATAGCTCATTCGAAAGAGCTCCTCGAGCTGAGTCGAATGACACCAAAATCAATAAAATCCGACTTCATATGGCCGAGTTACAGACCCCCGAAATTTGAAAATTTTTGGGGTCAAAAAATTCGAATATGCAAATAATAGCTCATTCGACTCAGCTCGTCAAGCTGAGTCGAATGACACCAAAATCACCGAAATCCGACTTGATTTGACAAAGTTATGATCGTTTGTTTTAGCTCCTTACCTATAGTCATTGTTGAGGTTTTTGCTGCTACGGAGGCCCCAAGTACGTCCAGAGTAAGGGAGATAGGAATAGGTTTATGTTACGGGCCCAGACCCAGCGCCCGTAGACTCCCCGCGAGGCGCGTGCCGCAAAACCCCGCGCGAAGCGCGGGGTTTTGCACAAGCGCCTCGCCGACGCTCCATAGGTTTACGTTGATTATTTTGAACCTGTTTATCATGGCTCTAAATCAAGATTTCGAGCTGATTTTGGTGTCATTTGACTCAGCTCGAGGAGCTCTTTCGAATGAGCTATTATTTGCATATTCGAATTTTTCACCCCAAAATTGAGCTTACTCCCCCCTATGGTTTTTCGATTTTCGAGGGCCTATATCTCAGCCCCTGTATGAGTCCGCACGAAAATTTTTTCACCATTCGTCTCAACTCGACGAGCTCTTTCGAATGACATATCGTTTGACCCATTTGCGTTCTGTTTAGTATTCCGAAATTTTTCCGAAAACGCTCCAACCCGATACCCGAAACCCGTACCCGAAGATTTTTTGTACCCGCGGCAACCCTGCTCTGGACGTATTTGTGGCCTCCGTAGCAGCAAAAATCTCCACAGATGCCATAGGTAAGGAGCTAAAATAAAGGATCATAACTTTGTCCAATCAAGTCGGATTTCGTTGATTTAGGTGTCATTCGACTCAGCTTGACGAGCTCTTTCGAATGAGGTATAATTTGCATATTCGAATTTTTCACCCCAAAAAAGTGCTTGGTCCCTCCTTTGGTTTTTCGATTTTTCGGGACCTATAACTCGGTCCAGAATCATTTCCTGAAACTGGGAGTGGTACCGTTCGACTCAGCTCGCCGAGACGAATCGAATGACATATGTCTCGTCCCGAACTTTTACCTCCGGTGAACTACACTACAGCCAAAATTATTTTTTTAATATGATATTGGAATAGAATTGGGTAATTTAATTAAATTAAACAAAAATAATCCATTTAACTTTTACTCAACTTTTTAAATTCTGTTAAATCTTTTTAAAAATAATTTGATTGATTTACATCTATGTATAATAAGGCGTCGGAGTCTTTGATTATTTGAATCAGTAATTTACAAAAAAATCTTGCGTCATTTGTTATTTTTTAAATTTTTAATTTTTCGCGCTAAAATTTTTGGCACCGAACCGTCCAAATTGTTGGACACTCAAAATTTCGCACTGAAAAGTCTTTGATATGTACTTTTACTATAAAAGCCCAATTTTATCTCACTCATTCTCCCTCCTCTCAATTGTGATTAAAACCTTGTTCGTCTTCTTAAATATTTATGTTCGCTTTTGCTGCAGGGTGCATCCCGTTATTGTTTCATTTATTTCTGTAAGTTTAGATTTTGTTTTATAGCAGGCTTTTCTTTCATTTTAAGCCTTTCATCCTCCCAAGTCAGCACGGTTGTGAACTACAATGTAAACAACAACAACAACAGTACCGAGCCTGTCTTAACTACAGGATCTTCAAGTTCTGTTGATGGTGGTATTCAAAGTACTACGACTGAAGGAGAAGAAGAAGGTAAGGGATGGGGGAGGGGGATTCAACTAGAGGTCAGAAAAATCGTTTTTGCGGGGTCCCGCATGCGGGAGTAACTTTTAAAAGCATATGCTGGACGGGATCCCGCGGGAATAATCCCACACTCTGCAAAGTCCCGCAAATAAAAAAAAATGCGGGAGCGTTATCCCGCAAAATCCCGAGCGGGATCCCGTTCCGCACCGACCTCTAGTTTCGGCTCTAAAATAGAAATAATCTCTCCCCCATTTTTTAAGTCACAACCAAAACAACTACAACAATCGAGCAAGAAGAAACCCAAGAAACAAGTGAAGAAAGTTATGGGCCTACTATGGCGATAGATGAAGTGCCGTATACAGAAGATCCTTGGGATAAAGGAGTGACACTACCTTATACACCAAAAAAGGGTATAGCGACGAGTACAGTGATATTGGCTGCAATCTGTATAGCGTGAGTTTTTGCATTCTTTTGGGATAACAGGTTTTACGTTTTATATTTTGGTGTGGGTTACTTTTAGAGGTCGAGATTTTTGGAAAGCCTGGGTCTGTTCCTGGACTCTGGAGTTTGATTTGTTGACCTGGGCGGATACTGGGCATGTAGTCTAGGAAAACCCCAGGAAAGTCAAAAAATGCATGGCCTGGACACTCTGGTTACAGGAAAAACCCAGGCCTTGGTTCAGACCCAGCTCGATCTCTAGATGCTTTTGGGGGGTTTGGAAACTTTTGTCAGAGTTGTGGGCCTCTTCTGAGGGATTTTTAGTTTGACATCGATAGGGATTACCTGGTAGGGTTTAGAAGACAGCTATTGCTTTAAAGTTGGGGGTCTTTTCCTTTATAGACGGTTTTGGGACCCAAAAAGATGAATTCCGGTGTTTAAACCCATTTTGACTCTGACGGCGTTAGACCTCTAATAAAATATTTTTTTAGACTTCTGATCTCAATCTGCAATGTTTACTGTTTTGGGAAGACTCGCGGCTATATTTAACTATGGGATTTGAAGAAATGATGTTGCTCTTATGGTGTGATTATTAGAAAATAGAGAAGAATGTATAGACTTTAGTGTCCAAAAATCTTTGTGCCATATAATCGTTTCCTTTATATTTTTTGGGTTTTGTGCAATAAATATTTTTTTGATTAATTTACTTTCTGTGTTTTATTTTTTGGGTTTTTATCCCAAACTTTTTATTGATCATTCTCTTGTCACTTGTGTGACTTTCCTTCGCCTTGATTCCTCTTAAATTTAATTTTAAAAAATCATTTTCTAGTTAATAATAAAATTTAAAAATGACAGCAGCAGGCCAATTACTTTTTGATGAATCTGGACAACCTTTTATTTTGTTACGTGAACAGGAAAGGCAAAAACGATTGACTGGTGTAGAGGCTTTGAAGGTTTTTTTTTAAATTTTATTTTTCTTTAAATTTTCCCAATTTTTTAAGAGCCACATTTTGGCAGCTAAACAAGTCGCAAATACGTTAAAAACATCTTTAGGTCCTCGTGGATTGGATAAAATGTTGGTTAGTCCGGACGGGGAGGTAACGATCACAAATGATGGGGCAACTATTATGAAGGTTTTTTGAGTTTATTGGAGTTTAAAATAAATTTTTTTGAAGAATATGGATGTAGAACATCACGTAGCTAAATTAATGGTGGAATTGTCGCAGTCGCAAGATGATGAAATTGGTGATGGAACTACTGGGGTTGTTGGTATGAATTTTAAGAAATTATTAAACTAGGAGAAATATGGTTAAAAATTAATTTTGTTTTGTTATGTTTCTCGGTGGTGTAATGGTTAGGATTGTAGGATTTGGCTCTTGATGGTCGAGGGTTCGAATCCCATTGGTTGTTAAACTTTTTTTATTTGTTCTATTATCATTTTTAACCAAAATAAACTTAATCATAGCTTAAAAAAATTATTTATTTTTTATTCAAAGTATTGGCCGGTGCTTTAATGGAACAGGCGGAATCACTTCTAGATAAAGGCATTCATCAAACCAAAATTGCTGATGGCTTCGAAATGGCTTGTAAAAAGGCCTTGGAAGTGTTGGATTCTATTGCTGAAAAATTTCCAATTGACAATAGAGAGGCATTAATTAGATGTGCGATGACTTCGCTTGGTTCTAAAATGTAAATTTGAATTTTTAATTTTTTTAGATTTTTATTTTATAATAGTATTTATGTACCAGTGTCCGGAAACCAGGCTCGATACATTTGTAAGCCTGACTCGAAACTAGTGCTCGGCTTGGTTCGATACTCCCAGGTACTCTTGAAAGTACAGAGTCATTTGGAATTTTCGTGTACTATTCCTGGTATAGTACCGAAAAAATCCATTACCCGACCACCACTCGAAACCCTACTCGACTTTTTTTCTCAACCCGATTCATCCCTGGTAACTACTCATTTCCCCGTGACATCTACTCATTTTTCCTTAATTTTTTTTTCAGTGTAAACAAATGTTTATATCAACTAGCTTCAATTGCTGTCGACGCTATTTTAGCTGTTGCTGATTTGGAACAACGCGATGTTAATTTCGAATTGATCAAAATTGTTGGGAAAGAAGGTGGACAACTTGAAGATACTGCTTTAATTAAAGGAGTTGTTATTGACAAAACTATGGTTTTTTTTTTAAATTTATTTTTTTAATTTTTATATAAATTTTAGAGTCATCCTCAAATGCCTCGACGTATGGAAAATGCAAAAATTGCTATTCTTACTTGCCCGTTCGAACCGCCAAAGCCAAAAACTAAGGTATTAAATTTTATTTAGGATAATTTTGGGGAGGTATTTGAAGATTTCTTTCCCTTGAGGTTTTTCTAGTCTTTCATTTTATTTATAAACTGATGGTTAGCAGTAAAAGCTTGAGTCAAATAGAACTCAAAAGACCTTGAAATATTTCTTGTCAATGACTCTTGATCCATGAAAAATCAAGTTTTTGGTTTACAAGGGACCTTTCACTTCTTTTTGATATCATTCGCTAGAACATAGTCAATAACCTTTTCCCAATTTTTGAATTTTTTTGCTACGGGGACATTTTCGGATTGTTATGTGCCTTCAAATCTAGTAAAGGAACCAAGAAAAATCACTAGCTTGGGTTCATATTCAGACTTGTAAATCAACTTTTCAATCATTTTCTCTCAATTTTTCAGCATAAATTGGACATTACTTCAACTGAAGATTACAAACAATTGCAAAAATATGAGCGTGAAACTTTTGAAAAAATGATACAAGATGTTAGTTTTTTTGGGGATTTTTTTAATAAAAAACAATTTTTTAAGGTTAAAGCAAGTGGAGCAACATTAGCTCTTTGTCAATGGGGATTTGATGATGAAGCAAACCATTTACTTTTACATCATAATTTGCCTGCAGTTCGTTGGGTTGGTGGGCCCGAAATTGAGGTTTTTCTTTTTATAAATTATTTTTTTGGGGAATATTGTGTTTGGCTCCCTTTCTCCTTTTTTTTCTTATCTCCCAAAATTGCCTTATAATTTTTTTTGTAAATTTTCGAGGAATATTGCGTTTAGCCCCCCCCCCCCCTCTGTATTTCGTCTCCCAAACTTTCCTTATATTTACCACTGATACAAAATCAACCGAAAAGGATTGACTTTTTTTCTAAAAATGTTTGAAACGTGACTTGAGGAGTTATCGACTTATTCACGACAAACATACTTATCATAGATCTTGAACAATATTTCACGCATTTTATACAAAAAACCTTTTTGGTTAATTTTGGCCTCTTGTAAATACAGAAGGGAGAATTTTTGAGGAAAATTAGTAATGGGGGGTAAACTACACTGTTATTAACTTATGTTAAAAATTTTTTTAATTTTAAAGTTAATTGCTATTGCCACAAATGGGCGTATCGTTCCTCGTTTTGCAGAACTTACACCAGAAAAATTGGGTTCTGCTGGACTTGTCCATGAATTGACTTTTGGAACAGACAATGACCAAATGTTGTGTATTGAAAATTGTCCTAATAGACGAGCTGTGACGGTTTCTTTGGAAAAAGTTTTTTTTATTTTAGAGAAATTTTTTTTGTAGGTTTTGATTCGTGGTGGAAACAAAATGGTTTTTTGTTTCCTAAAATTTTTCTTTAAAAATTTTTTTAAGGTTATTGAAGAAGCTAAACGTTCACTTCACGATGCATTCTGTGTTGTTCGCAATTTAATTCGTGACGATAAAATTGTCTATGGTGGAGGTGCTGCAGAGTTGGCTTGTTCTATTGCTGTTGCACAAGAAGCTGATAAAGTATTTCTTTTTGAAAAATTTTTGTTTTTACTTTTTTGGGGGGTTAGGGGTTCTTGAAGGGTTAGGGGTTCTCCTTCGAATGGAGAAAACTTTCCCTCCAATTGGTAACAATATGGAGAAATTTCCGCGAATAAAGTCTTCAGTTCCCTTAGCCTTGCTGAAATTTGAAATTTACATACTGGGGATTTAAGGAATTATCCAAAACTGTAAACTCGAACTTTTCGACCCGGTATCTTGTCTGACAGAAATTTCCAGATACGAAGATCAACCTATGGCATCTCTGTTATGTACTCTCTTGCTATTTTTTTAATTCAGGTTGAAGGAATTGAACAATATGCTTATCAAGCATTTGCTGATGCATTAGAAAGCATTCCAGCAGCTTTAGCAGAAAATTCTGGATTGCCACCAATTGAGACTTTAACAGAATTGAAAGCTCGTCAAATTCAAAATGTTTCTGTGTCGTCTGACGAGTCTTTAACTGCTAGCAACACAAAATCTGATGAGAATAATAAATGTTGTTATGAAAAGTTGGCATATTTTTTGGGTGTTGATTGTCTTCAAAAAGGGACTAATGATATGAAATCACAAGGCGTTATAGAAACTTTATTGTCTAAAAGAGAACAACTTTCGTTGGCTACACAGGTTTTTTTAGATATTTTTTAGAAATTTAAAAATTTTGAAATTGAATAGAAAATTGGAGGAGGGGATAGGAATGGAAGAACCGAGAATTTTTCAAGAATCGACAATCTTAAAGATGAATAGGAAGGTTAATTTTTGGTTGGTCTCACAAGGGAACCTCCCGAACTTTAAGTCATAACATCGTACTTTTTATGGTACTATCGTGTAGAGCAGGGTCGAAAACCTATTGGCTATTTTTGGCTTTTTTCCCCTGACCGTCAAAACGAAAAGTTATATAGCTGATAAAAGTGTCAGTATTTTGGAGGGGCAGAGTCTCCTTCCTTTTTATATTAAAAAGTGATTTTCTCCGGTTGGGAGATTACATACAGTTTGGGAGGTCTGGTCTTTATAGGGAGGTATGGTCATCGGGAGGTCTCATACTCGAAAGTCTGGTTTTTTGGTTTGGTCCTTAAGACTTTTTTTTGCACAGTTTGTGGGTTTTTCATGAAATATGGATAATTATTTTTTGGAAACTCACAAAACTGGTAGAAGGGCAGGGACTAACCAAGAAATAAGTAAAATTACAAATATACTTTTTTTAAAGGTTGTCCGAATGATTTTAAAAATTGACGATGTTCGTGTACCTGAAGATGAAGGAGCAATGTATGGAGGAATGGGCGGTGGTTTTCAATAAATATTTTTGAAAAAAGAGAGGTTTTAGTTAAAAAATTAAATTAAGAAAACGAAAATTGTTAAAGCTTTTTTTGGAAGAATTTTCTTTTTTTTTATTTTTCCTGAATTTTTTGCATTCTGTTAAAAAAACAAATCTTAAATTAATTTTTTTTAAAAATGATTTCAAGTGCTTCACTCTCAATTTTTGTTGCAGGAATAAAAAAAAATAAAAAATCTCGTTTAAATAAATTTTTTTTGGAATTTTTATATGTGTTGATGAACACAAAAAAAAATATTTTTTTGAATTTTAAATTTTTTTAAATTTTTTTTCAATGGAATTTTGATCGAATTTTGATAAAATAATTGGCTTGATATGTCTACTCAAGGACAGGTTTATTTTTTAATCTTTTGAGGAAGACTTTTTAATTTTTAGATAATAACATGTAAAGCAGCGGTTGCTTGGGAGCCTAACAAACCTTTGGTTTTTGAACAAGTTGAGGTTGGTCCTCCAAAAGATGGGGAAGTTAGAATTAAGGTTTGTTTAATTTTCTAGAAATTTGTCTGGTTATTTGGTAAGGAGACACGCGTAAACTTTGACTAAAAATTTTGTAAATGAACCAAATTCTAGCCTTCTTGATTATTTTTTTCAGTAAGGTTTTAGGTGTGTTCTTGGTAACATTTTTTTAATTTTTTGTCATTACTGACAAGGGGACATGTCGAACTGTATGTAAAATTTTTTATTTTTCTTTGTTCCATCATGTATATCAGGGTCGATAACCAATTGCCAATTTTTTTTAGACCTGACCCACATTCTTTTGTCTTTCGTAAAAATTCCGTATTTTTTGGACTTTCGCCTTCTGTCTTTCGCTTTTTAAATTCACTTTCGCAATTTTGCCTTCCGCTTTTCGGCACATTCCTGGTACATATGTCTCCCTGTGAGTGTCGTTTTTTAGTTAATTTTTTTCTATCGTGGTTTTTGTTGATTGAGGAATTTGTGGAATCCGGCAAACCCTGGTCATTACAGATCTTTTTCTAAAAATTAAATTGCTTTTAAGCTCTTTAATTATTATTTTTTTAGATTCTCTACACTGCTCTTTGCCATACTGATCTTTATGTAAAAAAAATTTTTTTTTTAAATTTATCCAGTCTATTTAAACAATTTTTAAAAGACACTATCAGGCAAAGACCCGGAAGGCATATTTCCTGTAATATTTGGACACGAAGCTGTTGGACAGGTCGAATCTATTGGAAATGGAGTTGGGAGTGTTGCTATAGGTTTTTTTTAAGTTTTTGTTTTTTATAAAGAAATTTTTTAGGAGATTATGTAATTCCTTGTTTTGTGCCTCAATGTAGAGAATGTGAATTTTGCAAAAATCCAAAGACTAATATGTGCCAGAAAATAAGGTTTAAAAATTAATTTTTTTGTGGTTTTAAAGGGGATTTGTAAAAGGGTGGTTGTTCTTGCGGACAATTTTTGGGGAGGAAAAAAATTTTTCTGGACTCAAAAAAATTTTTTTGGACTCAAAAAATTTTTCTTGGACTCAAAAAAAATTTCTGTGGATTTTTATATTTTTCCTTTTTTGAAATTTTATTTTTACAATTAACTTTAGAATTCAATTTATTTTTAAAAAAAATATGCTATAAATCCCCCAATATTTATTTTAAACAAGTATTCCGATTATTATAATTTACTCTGAAAATTTTAACTTCTTCAAATTAATTTCTTTTTAATGAGCGTCCTCATCTTCATCATAAGGTTTATCGTTCAGATAACGGAGATAATCTTCCTCGTCTGAATCTTTAGTTGGCTCTTTCATCTCAGTTTGATTTTGCTCTTCCATATGAGTTTCTGTTTCGTCTTTATTACTTTCTTCATCCTCTTGATTAAAAAGATTTCCTTCAAATTGAATGTTCTCTTCGTAAACGATAGGCAATTTATCTTTATTTCTAAAATCTGCATTATGTGTATTAACAAAAGAAGTTCCTTCATTATTATCAGAATGAATATGCCCTACTTTTGGATCAACATTTTTTAAACTTTCTTTTTTATTTTTGATTTTGATTTTTGATTTTTCTCGGTATCTCAACTCAACTTATCTCAACTTTTCTCTTAAACTCCAAAATATCGCATTGACGATTAAAATTATTAGAATACTTTCAAGTTTCATCATAAATTAATTTAGAAAATTTTATTTAAAATAAAATTTTATTTACTACAAATTAACCAAAAATGATAGACTTTAATTTTATGAATTTAAATGAGCAATATAGAGATGATGAAAGCACCTTGGGAAAATTATTTTACATTTCATAATAAAAAATATAAAGTACATGTCTAGGGTTTATCACCTACATTTGATTTTTGTGTTCTAAAATTCTTAAAATTTTTGTTTAAAAAGGTTTAAGGCCCATTTCCTGTTATTTATTTTAAAAAATTAAAAAAAATTTCAGATTGCAACAAGGCCGTGGTTTAATGCCTGATGGAACTAGTAGATTTAGTTGTAAAGGGAAAACTATATAGTTGGGAATTTTAAAGTTTTTAATTAATTTTTTATTTTTAAAGTCATTTTATGGGTGTCAGCAGTTTTAGTGAATATACAGTTTGTGCTGAAATTTCTGTTTGTAAGGTATTTTTGAAACCAGAAATCAGAATATTTTGTATTTTTCTTTTGTATTTTTACAATCAGAAATTAATCAGAAATAATTATAAAAATACAAACACAAAAAATTCTGATTTTAATGTATTTTCTAAAATCAGAATTTTGTATTTTCTTGTGTTTCTCCATATGTCAGAAATTTAAAAATGTGTTTTTTACATATTTAATAAATTCTGAAATTAATTCTGATTTTAGAAAATTCTGATTTTCTCTAAATAATGTAAGAAAATACAAGAAATTCTGGTTTTTAAAATCAGAATTTTTAATTAATATTAATTCTGATAATAATTAATTCTGATTGTGAGTTATACTTTCCGGAAAATAATATTGTAGAGTTATCTTTCCGGATCTTGTATTTTTAGAGTTAATATTCTATTTTTTTTTGTTAGAAAATCTAAAAAAATAATTTCAAAATTTATATTAAATAAAAACACATTTAGATATATTTTTAAAAATAAATTGGTTTTTTTTTAAAAAAAAAGATACCAAAAACCTCACCAATCGACAAACTTTCCCCACTTGGTTGTGGTGTCTCTACAGGTTATGGAGCTGTTTTAAATACCTGCAAAGTTGAAACAAACTCTACTGTTTCTGTATGGGGATTGGGAACTGTTGGATTAGCTGTTATTATGGGGGCTAAAGAAATTGGGGCAAAAAGAATTTTGGCTATTGATATTTGTGAAGGAAAATTTGAAAAGGGTAAAAAGGAATTTTTTAAATTAAATAAACTTTTTCCGGAAAATTGAAATAATTCCGGAAACTAGTATATTCCTTGGTTATTTTTCTGGAACTTGCGTATTTTCCAGAGTTATACTTTCCGGTTACCAATATTGTAGAGCTATTTTTCCGGAAATTTATATATTCAGAATTATATTGTTTCCGGAAACTATTAGGGTGTAACATAAATAATTAGCCCCCCTTGAGCAAAGTTAAATAAATATTTATTAAAATTAAACTAAATGTTTTCAGACTTCGAATTATATTTTTCTATAATCCTATAAGAGTTGCCTATTTTCTGACAAAAAATCAGAATCCTAGGATTAAGTTGGCCGGAGTTAGAGGTGAAATACTAAAACTTGTATTTTTTAAACGAGGCAAATTCTTTTTGATTTTTCTCTGAAAATTTATGAGAAAGAATGAAAATTTCAATAGATTCTGATAGAGCAGAATCTGATGAATACAATGATATAAGAAATTCCCCTGTAAAACAACTGGCTGATTTTTTAGAGGGTCGCATTTGTGAAATAGGGGCTAACATTATGCTGCTTTAGGATAACCCTCGCGCGAAAATGCCTAGCGAGGCCAGGCGACCAGATTTTTCGATGGACTCGATCAATATGGGAATAATACAATTTGTGGGTAATAGTTTAGCCAGTTTAAACTAAATTCCAATGATTGCCCCGCCGCAACACCATCAAATACATATCAGATCACGCTGTAGGACCAGTCTGATTTAGAGGTCGAAACTGATGGTTATCTGGGATGAGCCGTTCCTTTTTGTTTACAGAATTCATGAAGGCAACCCAAACTTCCTCATAGGTTAAAATTTGTTTCAAATAAGGAGCTTCATTGTGGCATTTAAGGGGTTGATTTGCAAAAGTGACTTAGTGATTTTTTTGATTTTGCGGCAATTCATGGGGTATCAATCGACTCTTCATAACTTGATACCCGCTTCATATAAAATTATGGTAATTTTTGTAAGTGAGCAGGTGAGTGCCTGCCCCAATATACACATTTTATTTTTTGGATTGGCTTTGATTCAGGGGAGAACGGCATTCTTATCTATCGTTGGTTGGCATCCAAGTTGTTTTTTGTCTTTCAGCTCCTCTCTACCTTTCTTTTATTTGGAGACCAAACTTTTTTCTCTGGAATAGGAGATAACATCCTCATACTTCGCTATGCATATTTTGCCCCATAATTCCTTTTCCTAATGTCCAAGTTCAATCTCATATTTGAACTGGACGCTAATTTCATAATTTTGCCTTAAACTTTAAAAATTTATAAAAAATTTTTAAATAAAGAAAAAATTTCAAATCTTTCAGAAAATGAAGAAGGCAATATTGTGAATATATGACAAAAAAATTAAACAGATTGGAGATCTGAACATTGAGATATACATTTTCAAACTTTAATGATTTAAGGGGGGCTAATTATTTATGTTACACCCTAATAATAAAACAAGGCTATTTTTCTGGGGCTTGTATATTTTCCTGAGTTATATATTTTCCGGAAACTTATATCTAAAGAATATACCCATTTTTTAAAAAACATATACAATTTCTGGTTGAAAAGAATTATTGTACCTTGTAAAAAGTGGTAAAATTAAATAGCTATTTCTCAAATTTAATATTCAATAAAATTGAAAAAAAAATATATTTTTTTAATTTAAAAACATTTTTTTAATTTTAGCTAAAAAATTTGGAGCTACGGATTGTCTAAATCCTCGTACTTTACCAGAAGGTCAATCTATTCAATCCTATTTAATTGAAAATTTTGATGGTGGTTTTGATTATACTTTTGGTAATTTTTTAAAATATTTTGTGATTTAATATTTTTTATTCAAAAATAGAATGTTGTGGAAATGTGGAGACTATGGTAAATAAAAAAATTTTTTTTAATTATTTTTTTTTTGGTTAAAAAAATTTTCTTCCGAATTTTTTTGACGTATTTAAATTAAAAAAGTTTCTTAAATTAAAAATTAAAAAAATTTCTATAAAAAACAAAAAAAATTTAATTTTGAAGAGACAAGCACTAGAATCAGCACATAAAGGTTGGGGCGTTTCTTGTGTAGTTGGGGTAGCTGGTGCTGGTGAAGAAATTCGGACTCGTCCATTTCAAGTATTTTATTTCAGTAATTATTTTAAATTAATTTTTTTAAATTTAAAGCTAATTACTGGACGTGTTTGGAAAGGAACTTCTTTTGGGGGTAAATTTTTCTTCTAAAAAATTTTTTTTTAATTTAATTTTAAAATTAAAATAAAAGGTTGGAATAGCCGTGATGATATACCTCTCCTTGTTCAAAAATGTCTTGATGGAAAAATTAAATTGGATGATGTAAATTTAATTTTTTAAACTTTATCTTAATTATTTAAAAAAATTTTCAGTTTATTACTCATCGCTTTCCTTTTGACAAAATTAATGATGCTTTTGATTGTATGCATTCTGCTACTGAATGGTAAAATTTCAAAAAAATTTCTTAAAAAATTTTTCTAAAAATTATAGTCTACGATGTGTTATTTCCATTGGGGAGTAAGAAAAATTAATTTAAAGAAAATTAAAATATATAGGTCTATCAAAATATTCTTTCCAATTTATATATTTTTTCACTTTTAAATTACCAAAACTTTATAAAATTATTTATACAATATTTTTCAAACCATCGGGAAACCAATCCATAATTTTAAAATAAAAGCTGAAGAGGGAAATATAAGATAAAGCTTCAGAAAATAACTATGAAAAATGAACTTTCCGGAAAATATATTTAATTTTAAAAATAGAAATTCCGGAAAATAACTAATAATATATGTAGACTTTCCGGAAAGTTTAGCTCTTGAAATAGTCTTCCGGAAATTATATAACTCTGAAAAATACGGGTTTCCGGAAAAATAACTATAAAATATATTAGTTTCCGGAAAGTATCTTTGAGAATATAAAAGTTTCCGGAAATTTATTTTAATATTTTGTGTTTTCCGGAAAATGCAGGATTTATTTAAACTACTGAAAAATACGAGTTTCCGGATAACTATAAAATATATTAATTTCCGGAAAGTATAACTCTGAAAAATAGAAAAGCTTCCGGAAAATTATTATAAGGTTTATCGTTTTCCGGAAAATACACAATTTTACTTAAACTAATGACTAGAAATGTAGGGAATATAATTATTTAAGTACAAAGTATTAGAAAGACAATTTAAGAAGTAGGTTTAAAATTAGAGATTAATTTTAAAAAATAATTTTGTTTTTAATTAATGAGGAGATTATTTTAAATTATCGGCGACCATTGTTTCCAGTAGTTGATATACCCCCATCAGTACCAGTTACTGGATAACATAGATTGCCTGCTCCACATTGGAAGCCGTTTGGGCATTCCTTTTGAGAGAAAATTTTTTGGTTTAGCTTTTAGAAAATTTTTTGTTACCCCATTCGGACCGCAAGGCCCCAATACAGAGCCTGATCCTAGAGAGCAACAGAAATTGTTTGTATTGCAAGCATATCCAGGTGGGCATAAATTGTTTACACAAGGACCTAAAAATTTTTTTTAATTTTTTTAAGGATTTTCCGAAGAGACCTGGTGATGTTCCCGAAGGACATCGACAACAGAAATTCCGAGAATTGCAAAAATAGCCTTGCCCACACAAACCGTTGAGACAAGCTGCTACTGCTGGGTCGCCATCACAGGCAGCTTTAAAAGAATTTTTTTTTGAAATTTTTTGCTATTTTCAGGTTGATTCAGGAATGGAATTTCAGGCTTAATGATTTTTGCTTCAAGTTTGCTTCAGGATGCTTTTTCTCATCCTAAACCTCAAAAAATACAACGTACTACTCAGACTGGTTGTTTGTGCTGGCTGTGCAGGACAACAACACCCTAAAACACAAACGGTAGCAAGTTGATAGCGTTGGCATTGTTGGGAACTTACACCTTTTTAAATATTAATTAATTATTAATTTTAATTTTTAAAAAATTTACAAGGAGAGAAACATCCGTTTGGACATCCCCATTGCCTTTTTGAACGCCCCATTGTTGAAATTAATGAATTCGAAGCAATTTCTGGGGTATCTGGATGGTCTGGGTCGTCTTGAGTTTTAACCAAATGGTTGGCAATAATTGCTGTACAAATTCCAAATAGCAGCAACAATAAATTTCTTTTTGATAATAAAAAGAGAGGTAACAGTCTGAGCATTTTAATGGTTGTTGGTTGCATTTTTTAGGAGACTACATGTAAAATTTTCTTATTTGAGAAAGCAAGTTTAAAATTTTTTGAAAAGGATTTTGTTTTTGAGTTACCAAGTCGAAACAAGTTTCTAAATGCCTCTCGATTTATATATTTCTTTTTTAATTTTGGCTAGCCATTGAGGGAAGGATCTGTCTGAACTAGGATAGCTCCCCGTCCCCCGACGATTTTTTGGCAAAAACCAAGACTCGAACCCCGAAGGCCCTACTCCGGCAAACTCCGATCCCCGACACTTACGAGACCTACCCTAGTTTAAACGATTCCCTCAACTTTAAGGTTTTTTTCAACTTCCATCTAAGAGAGGGAGGAAGGTTCGACTGAATGTATTAGCAACATTTATAAGTTAGCGTAATAATTTTTTGATTTTTGGGGTTAAGAAAAGCTTCGAGTTCTTGACTAACTTTCATGTTGCTAATAAATTAATTTAAATAATTTTTTAATTTTTTCAATAGGTCATTGATTAGCATCACTACGAAAAAATTTACAAAAAATACTAGTACAATGTTTCAAACATAACGCCTATTAAAAAAACTTAAAAGATGAAGCAAAAATATATTATATAAAAGAAGAGAACGACTGACCGCTCCTTCAAGTTTTTTTCTTGTCTTTCTACTCAATCTTGATCACAAAATTCATTTGCTTCTGGCCGGAGAGATTTCGCGCGCTTTGATGTTTAAAAAAGAAGAGATTGAAAAACAAGTAGAGGAAGGGGAAATCAATTTTCAATTGAAGCGAGTTTTGAAGAAATCAAAAAAAGTAAAGGGGGGGGGAGGGAATGGACATTATAAAAAAATATTATTTCTTTTCTTTTCATCTTTCATTAAGGGAAGAAGGAATGCTTGGCCCAGCTTTTGTGTTAGCTTTTTTGTTGCATTCGCACTCTACTAGTAGCCATTTTATTTTTAATTCATGAATGACCAGTCTGTTGATGAATAAAAGAAGAAAAACAAGTGAGAAGCTAACAAAATATAAAATACCTATATAAAATTTAATAAAGTAGAGGACTACAAAAATAATGTACGTACAGAAATTGATTGGGAAATGAAGGGCCACAACTAAAAATTGGAGATTAGGTCTTCGGAACTGGACTTTGAACATTTAACAAATTTAAATTTCTGATAAATTTATTTTTGTTGTTTTGATTGGTTTTAAAAAACTGATTACCGCTGTAAAAATAAACAATATTGGCATAATGTTTATATTTAAAATAAATGACACTTTATCCCAATAAAAATAAAATTGCACATTTGATACTGTAGAAGAAACTAAAAAATCAATAAATCGATTTATTGATTTTTTATCGATTTTTTGAAGAATTAAAATTTTTAAAAAATAAATTATCGATTGATATCGATTTATTGATTTTTTTATCGATTTTTTGGAAAAATTAAAATTTTAAAAAATAAATTATCGATTTTATCGATTGATATCGATTTATTGATTTTTTATCGATTTTTTGGAAAAATAAAAATTTTAAAAAATAAATTATCGATTTTATCGATTAAAATCGATTTATTGATTTTTTATCGATTTTTTGAAAAATTAAAATTGTTAAAAAATAAATTATCGATTTTATCGATTGATATCGATTTATTGATTTTTTATCGATTTTTTGGAAAAATAAAATTTAAAAAAAATAAATTATTGATTTTATCGGTTGATATCGATTTATTGATTTTTTATCGATTTTTTGGAAAAATAAAATTTAAAAAAATAAATTATCGATTTTATCGATTGATATCGATTTATTGATTTTTTATCGATTTTTTGGAAAAATAAAATTTTAAAAAATAAATTATCGATTTTATCGATTGATATCGATTTATTGATTTTTTATCGATTTTTAAAAGTTTCCCACTACGCTCTCAATTTTCAACACCAAACTGACATTAATGCTTGTATTTATTTTTATCTCTAACCGCAATATTTCTTTTTTCTACTTCTCTAACTTTAGGGATAAACTGTCATGTATTTTTGAATATGGGCATAATGCCAAATATTGCGAATTTTAAATACGATATTTATTTATTTTTATAACGCACGATAAACAGAACACTCTCCCAAATTATTGATAAATTCAATCCTTCTCAAAAAATTTTTTATTTTTTATAAATTTTTATAAGGCTGTTCAGCAGCATATAATAATCAAATATATCACAGTATAACTATAAATTAAAATCTCTTCAAAAATCACTTTTTCAAAAAATAATAAATTAATTAAAAATTGTTTTTTATTTTTTAATTTGTTGTAGCACATCATTAATTGAGTCATCAGGAAATGATTGGCAATGGGGTAGAGCACGTATATTTTCTACATAATAAGCAAAATCTTGTCCAGCCATACTGTGTTAAAAATAAGAAAATTTCCTTTTAAATTTTAAACTAGGGAACTTTGCTACAAGTTTGCAAATTTTGTTTCAAGTGTACAAACTTTGCTACAAGTTTATAACACCGTCCCCGAAACCCCGACTATTTTTCGGCAAAAACCCCGACCCGAACCCCGAAGGCTCTAAAATCCCGATCCCCAACGATCCCGAACCCCGAAGGCTCGAGATGCTACCCTAATTTAAGTGAACAATAAATACCCATAAGCAATAGAATCGTGTGGAGTAACCCCTCTCGAATGCACATTTTGTTTAAAATAAAGTTTCAAGTTTTCGTGTATTAAATGAAGCATTTTGGTAGTTAATTCTGGCGGCATTATAGAAGAATAACTGCTGTAGAATTTACCAATCTGCATAACTATTTGTTGAAATTGTGGTGTTGGTGATTTGCCTTCCGGTTTCCACTAAAAATATATTTATAATTGATTTATTAAAGAAACATGTTTCAGTTTATTAGAGTTTCAAATTTATTTAAAAAAATAAATTTGCTTCAAGTTTGAATGTTTCAAGTTTGTGAACTTTGCTTCAAGTTTGTAAACTTTGCTTCAAGTTTGAAACTTGCTTCAAGTTTGAAATAAGTTTGAAACTTGCTTTAAACTTGCTCCAAGTGGCAAACTTAAAATTTATTTAAATACCCACACAAAATAATTTCAAGTTTATTAAAATAAAAGTTTCAAATTACACAAACTTGAAACAAATTTACCTAAAAATATACCTCTTCTAATGCAACAAGCAATTCCCTATCCATCATTCCCAGCAATTTGTCTTTAATTTCACCAATATGATCAGCATAGTCTCTCGCAGTAGAATCAAAATGTCGTAGGGATGTTTGTCGTTCAACAGGTAAATGTTCCAAAAAAGATTGTTTTAATGTAGGAATAAATTTTGCAATTAATTGAAGTGAACGTGAAGCTAGTGCTTAAATGATAATTGAATTTTGCTTCAAGTTTTACAAATTTTGCTTCAAGTTTTGCAAATTTTGCTTCAAGCTTGCAAACTTTGCTTCATATTTGTAAACTTGTTTCAAGTTTGCAATCTTGTTTCAAATTTGCAAACTTGCTTCAAGTTTTGTAAAAATCAATTCTAAAAAAATACCCAAATGCTTAACATTAATCGACTTTAACCCAACCAATTGTCTTGCACCAGCACCCAAAATAAGTTGACAAGTACGGCTATTAAAAAGTTTGAGACATTGAACAACATCCATACTTAATTCCATACCAGCAGTAGGAAATAAACGAAGAAGATCGCTATAGCTAGCTAATATGTTTATTAGCAACAAGGCGCTTCTGAAAAATATTTTTTTGTAAAGTTGAAGCAAAAATTGAAACAAAAAATTTTTTCTGAAGCAAAATTTTTTTGTAAAGTTGAAAAAGAAAATTTTGTGCTTCAACTTTAACAAATATTTTTGCTTCAGAAAATAATTTTTTTCAAACTTGAAGCAAAAATTACTTACCCTATAACAATAAACTCTTCGTCTTTTAATTTTAACATTTCTTTTGGTTCTTCATCTTCACAATTTATCGTTTCATTATTTGTATCAGTTGTAAGTACTCCATCTTGAACATAACAATCAACAATTCGTTGAATATTAGAATTTATATGAGCTGCTTTCCATGGTTCTGCATCGATTGTTGCACTAAAATGAATTAAAATTTTGTTTAAATAAATATATTCAAGTTTGTAAACTTAAAGTCTATAAACTTAAGTTTTATATACAAAACTAAAAGTTATTCAATTCAAGTTTGTAAGCTTGAAAAAAAAAGTTTATTTAAATAAACTTGAAGCAAAAAGAATTAACTTAAAAATAAACTTGAAGCAAGTTTATTTAAATAATACAAGTTTACACTTAAATAAGGTTTGTAATTTATTCAAGCTTATAAACTTAAGCTTTTTTATACAAAAAAGGTTGCTTTTATTCAAGTTTGTAAACTTGAAAAAAAGTTTATTTAAATAAACTTGAAGCAAGTTTATTTAAATAATACAAGTTTGTGATTAAATGGAGTTTGCAATTTATTCAAGTTTATAAACTTAATTTAGCTTACAAATTTAAAAGTTTACACTTCAAGTTTGCAAACTTAAACAAAGTTGGTAATTTTACTATCAAGTTTATTTAAATAATATATCAATGTTCGTAAACTTGCTTCAAGTTTATAATCATAAAATTAATAGAAACTTGCTTCAAGTTTATATTAAACATTTTCTCTCTCACCTTAATTCACGTTGTCGTGCTTCAGTAAATTTAGTAAGGAATTTATTGGTCTAAAAAATTAAAAAAATTAATTTATAAAAATTTTTCAGTCCTACAATTTGTTGTATAATTGTTTGACATTGTGAGCGTGATTGTTGTTGTTGTCCACATTCATCAATTTGTTTACATTTTTGTTTAAATTCTTCAATAATTTGGCAGGTTTTGTGAAATTCTAATGGTAAACATTTTTCTAATACATTATCCTTTAGAAAAAAAAATTAAAATTTAATTAAAATAACCAGTAATTAAAACCACTATAGGGAGCAGACCAAGGAACCGGAAAAGCTCAATGTATTCCGGAACTATAACTTTGTTCGAAATTGCCGAATCGGGGACTCCCATGTATGGTTTGATTCAGCTTGTCGAGGTGCATCAAACCATACCAGGGCATCCCAGCTTCGACAATCATAAAAAAAGTTATAGCTCTCGTGGTACCTTTAGACAAAATTTAAAGAACCTATCTTAAAAATTGAGCCATAAATTTAGGTTTATCTTAAAGATAAGGTTCATCTTCTAAATGTTTTTCCTTACCTTAAATCTAGACTGTATTCTTTTAGAAATTCTTTCTTCACATAAATAAATAGCATGTCCAATTAATTGAATTGAAGCAGCACGTAATTGATTTATATTATGACAGGGTAGTGATAAAAGAGCTCCAGGTGTTCCTGGGGGTAGTGGTGGTGGGTTTGTTGTTGTTGGTTTGTCTAAATAATTAATTAATTGAAAATTTCTTTTGTTTGGAAGGGGGGGGCATTTCCGGCATTACAACTTTTAGGGAAGCTGTGCCCCTTCAATACTCTTCCAGGAAGACTTTTTTTTGGGAGGGGGGGGGGAGGGGGGGGTTTCCGGTATTAAAACAATTAGGAAAGATGTGCTTTCATTATCATCCATTGATACAATTTTTGACGTTCTTTCGAAGAAGCTATATAGAAATCTTAAATAACACAATTATTCATTGAGATTTGACCCAAAATTTCTCTCTCTACAACCCGGGCCACCCAAACAAGGATTTGTGTGGATTAACAACAGATTATTCAAAATAGTCCCTCTCTCTCAACAGAAAATAGTCCCTCCCCCTCTTATTCGAAATAGTCCCTCTAATCCCCTCTAATCAGAGCTGCGTCAAAACAAAAAAAACGTCGAAAATCGAAATTTCGGCGCAGCTCTTACTCTAATCTAGTAAATACCTCCCCTTTCGTTATTAAACACTAAAAAAACAAACAAAGAAAAACCTAAAGGTATAGAAGAACCAACAGAATTTCCAATTGAAGGTGTTGAAGTCCCAGAATTTTGTGCTGATGATTTATTTATTGAATCACTTCTACTTTTCTGCTGTTGTTGTTTTTGTAATTGTTCTGATTCTTCTAAAGCTGCTTGATCAGCACATTTAATTATTAATTGTTGGATTGACTTTAAAAAATATTTTTTAATTAAATTTCAGAAAAGGTCTTCTTGTTCAGTTTATCCGTCCCTTAGAGTACCCTTATCGTATATTGAAGTTTATTAAAATCTAAAATTGGATTTTGGGTTTTCTAATATTTTTTGAGGTAATGAAACCTTCAACTAATTATAGGGGTAAGAGTGACTAAATTTTAGGCCATAGCTTTTTCTATTTTTAACCAATTTAATTAATTTTTATATCAATCAAAAGCTCTAAATGTGAGGATTATTTTAGCTATTAAGTTTGATTTGATCAGATCATCCAACAAAAAGTTACAGATAAATAACTGCTCGGAATCGTGATTTTTGACACTTTTTCGACTCTAACTTTAAGCAGAATGATCTGATCCAATCACTCTTAACAGATAAAATAATCCCCACTCTTAGAGCTCTTGAATGATATAATACTCAATTAAATTTGTCAAGTATCAAAAAAGTTATGGCCAAAATACGGCCTCGAGATCAAGGTTATGGGATGTATAAACTGACCAAAAACCCCCCAAAAAAATTAGAAGAAAACCTTTATTTTATTGCACAGAATAATTAAACAATTAACAACAGCTAACAAAGTTGCATCCCATTGTGAACTAGTCAATTTACAAATATGCTCAGACAAAGTAGTTGGATTATAGCCTATTGTGTCAGCATCCAAATGAGTTAAAATTTGGGCTTTTACAATCTTTGAAAAAAAATTTTTTTAATTTTTAAAAATTTAAATGAACCTGTTTTGTCGAATTTTTAACTGTTGCATTGATTTCTTCTCGTAAAATAGCCAAAAAACGAAATTCATGACAACGAACCAAAGAAAAAATAATTGGGTAAAGATTAGAAATCTGTTTAAAAATTAATAAAAATTTATTAGGGAAATTTTATTAAAGAAAGGATGTCAAAAAATTTTGAAAAATTTTTTTATATTAAAATGATCCCTAAAATATTCGAAAGTAAAAATAAATCGAAAAAATAGAAAAAAGAAATAAATAAACCGGTGAAGGATTCGAACCTCTATCAAAAAAAAAGTATAGGAGAGAATCCTAACCACCTAACAACAAGAAATTTTTAAGTGTAAACATTTTAAATTTGCTATATACTCAAGCATATATTGCAAATTTTATTGTAAATGAACCTCCACCGGTAATAATTTCACACCCTAAGAATGAAATTACACGGAGAGGTTGCGAGGTGTCCGACCCAAAAAACGGTCGAAACCGGGCTCATTCGATAGAGAATGTGCCCTTTCTAGCAAAAATTTTGAGCCCGCTTTTTGATCTGGATTATTTGATCTGGATTATTTAAAAATCCCCTAATATTTCAAAAAAAAATTCTTCCGAAAAATAAAATTAAAATAAAAAAACCTCTCCATCATCCTCTTCTTCATCATCAAAAAATTGTTTTCGTTTTTGTTCTTCTATAGGCCAAGCAAATTCTTTTTGAATAACTTGTTCAAATTCCTCCAACAACATTTTGCCAATCATTTTTTTAGTTTCTTCCAATTGTGAGCCTAAATGACGGAAACAGTTGACAGCACGTAAATCTGCACTCAAAACTTCCTTAAAAAATTAATTAAAAAAATTTTCCGTCAAAAAATTAGTACTTAAGGGAGTATCTCCCCAACAAGTCCGCAAATATTTATCTTCTTCTCCTTAATTATTCCTCCTCTAAAAATTATTCTTTATTTTACTTGATATTTATTAATTTTTAGATTTAAGAAATATTATCAATACCTGACCATTTTTAATTTTTATAAGAGGAAAATAAAGGAAGGAGAAGAAAATAAACATTTGCGGACTAAACATTTGCGGATACTCCTGAATAGAAATCGGTATTTTCAAAAATCCTGGGTCTGGATTTAGGTTAGTAACCTGGACAGGACTCTTGATCTGGATCCAGGAAATTCAAATCCAGGTCCAGAAAATTCAGACTAGGAAAAATCCAGGACGATCAAAAAATGGCTGGATCCTGGATTCTTGATGTGGATCCAGGAAAATTCAGACCCAGAAAAATCCAAAACGACCAAAAAATGCCTGGACCTGAACTCTGCATCCAGGAAAAATCCAGACATGACCCGGATCAAGACCGATCTTTACTCCTGAAGTCTGGCTTCAGATCCAGACAGACTGGATCCAGACCGGGCTTTACTCCCTAAGACCAAAAAAAATTAAAAAAAAACCATTGCAGTTTGTATACATTCAAGAGCTCTAGGGACATCATCCTGATTTAAAAGCATTTGAACGGTTAATTGGGCATCTCGAAGACAAGCAATTTCCTTTAAATTTATTTAAAAAATTTTAAATTTAAAAGAAACCTGTAATTTATCAAATAGACGTTGTCTATTAATTTTGGCATAATAAAGTTGAAGCAAATTTTGAGAGCGTTGGCATAACTCTACTTTTGTTTTGGCAAGTTTTTGTCTTTAGAAAATGATAAAAAATGATTTATAAATTTAATTTTCTGAGAAGGTTTAAGGCCTACGAATATGGAAGAGGGAAAATAAAGAACCTCTCTCATCCTACATTGGGTAAAACTTCAAAATGATCCCTTATAAAAAAATTTTTTTTTAATCTCCAATTACTAGAAAAAATATAGCAAGTAAAAAACGCTCTCCTATTAAACACAAAAAATCCCAAAAAAAAATAATTTACAAAAAATAAATTTAAAAATCCCCCAATTCCAAGTATTTTTCCCCAAATAATTTAAAATTCCCAAAAAATATTTTTTTCCAAAAAAAAAAATAGAATTTAATTTAAAAAAACCTAGCAATTTTAATTCTTTCAATAGATTCTTCCAAATCGTCATGCAAAGCTTCATAAGAATTTACACTTTTCCAAAATTGTTCACTTCGATTTTCCAATTGTTGATTTAATAAAGTACTTATTGCATCATCAAAAAATTCCAATTTATTTTGTAAACGTAAACAAGCACGGAAAAAACGGCCATTACTTGCTTCTATTGGTAATGATGATTGCTACAAATTAAAAAAAAATTAAAAAAATATTTTCCACTCGAGAAATAGATCAAGTTGAATTTTAAAAATTTTATGAATAAATAGCTTCCACGGTTAACAAAAAATAAAATAATTCCTAGAAATAGACAATGGGTAAAGTTGTAGGTTCTTGGATAATCTTCCGATCCGAACTGAAAAACCGAACCGACAACCATATTTCGTGAGATAACGACAATGTTGGCTCCGATTGGAGTTCAACTTTTATCAATTCCCTATGAGCCATAGACAAGACTTGAAAATGTAAGAGCCCGAATCACAAACATCACAACACCAAGTATTGTTCATACCTCATGAATAAATTTAGGAAAGAGTCCTTTTACTTAAATTACCCAAAAAATTAAAAAAAATCCTTTACTTGTTGTTGCCCACTTTGAATAGAATAAAGAGATCCACAACTTTCATGCCTTTCAATAAACGGATTTTGATTTTGTTGTTGTCTTAAAGCTTCTTTTCTTTTTTCTATTGGAGAAAATAAATTATCAATTTCTCCAGGTTTAGGCTCCAAAAACACAGCCTCAAAAGTATGTTGTGTATGGCGAGAAAATGTTGGAGAAAAGAAAATCTTTAAAAATAAAAAAATTTTGAAGTTAAAAAATTTTAAAAAAAATTTCGAAAAATTTTTTTTTAAATCGGAAAAAAAAATTTTGTGAAATGCAAAAAATTTTGAACTTAAAAAATTAAAAAAATTTTTGTTGATTTTTAATTTTTTTAATTTTTCAAAAATTTTCAACAACAAAAAATTCAAAAAAATTTCTGAAAAATTTTCAGAAAATTTCAAAAAAAAATTTTTTCTAAAAAATTCCAAAAAATTTTACATCAGCCACTTCATCCCTCGATATCCGTTCTTCTTCCCCATTTTGTTGCGTTTGTTTTTGTCTAAGTGCCCTTCTCGCCTTCAAATATTGTTTATGCTTCTTTGCTGTAGTTGCCAAATATTGTCGAAAATGTTCCAAAGAAATTGACGGGATTGTTTGTGCTGGAGGGATAGTTTTTCTAGGTACAAATTGTTCTCCCCAATGACGTGTGAAAAAAGCAGAAACTTCAGATCTGGTTCTTTTCGGGTCGGATAGAACAGCTGCCAAGTTTTGGGTATAGCTGGAAAAAAAAAGAAAATTTAGTCTTTTTTGAAGCCTTTAAAAGACAAAAAATTTGCTTTAATTTAGGTAAAAGTTTAAAAAAGTTTAAAACATGTGGAGGACGAAATTAAAAAAATATTAAACAAAAAAATTTTGAGGGTAGGTAAGGTTGAAAAAAAAAGCTTGAAGATTAAATAAATTGGAAAATAAAAAAAAATTTTTAGAAAAAAAATGTTTACAAAAAAACTTGCAGAAAAATCACTTTTAAACATATCACAATCATCAACTACCTACCACCCACATAAATTTTAATCGGAGAAATTATTTTTATTTTTACAAAATTTGCAACAGAATTTACGAAAGCACCTACATATATCTATTTTAAGATTTATATTCCTATCAATATTTTTATATAAAGTTCAGAGAAAAGATGTGTTCGTGTGTAAATAACAACACAGGTGTTGCATCAATTTAGTATTTTTATTTACCTTTGAAAAAAGACGAAAAAAATTATTTTTTAATTTTAAGATCAACCAACATATGTAAAAAAGCTACTCTAGACATATTTAATTTTTTTTGTTTCTCCAAAATTTTCTCAAAAATTAATTTTTAATAAAAAAAATTTTACATTTTTAATTCTCAAAAATTAAAGCAAGAGACCTTTAAAAAATAAAAAAAATAATTAAGAGCCTTTCTTAAAATAACACAAAAAATCAAAAATCTAACTTAAACCCAAAAAAATTATTTTTAATAAAGTTGAAAAAATTTTCTCAAAAATTAAATAAGAGCCCTCATAAAAAATTCAAAAATCTAATAAAATGGAGGATTTTAAACCAACAACTAGCTACAATATTCAATCACCTAATAATTATTCCTCTCATCAACAACGTCGCTTACAATGGATTTCTTTCAATTTAAAAAATAAAAATTTAAATAATCAAAATTCAAGTTTTTACAACAACAATTCTCAATCAAGTTATTTTAATAATTCCCAACAAACTCTAGAAAGTTTTGATAAAGTGGAGTTAATTAAAGAAAACTTAAAAAATGAAGAAAAAAGAATAAATTTTATAAACAACAAAAATAATAAAATGTTGGTTAGTGACAATAATTAAAATTAAGAATGTAAAAACGCAAACTTAAAAATCATGCCAAAAATAAACTTGGAAAAAATAAAGTAACAAACTTAAAAATTAAATAAACTTGAAATCGGAAAAATTAAACTTGAAATTTGCAAACATCGCAAACTTAAAAATCAAATAAAAATTAAATAAACTTGAAAACAATAAAAATTGTAAACTTGAAAATCAGATAAAATAAACTTGAAAATAAACGGAAATTGTAAACTTAAGAATCAAAAACAAACCCAGAAAATAAACTTGGAAATAAACCTATTTCATAAAAATTATTAAAAATAGCTTTATAAACAACATCAAACTTAAGTAAATTTAAAAATAACTAATTACCAAACAATTAACAAAAAATTAAAAAAATTTTATTTTTAACCTTATTTTTTAGGTAACAAAAAAATTGTCAAGAGGAGTTTTATTATCCAAATTATTTTGGCGTCGATTTTGTCCAAATTGTCGAAAAAAGAGAAAAAATGGAGCTAATTTAAATGAAGAAAGTGAAAGAAAAAATTCAAGTAATTCAAGATTAGAGAAGTGTTGGTCGAGAAAATTAAGGTAAAAAATCAGAAAAAATTTTAAAGAATGAGTGGGTGTGAGTGGAAAAAAAATTAAAATTGTTAAAAATAAAATTCCTTCTCAAAATTAAATTTTTAGTCAATTTTTTTAGTTGAAATTTTAAGTAATTTTAAAAATAACCAAGAAAAAAATTTTTTTCATTTTCTTAATTTTATTAAAAAAATTAAAGCATGGAAACCCAAAAAACCAAAAAAGAAGCTTTAATTTTGGGAAAACCAATAAAAGAATGGGCTTTTTGGATTATTGTTGCCTTTCTAGCAAGTCTTACAATTAAAGATATTGTTAATTTGGTTAGTTTAATAAATTTAAAAATTAATCTTAAAAATAATTTTAAAGGTAACTGAATATTGTAAACATCCAAAAAAATCAGATATGAGTGGTAAGTTGAAGAGAAAAAATTTTAAATAAAAAATTTAGAAAAATACATGAAAAAATTTTTTGGAGTTTAAAATTTTTGAAAAAAAATTTTAAAGAATTTTTTAAAAAATTTAAAGAAATTTAATAAAAATTCTGAAGATTTTTTTCAAAATTTCTTTTCAAAATTTCTTTTCAAAAAATTTTTCCCCTTAATTTTTTAGTTCGTTTTAATGAAACAATGAAAATGCCTAATATAACATTTTGTATGAGTAGAGAACAAGCATGGAGTCATTTTAAGTAAAAAAATGAATTTCTAAAAATTTCCAAAAAATTCTTAGGTTAAACAGTACAGAAAATAAACAATTATGGGACAAAACAATAGCTACACAATTAGCTAATATGACCAAAAAAGAAGATTTTCTTTCAAAACAATGGGATTATAGAATAGTTATGGAGACATATAATTTGGTAATTTAAGTTAGAAAATTAAAACTTACAAAAATTAAATAAATGAAAATCGCAAGCTTAAAAATCAAGCAAAAGACAAACTTGGAATACAAGATATTGAAACACTTGAAACAAAGTAAAAAAAGGCTTAAAAATAAAAAAATTGCACACTTAAAAATAAAATAAACTTGATAAACAAAAAAATAAAAATAAACTAAAATTTTGTAAAAATCAGAATAAATTAAAATCCGAATTTTTCTTAATCTAATCCTTTAAAAAAATAAAGATATCAACACTAACAAGTATGGAAAGAGAAACAACAGCACATGGAACTGTCGCATCTATTGAAAAATATAATACACAATCAAGGCTTGAAGAGATTAGAAAATTGTCAAAGGTAAATTAACAAAATTCAAAAAAAATATTTTTTCAAGTTTTGGCTGGGGGAAATACAAAAGAGACAAGTTAGTTTTGAAGAGTTTGTTCAAAAGGTTGGAAAGGAGACATTGGTAAATTAATTTTAAAAAATTTTTTAAAATTAAATTTTAAGCGTCGTTCACTTCAACGCTTTCAAAGAACAACATATGATGAAGAGGAAGTAATAAGTACACAATTAAAAATTACTTGGTTATCACAAATTCAACTTTGGTATGTAAAACAATTAAAAATCGCAAACTTAAAAATCAAACAAAAGAAAAAACATCAATCAAAACATTTAAGAACATAGAAACTTAATCAAAATATTAGGAAAAAACATGAATCAAAACATTAAAGACAAAACAAACAAACAAAAAGCAGTTAAATGCATTAACTAAAACAAACATTAACCTAAACATTTACAAACAGTTAAACAAAAAACATTTAGCCTCAACAAAACATGTAAAACATCTACAAACTAAAAACAACTAAACACGTTAGTTAAAAATAACCAAGACAATGCTTAAAACAATGAAAATGTTTAAAACATGCTTAAAACATTAAAGACAAAAACATTCAGACATTATAACAAAACATCAACCCAAACAAACATATAAAATAATAAAACATTCAAAACATAGAGAATAGAGATTAAAACATCTATAAAAAACATCAAGCCAAACAAACAGATAAAACAATAAAAACATTCAAAACATAGAAAACAGAAACATTCAAAACATCTATAAAAAACATCAACCTAAACAAACATATAAAACAATAAAAACATCAAAACAAAACATCAACCCAAACAAACATATAAAACAATAAAACATTCAAAACAGTTTCAAAACAAAAACATTCAAACATTAAATAAAACATCCAACTAAATAAACATAAAATAAACATTAAAAACATTTTATGTTTTTCAGTTTTCAACCAACTTTTGATGAAGCTAATTACAAAACTATTGATGATCAAGTAAACAATTTAAATTTACAAAACATCAACAAAACAATGTTTTTAGGGTCAATTTTTTGTAATGTCTCTATCACACAATTCAGAAAATTTGGATGGTGAACAAATTGATTGTATGACTGGTTAATTAATTTAAATTAAGTTAAAAGAAAATAAAATTTACTTAAAGCTGATTTTCATGGACGTCCAAGTTCAACTAGTCGATTTATGGGAAGTAAAGGAATTACAAAGGATGGGTTTACCGATGAAGTAAATTAAAAAAAAATTAATTAAAAATTAATTTAAAAAATAATTTCTTTAAATTAAAAAAAATTAACTAAAAAAATATGAAAAAATTTTTAGAAAAAATTTAAAATAATTTTAAAATTATACACATATTGGCACTAAAAATCGAAAAAAAAATTTTTTTTAATTAAAAAAAAATTTTCTGATTCAAAAAAAATTTAAAAGTTATGTCTTGGTATGATGCACGAAACAACTGTTGATGTTAAAGCAAGATATAAAATGTTACCTAATAAAGAGGAAGGGACAGCTTGTGCTGATTTAGAAGATGATAACGTAGATTTTAAAAAATTTAAATAAAAAATTTTAATTAAAGGCAGACACAGAATGGGATTGTCATTTACGTTGTCGTCTTGAATTTATTCGTAATTTGTGCCAATGTACAGCTCCAACTCTAAGTTACTTAATTGGACCGGATAAGGAAGAAAAAGAATTAAAAGAATGGCCAATATGTGATTATGAGAAATGTAAAGTGGAGTAAGTTTTGGGGAGAAGAAAAATGATTTTTTTTTTGGAAATTTAAGAAAAAAATTTCAGAAAATAGGCCAAATTAAAAAAAATGTCAAAAAATTTTTTCAAAAATTCCCAAATAAAATAAATTTTAAAAAAAGTGTACAAGGACGTAACTATAGCGATGAGGACTGTACAAAAAAGTGTTTTAGAAGTTGTGACCAAATTCGTTACAATATTGATCATGAAAGGAAAGGGAAGAGTATGAGACCTGGTAAATTTTCCAAAAAAATTTTGAAAATTTCATAAAAAATTTTTCCAAAAGATTTAACAACTGTAGTATTAAAATGGGATTCTTTTGAATATTTAACAATGGAACAAGATTGGGTATGGTCTGTTACTACTTTTATTGCAGCGCTAGGTGGAAGTATTGGAATGTGGTTGGGATTGTCTATTTTGAGTTTAATACAAGTAAAAATTTAAAAAAACTTTTCTGAGGAAAAATTTAAAAAAAACAGAAAAAAAATCATAGTCACTATAGAATTAAGAAATTTTTTAGAGGATACATGGACCAAAGATCCAGACGTCCTGAATTCCAAGAATACCCGAAAATAAGGAATTCCCAATATTTTTTAGAGGGTGAATTCACAAATCAAGAATTTATTTCTTGATATGAACATGGGACGAGCCGACCTGATTCACGATTCACGAAAATCGGGAATTTGGGTTTCTGTCGGCATGATCCTTGATATGAACCGTCCAAAAATAATTTTAAAAAATCCTGGGTGAATTACTTGGAATAGATATTATATTTTTCAAAAGGCAAGCTTTTTGGAGGCAGTTTTCAAAAGGCAGAGTTCAAAAGGCAGTGAAAAAGGCTTGGACTGTTCGATTTTAAAAATCCAATTTTTAAAAAATAAAAGAAAGTTTCCCCTGTATTCAAACAAAAAATTTAAAAAAAATTTCAAATTTAAAAGGGAAGTACCTATTTACTTACTTATATTGAACAACGTGTTGCTAAAAGAAAAATAAATAAAATGGAAGAAAATGAACAAGAAACACCCCCATCAAAACAACCAAAAAATCAACTAGAGGATAACAACAATAAAAGAAAATATTCAAAAACTTCAACAACTACAAGCTTGGAAGAAAATAAATTGGCAGCAAATCCGTTTGCTAGTCCCTTTAATAAAAAGGTTAGTAAAAAATAAATTCTAATTGTAAGGTCGGGGAAAATTGTTAGTCCTTTTAATAAAAAGGTTCTTAAAAATTAATTCGGTACTATGCGTTTATATGCCCACACGTCCGCAAATGTTTGTCCGCACTTTTTTTCCTTTTCCTTCTCCTTCTCCTTTCACAGGGATAAGAAATGGTCAAGTATTAATAAACCCCAATTTTCTTTGTCTTCTCCTTCTTTTCTCCTCTCATTTTGATTAAAATGGTCAAGTAAAAATAAAACAATGTTTAAAAATTATTTCGGAGGTTATTGCAACGAAAATTCAGTTGGTCATAATTTTGTTCAATCATCGAACAAATCTAACTAATACTATGGTTTTACTCCCCTATGGTTTTTGACCATTTCGAGTCATATCTCGGTTCCAACTTCAGCCACCACTAACTCGACTAATCTTTCAGAACTCTTTCGAATGATGCCATACTTGTTCTGTTTCGACCACGGAGAAAAAAGTAAAGGGTGCCAAATTAAGTAAAGGGTGCCAAATTCTTGACCTCTAATCTGGACAAGTTAGTCAAAATGAGAGGAGAAAAGGAGAAGACAAGAAAAATTGTGGTTTATTAAAACTTGACCATTTCTAATCCCTGAGAGAGGAGAAGGAAGGAGAAGGAAAAGGAAAAAAAGTGCGGACGAACATTTGCGGACGTGTGGGCATATAAACGCATAGTACCATTAATTCTAATTGTAAGGTCGGGGAAAATTGTTAAAATGGGTGGGTGATCAAGCTTATACCTGGTTAATGCCCAATACACATAAGGAACTAAAATAATTTTCAGAAAAATTAAAAAATAAAAAAAAAAGAAAATTTATAAAAAAGAAAAATAAGAAAATAAAAATATAAAGAAAAATGGGAAAATAATTTTTAAAAATTTTTTCAGACAAATCAAAAATAAACATATCACAGTGACTGGACGGTGAACAGAAAAAAAAATTAATTAAAAAAAATTTAAATATGAGCTGATCAAAATTAAAAAATTGTGATTATATTTTTTATAATATAAAATGATATTTTTTACTTAAAAAACTAGAGTATATTTAAAAAAAATAAAATTGTAAAAAAAAGAGTTTTAGCAATTTAAGAGGAAGGGGGTGGGGGGTCGTGGGTTCGAGTCCGGTTGACGCCCGATATTTTTTAATTAGTGTAAAATGAATTCTTTTCAAATCAGAAACAAATAAATTAAATAAAAATAAATTTTGAACAATTTTTAAAACAAAAAAATAAATTAAAAAAAATATCGGGCGCCAACCGGACTCGAACCCACGACCACTCTAGCAATGGTATGTAATCTTGTTTTTCGTAAAATAATTCTTAAAAAACTCTAGCTTTGTTAGATTTATTGTTTTTAGTAAAATAATTCTTAAAAAAATTCAAAAAAAATTTTAAAAAATAAAAATTAATAAACCAACCTGTTAATTGTAAAATTTGAACAAGTAGATGAAGACATTGTTGTCGGCGTAAGTGAAGTTGGGCTTTGAAGTGACATTTGATCCTTGAATTAATTTAAGCTCTGTTGTCTTTTTAATAATTATTCTAATTTGTCGTCAGGCAAGAATTTAATTTCCTTTTCTTTAATTACAAAAATAAAACCTAAAAAAATTAAAAAAAATTCATTTAAAAAAAAATTTTTCAGTGTTGAAAACACCATAGATCAAAAAATAGAAAAATTCCTGAGCATTTTTATATTCAAAATAAAACGAAAAAACAACAAAAAAATAAATTTATAAGATCAACAAGACATTTGCGGACCAAGTAGCCTTCGAAAAAAAATTTTTTTTCGATTTTTTGGGGACCAAAAGGGACATTAGTTCGTGGACATGAACAAGAAATTTGGAATTTTTATTCATTAATAGACCAAAAAAAAATACAAAAAATTCTATATTTATTCGCAGATTGTCCGCAAATGTCTATACTTGCTCAAATAAATTTCAAAATAAAAGAAATTAAATAAATTAAAAATCAAATTAAGCAGTAAAATTTAGCAGTAAAAGCAGCCAAAACAGCAACCATTTATCAATAAATAATTAAGTATGTGAATAAGCAATATAACGGTTATGTTGTTTTGGAGAAGTAGTATTATTGGGAGAATTTTTGTCTATAAAATGAACAAAATAAAATTATTCTACAAAAGTTGGAAACCCAAAAAAAGGTAAAAAAATTATCGAGGTTAGTTCATGGACAAGGACAAAATGTGCGGGAGGAATTCCCCATCCCAAATCAAAAACTTCTGCCGCAGCCAAAAATAAAAGGCGCCAACGCTTTTTAAAAAATAACTTAAGACCCCCATACGAAGACCATCATAAATTAAAAAGTAATTAAATAAGGATTGAGGCTCGTAACCAGGATTTTTTCGGAGGGGAGGGGGGAGGGGCCAAGGAAGGAAAATTTTTCTGCTCCGAATTTTGGGCGCCGGAAATCCTGTCTGAGTGAGTTAATTATTGAGAAAAGACGATGGCGCTTTTATTTTTTCTAAAAATAAACCCGAAATTCCCCTCTAGAAATACGGAGAGAATAAAATAAAATTTTTTAAAAAACCTTTGTTTTCTTCAACATAATTAATCGCCAATTTAACACACAACTCATTTGGATCGCCAAAAGCCACTCTCGATTTCCTAAGTAAGTCACCATCTTTAGGAGATAGAAGGCGTCTAGCCGTGTCCAAAAGCCACGTAGCAAGTCCCTTCCTTCTTAAATGAGAATGAACCCAAATTCTGTCAACGCCGAGGATTGAACCGATTTTGATTGATTTGAAACGCTTTAAAATTAAATTTAAAAAAATTCAAAAAATAAAAAAAGAAAACCTTCCCTTCAGGCATCAAAATAACTTCGGTAACCGGATCAACAAGCAACAAACCTCCAACAAACGGCGGCTTTGAATTGCTTACAAAAACAAAACCTTTACGCTTTCCGTGAGCATCCCAGACTGGTAAATCTGGTGCATAACCAATTTCAGTGTTTACAAAATTCTAAAAAAAATTTTTAAAAAAGAAAGGAAACATAATAAGCAAAATCCAGCCCAAAGAAATCCAATAGAAAACAATAGAAAAAAGAATACCTGGCCGGGGGTTCGAACCCACGCCCCTAGCCCAACAAGTCAAACACACTAACCAACACACCACAAACTGACTATATCAGAACCCAAAAAATAACGCTCATATTAAATTCAAAAACAAACAAAGATAACTATTCCCCCAAAAAGCAACGTAAACTCACGGTAATTATTGTCTCCAATTTTCGTTTAAGCGTAGCCGTGGAAGTTGATCGCACACCAAATAGAATACCAGGAAGTGGCGACTCCACGTTTTCATATTGAAGCACGCTGTTAATTTTTTATAAAAATCACAAAAAAAAAACAAAAAAAACCTCTTCCACTGTTCAATTTGAGTCTGTGAAACTCTAAAATTTGCAGTTTCAGTAAATCGATTATGGAAGCGTTCGTGTTGTTTGACATCTGATGGAGTTTCTAAGCTGTATACCATTCCACACTGCAAAATAAATTTAAAAAAAATAAAATTTTGAAAAAAAATTTTGTGGGATCAATAGTCACCTCCCACAACTTTTGAAAGTTTTTCGTGAAATTCAAAATCTAACAACTCTCCCAGTCTAGAAAATTCAGGAAATAAAAATAAAAAGTATATTTGAAGCAAAAATCAAAAATAAGCCGAAAATTTGGAAGTTATTTTTGTGGGACCAATTGTCACCCTTCCCTAATTTTGAACCTTCTTTATACCCAATTTCATTTCTATCAGCTTTCCGGACCCCAAAAATTCAGTAATTGACAATAAATGTATTTCTAAACCAAAAAATATTTTCAGATGACAAAATATCCCAAAAAAACCCCCCCCCCACAAACCCCCCAAACCTTAACACAATGCTCCATTCCAATCCTCTTTTGCCCAACATCCAGAATTGTTTGTTTCGCATTTTCAATAGATTTAAGCATTGAGGACACCTTTCTGTTCCCTCTAGGCGTTGATTTTGCTCGACGCAATTTATTTTCGTTTAAAGCATTAGCAGAAATTGTTGAAGCACGCGGAGATGAAAAATAAAGATTAAGTGAAGATTGTTGCATTTTTTTAAATTTTTTTATCTAGTTTATCTAAAAAATTAAACATCAAAAATATTAAATAAAAACAGCCAAAAAATTATTAAAATTCATTAAGCTCGAAACCCCACAAATTAAAAAACTTTTTCTCTTTTTCTCTGACCGTCTCTCATTTTAACACACTATTTCTTCACAACTCAGCATGACATTAAAGTCCCACCCAAAAATTTTTTTATTTTTTTTTTTAAATTAACTAGAACCCCTACAAGGTCATCTAAGAACCCCTACAAAATTAAAAAAAATTTTTCCTTTTTTTCTCTAACCGTCTCTCACTATAACACACTATTTCTTCACAAAATAGGTTAGCTTTTCAAGTAGCCTAGCCCCTGGGACACGCCCGAAATGTCGCGGGCCAAAATGTCGCGGCCGAAATGTCGCGGGCCAAAATGTCGCGAGGCCGAAATGTCGCCGGCCGAATTGTCGCCAAGCTTTTCTTCATATTTTCGCCTTTTCCTTGTTCGCCTTTTCCTAGATAAATAAGAAAAAGTAAAATTAAAAAACCCTGAAAAGTTTCACGACAAAAGACCAGAATACGATCATCTCCTTTTCCACTTCTGCCAAAAGAAACTGTTCGAAAACTCCAGACATTCATGAATTCCTGGCATTCAAAATTGATAATGTCTGTATTTGGCCGGGATTATCAGAATCGATCTCTCTTCAGGATTTGAAGGAGCATTTTGTTGTTGATTTCTTTTTTTTTATTATTTTGCGCAATGCACTTTTGTTTTGTAATTATTTTACAGAATATTTAATTAAAAAGCTTGGCGACAATTCGGCCGGCGACATTTCGGCCTCGCGACATTTTGGCCCGCGACATTTCGGCCGCGACATTTCGGCCGCGACATTTTGGCCCGCGACATTTCGGGCTGTACCCCTAGCCCCTCCACCCACAAATTTTTTTTCTTAAATTTTTATTTTTCTAATTGACTTCTCTTATCTTTTTAACAATATTCACAACCTATAAATTCCTTTTTCTTCCACTTTTCTTATCACACAAAAATACCAAAGTCTCCCCAATTTCCTCCCCCCCCCTCCTATTCCCCTTCTTCAAGTTCCCCTCTTTTTAACTTCCCTCTCCCTTCCCACCAATTTTTTTATCCTTCTAACTACCCACATCACTTTTCTTACTTTGATTCTTTTATCAAATACAAACAACAAATGTTTAAAATTTTTTTAAAAGAATTTATATAAAGGCAAACATCACTAAACAACAAATTTATAAAAAATTTTTTTACTCAATTATGTCTCTCCCCTTTATTTTTAGGGGGAGGAAACTTGACTGGATGATTGAGTAAAAATTAGTCTCTTTCATTTTTCAATTTAAAATTAAATTTTTAACTCACTATCAATTAAATTTTTTAACAAAGGACATTCAAAAAAATCTCGTTTTTAAATAGAAAATACCTAAATTAAAACACACACACACAAAATCAACATTTAAAGGTTTTTCTCCTAGTCTGGGAAACGAGAGAAAAAAAATTGTAGATGGAACCCTATTTAGGAATTGTTTTCTCGGTATGATTTTAGTCTAGGATTTGATTTTGGAATTAAGTTGTTTTTGGTCCGGTTCCGGGATAAGGGGTTAAATCTTCTAGAAACATGTCCTTTTTAACCCCCAAAAAATTGAAAAAATTTCAAAAAAAAAATTTTATTTATCCCAATTTTAAATTAAAAAATGTCTAGACGTGTAGACGTGTGTGTTCCTTTTTTTATTGATTTTTTGTTTAAGCATTGAATTGATTTTATTATTTAAAAAATGAATTAATTGAGAGAGAGATTTAATCAGAAAATTCTTTTATTAAATAGTCTTCCTCCCAAATTTTTTAAATTAAATTTAAAGCCTTCCCTAAGATCTACCTCCAAACTTTAATAGCTCCATAAGGTTCCCTTACCTATTAAAATCCTGAATTAAAACTACCAAAACCCAATAACACAAGAAAAAACAAAAAACAAGCCCACAAAATTTAAAATATTCCCTGTACTCTAGTGTCCTTAAATGACATTTTATCCCATTTATTAATTTAAAGAAAATAGTGTGTGAAAATATGAGAGTTTTAGAGAAAGATTTTTAAAATTATTTTTCCCAAAGATTTTGCCCAAGAAAATTTTGAAATCTAATCTAAAAACCGAACAATGCAAGAAAAAAAACAGAAAAAATGATAAGACTAGTTTAAGACTAGTCCACAAAATCAAATTATTCCCTATACTCTAGTGTCCCCTTTTTTATTTTAATTAAAAATGACACTTTATCCCAATTATTATTTAAAGGGAAATAGTGTGTAAAAATAGGAGAGTGACAGAGAAAATTTTTTTAAGATTAATTTTGCCCAAGAAAATTTTGAAATAAAACGTCAGGAAAACTTTCCTTAAATTCCCCTTATTCTTTAATTTATTTAAAAATGTGAGGATTTAAATTAAATTAAATTTTATTTAGAAGAAAAGTTGAAATATGGAGCCTTTAGATATATTTACTATTTGGTTAACCTTTTTCTCCATTTGCTTTACTTTCTTGCCGTTGTAAGTTTTTTTTTAATAATTTATTTTTCTTTAAATTTTCTAAAAAAGTTTCAAGTGAAAAATTTCAAAACAATTTCTAAAATTAAAAAAAAAATTTTTTTTAATTAAAAATGACATTTTATCCCAATTTTTTAAAAATTTTTAGAAATTTTGCAAAAAATTTTTTTCAGAAATTTTTAATAATTTCCAAATTTTTTAAAGAATTTTCAAAGCCATTTTACCCCAAGAACTTTTTATTAAAAAAAAATTTTTTTTGTAATTTTTTCCAAATTTTTCAAAAAATTTTCAAAAATTTTTCAAAAATTTTTTTAAACACCCTTCTCCCCAAGAACTTTTAAGTAAAAAAATTTTCTTAATTTTCCAGATTTGTTGTAATGGATTGGCATAAACGAGGAACAGCAGAAGGCTTTTCTTCCCTCAGTTATGTCCTTCCCCTTTTAATGATGTGTTGCTGGTTTAAACACGGAATTATTACTCAGGACAAAACTAATATGTTTTTGAATGGAGTCAATTTGTTCTTCTTTTCTTTTTATATTGCTGCTTTTTGGTTTTATCAGCCTAAAAGGGTTTCTTTTTAATTTTTTTTAATTTTTAAAAAATAAAAGACCTCGGTTAGGGAATATTTTTTATTAAAAAAATTAATTTTTTAAAAGAAAAAAAATTTTTAAAAATTAATTTTTGGGAGACAAAAAAAGATAGAATTTATTTTAGAGGAAAAATTTTCTGTTAATTTAACAAAATAGGCACACTAACCAACTTAGCCACACGTACCAGTACCTCACTGAAAGCGAGAAAAAAACCTCACCTTTGCCTATTTTAAATTGCCGTGGATTAAGCACTATTTTTTATTTTTAAAATTAATTTTAAAGGTACTGTTAAAATATTTTTTCTCTTAAAAAATTTTTTTAATTAAAAAAAATTTTAATTTTAAGAAATATTTGTATGGTCAATTGTCAGCAGTTGGTTTAATGGTTGCTGCTATATTTCAATATGTAAATAAAACACCTGAAGATAAACAGGCTGATTTAATGGGTTTTTTTTTTATTTTTTTTTATTTTTAAAATTTATTTTTCCGATATTAATCTGGATTTAAAAAATTTTTCCAAAAAATTTTTTACGAAATATAGGTTTTTCTTTGAAAATTTCAAAAAATCACGGAAATTTTTGAAAAATTTTTCCAAAATTTTTTTACGAAATTTCGGGATTTTTTTTCGAAAAAAATTTTTTTTTCGAAGTTTCGGATTTTTTGAAAATTTTCAAAAAAACACGGAAATTTTTCAAAAAATTTTTTCAAGTCATTTTATCCCCAAAAAATTTTTAAAAATTTATTTTAGGTGCAATCGCTGCCTTTACACAAATAGCATCAATGGCTGGAGGAGTATATGACTTGGTTTATATTTTAAAATAATTTTTTTTAATCTTTAAAATTTCCCAGAGAAGGGCAATTCAATTAAAAACAACCGAATATATCCCTGCTCAAATTCAATTTGGATTTTTTGCGTTAACTTTACAATGGACTATTTTTGGGTTTATTGTTGGAAATCCTTATATGATGGTTAGTTAGTTTTCTTAAAAATTTTTTGAAGAATTAATTTCCAATTTTTTGGCCTTTTCAAGTCCATTTTATCCCAAAAACTCTAAAAAAATTCCCAAAAAAAATTTGACCTGGAAAATTAATTTTTTACAGACCATTTTTTTAAAATCATAAAATACATACCTTTAGAGTTCCAAAAAATTTGATTTTTTTATTTGAATTTATTTTTTTAAATTTTTTGGACGATTTTCATGGTTTCTAGATTATTTTTGATTTTTCTTCAAAGAAATTACCAAAAAAATTTTTCCTTCCCTCCTTACAAAATTTTCCCTTTAAGATAGCCAATGCAGCAGGGTTAGCGTTAAATATCGCAACATTATCACTTTATATTATTTACCCACCCAAAACTTGGAAAGTTCCCATTTTTGGTGTTGGAGGAGGAAAAGAATTGAGTGATGGAGAGAAAAAGGAAAAATAAATTATATTTTTAAAAGTAAATTTTAGGGGTTTTAAGTATTTAATTTTTGAAAAAAATATTATTTTAATGCTTTATTTGTAATTTAATTTTTGATTTTGTTTTTTAATTAAATCATTGTAGAATATTATGTACATTAGGGAACGTCCCGATTCCCGAAAATGGAAAAAAAAATTGGGAATCCCCGCCGTTTTTTTTTGTTAAGGATAGGGAGCCTATTTTCAATCTCGGCACGGTCTCTGATGCACATGTATTTTTTAATTGAGTGGTTCTACTAGAAAAAAAGGGTCTAATTAATAATCCTCCACCTAGTTCGCTAGAAAAAAAGGGTCTAAACTTCCCCAGAAAATTGGTAAAAAATAAAATTTTCTTCTTAAATTTTTATTGTTTCAAAAAATAGGGTTGTCAGTTCTTGGAGAATCTTTGGATTATCCTGAATTGAATCAACAAAAAAATTTTTAGAGAAGGAACTTCAAAAATTATTCCTAGAACCACTCGTTATTCTCTCCTAAATATGTATAGTTTAATTATTTAAATATTAAATTTTTAACTGTGATTCCTAAAACATTTTTAAAAATCAAGTAGTCTAAAAAATTAACAAAGATTATTAAATAAGTCCATGGCAGGTCCATAGCTATCCTCATTATTTTCCATTATATATACATTAGGCTCGTTTACTGGCAACTTGGAATTTTTGAGGATTTTTTAAAATTAACTGACCGGATGAACCCAAGCAATTTATCCCCCAAAAAATAAAAATACCTCAAACGCCTCCAACTGTGACGCAAGCAGGCTCGGAGGCGCAAAATGTTTCGGATCTTCTTTTAACCTTTTAGCTAACCGGCTACGCAAATTGTCTTCGCTAACTTTCAGCAAAATTATTTTGACCTTGTGTTGTGTTGCCTCGTCGTTGCTACCCAAAAGTATGTCCCTAAAAAGACGAAAAAATTTCTTCCTAAATTTAAAAATTAACCGATAAGGTTTTTTAAGAGCCGAACAGGCAATAACCATCTTCCTTTCTTTATTGTTTTGCCAAAGCGCGGCTAAAGATAGCAACCAGGGACGTCTATCCTCATCTAAAAAATTTTTTCTTAAAAGTTGTTTTACAATTTAAACCTGTCAACGGAATCCCCGAAGCCATTTTTTGCTTCATTTCATCAGAATGGAAATCATCCCCTTCCACAAACTCGTATCCATAAATATCTGCGAGTTGCCTAGCAAATGTAGTTTTTCCACTCCCCATTGGCCCTCCAATAAAGATGACATTAGGTTTATTGTCACTTGGCATTGTGTGGAAATTTAATTTTCTAAACTTAAATTATCTAAGGAATTTTGTGAAGATATTCTAGTTTCCTAATTTATAATTGATAAATTAAAAAAATTTTTTTATTGTGTTAAAATAATTTTATATCTGGAATTATTAAGGGTCAGCAAGTAATATCCTCAGGACAAACTTGCTTACTATAGTAGAAACGTCCAAGACTCTTGGTCTTCGAAAGGTCTTGGTCTTTGACATCTATATCGTTTACCCTCATGGAGAATTAATTCTAAATTAATTTTTTTTGTTTCACTGGGATTTCAGAGATAATTTTTGTAAAAAAATTTTTTCTTGCAGATAAAACTTGCGGACCCCTGGTAACATAAAGGAAAATAATCAACAATTGAAAATAAAAAAGTTTAAAATAAAAACCTTCAAAAAATATTTTAATTTAACATCTTCAATCATCCTCATCAGAATCCTCAGTATTAGTAAAATCAAACGGTTTAAACCCATTTTTTAATTTGTTTACAAGCTCAACTTCTTTGTCTTTTTCCAGCGAACAGTTACGCCAATCGATGTGATCCTCACAGTCTAGTAAGGCTTTTGAAGCTAGAACCTAAATAAAGAGATAGGTTATTTTTAAAAGCCTGGGCCAGATCCTGGGCCTGTAGACCAGGAAAAAACCAGGAAGTTCAAAAAAATGCCTGGGCCTGGATTTTTGGTACAGGAAAAACCACGACCTTGGTCCAGTCCCAGGCCTATCTCTAGAACCTTTTTAAGACGAAAAAAATTAAGAAAAAAAATAATTGAAAAAAAACCTCTCGACCAAATTGTAACGGAAAACGAGACATTGTTCTACTCAACATTTTCGTCCCGTCGGGAAGTTCAACGTAAAAATATGGAGATCCTTCATTTAATAAATCCCAAACCTTTAAAAAATAAGAAAAAATTATTTAAAAATTAAAAACTTGTTCATTTTCTCCCAAAATACAAAATTCAATATTTTTTAATTGAGCAGCATTCAAAAATGTACTTTTTAATGATTTTGCTTTTGATTTTGGAATTGGTACAAATTGTATTTGCATATGCTTAAAATGTTTGAATTAAATTATGATTTAATTTAAAAATGTTTAAATAAAATTCTGGTCTTATTTAAAAATGTTGGGGATAAATTCTGATTTAATCTCTTCTAGCATTAAACAAACACCAGTAAATTTTCCGTAATGTTCAGATAAAATTCTGGTCTTATTTAAAAATGTTTAAATAAAATTCTGGTTTAAATTAAAAATGTTGGGGTTAAATTCTGATTTAATCTCTTTTAGCAATAAACAAACATCAGTATAGTTTCCGTAAAGTTCAGATAAAATTCTGATCTTATTTAAAAATGTTTAAATTGAATTCTGATTTTATTTCTCACAATGTTTTGATAAAATTCTGATTAATTTTAAACATGTTTAAATAAAATTCTGATTTATTTTCAATAAAGTTCAGATAAAATTCTGATTAATTTTAAACATGTTTAAATTAAATTCTGATTTTATTTCTTCACAATGTCAGAATTTAATTTGAACATTGTGGGAAATAAATCAGAATTTTATAAAAACATTTTAAAATTATACCAGAATTTTACCGTTTAAATAAAATTCTGATTTATATTATATAATGTTCAGATAAAATTCTGATTTATTATTAAAGCTTCAACTTGTCCATATTTTGATTAAATTAAATTTAAACTCACTTCAGTTTTGTAATTTCTTTCAAAAACACAAACAACTTCATTGTTTCTATCAGAGAATAAACTAGAAAAAAATATATATAAAATACAAAAATAAATATATACCAATAAGCATCTTTAAATTTATTAACTTCATCACGAACTTCGGCTGGTGCAACAACCAATGATTGAATATGTCCTGAAAAATAATAAAAATCAAAATTTTATTTGAACTTTGCTTTAAAATAATTCAAAATTTTTGTCAAACTTTTCTTTAAAAAATCAGAATTTTATCGGAAACTATGAGAAATTAAATCAGAATTTATAAACATTGTAAAATCCCAACAATACATAAAATCAGAATTCTATGAAACATTTTTAAATTAAACCAGAATTTTTCGAAAAATTCAGAATTATACTTAAACATCTCAATAAAAATCAGAATTTTATTTGAACATTTCAATAAAAAATCAGAATTTTATTCAAACTTTTCGAGAAAACAAATCAGAATTTTATTTAAACTTCTCAATAAAAAAATCAGAATTTTATTTAAACTTCTCAATAAAAAAATCAGAATTTTATTTAAACTTCTCAATAAAAAATCAGAATTTTATTCAAACTTTTTCCGAAAAAAAAATCAGAATTTTATTTAAACATACTATAAACATTCCCCAACACTTTTATAATTTTAATTAATTAAAACATTACCTATACTCATAACAAGCAAATGTCTCTCCATTAACGGCCCTTTAATTAAAAAAAATTTTTTCAAATTAAATTTTCTTAAATTCTAATAAAAACCTTTAGGCATAGCAGTATAACAACTAGTACCAACAGAAACAATTAAATGTTTTTCAGCATCAATATTCGAAAGGCAAAACCAGCACGTTGAAGGGTCAATTTTAGGCCTTTTTTCGTTATAATTTTCTCCTCCCCTTCTTTTACCTTTTCTTCTTCCTTGAAATTCTTCTTGATGCTCTTCTTCTTCATAATTATTATTATCAAATCTGTATTGAACCGAATTTCCTTCTTCCCTTCGACGCTTTTCGTCTTCGATTGCTTTGTTGTGTAAATATTCCTGAAGAAAATAAATCTTAATGAAAAATCAGAATTTAAAAAAAATCAGAATATTTTTTAAAAATCAGAATTTCTAAGAAAATCAGAATTTTTATTAAAAATCAGAATTTTAAAAAATCAGAATTTTTAAAAAAAATCAGAATTTTTTTGAAAAATCAGAATTCAGAAAAAATCAGAATTTTTTTACTAAATCAGGATTTTTTAAAAAACCAGAATTTTTATTAAAAATCAGAATTTTAATTAAAATTCAGAATTTTCTTTAAAAAATCAAAATTTTCTTATAAAATCAGAATTCAGAAAAAATCAGAATTTTTCAAATTTTCTGAAAAAATACAAACCTTAAGTATATCCATATACGGGAATTCTGTCGAATTATCCGGCTGTGCTACCAATTCATCTCTTGACAATTCTCTCATTGGAGTACATGAAAATGCATATAACCATTTTTGTTTATTCGTGTTATTGACTGAAGCCAGTCCAATAAATCGAGTAACGTGTTGGGCAGGTTCCAATAAAACTCGGTGATTCCTTTGAAAAAATTTTTTTAACTAAAAAAATTTTTCTGAAAATTTTTGAAAATTTAAAAAAAAATTTTTTTGAAATTTTTTGAAAAATTATTGAAAATTTTTGAAAAATTTTTTCAAAAATTCCAAAAATTTTTGAAAAAATTTTTGGAATTTTTAAAAATTTTTGAAAATTTAAAAAAAAATTTTTTTGAAATTTTTTGAAAAATTATTGAAAATTTTTGAAAAATTTTTTCAAAAATTCCAAAAATTTTTGAAAAAATTTTTGGAATTTTTAAAAATTTTTGAAAATTTTTTTCAAATAAAAATTTTTAAAAACCTATAAGGTGAACGTTCATAATGAATTCCTTGGCCAGCAAAATGATAACGAGGTCTCAATCCAGAAGCTAATCTAGCTAAAAGTTTGGAAGTATTTGATGGTTCAATAGAAGGTTGATTTGTTGAGTGTAACCAAACATTGGCAGGCCAAATTGATGTTAGTAGGATATCAACTCCAATGAAACCTGAACTTGCAGCAAGTGGAGTCAAAAGGTCGTCAATTGAACGTGTATCGAATTGAAAGGGTAAAGTCTTTAAAAATGGGGAAAATTGAGTTTAATAGAACCAAAACACAGGATTAGATACTCCCCTATTTAAAATTCGTTTTTTTAATTTGGTTAGATGAAAAAGCTGTCTAATAGAGATATCTAATAGCGAAAATTTTCCAAGACTTTAGACCAAAAACCTTAAGAAATGACGTGAATCGAGACTCAAAACCATGAGTCCTGAACGCTCTACGACCTTATAAACAATATTATTTTCAGATACCCCTTCATAAAATAAGATTTTTCAGCCTCAAATGAAGCCCAAAGTAAATGAGTAAAATAGGAGAGGAAAAAATTTCCAAGACTTAGACCAAAAAACTCAAGGATTGAAGTGAGTCAAGACTCAAAACCCAAGAGGCTTGAACGCTCCCAACAAACAATAATATTTTTCCATCATAAAATGAGATTTTTCAGCCCCAAGCAGAGCCCAAAGTAAATGAATAAAATAGGAGAGGTTTTCCATTTCAACATAAAAAAATCTAAAAAAGAAACAAACCTGTGTAGACATAGCCGGCGCTTCAATCCCCGAAAAATATCCAATTAATAATCCATTCGCCGTCATCAACGTGCCCTTCTTCCCAAGATAAGTAAGAGATTGTGAAAACTCAACACTTTCCGCTGGATAATATGTTGAAGTTGAAGGACAGCATGGGCCAAGGATATAAGTTGGAACGGGGAAATCAATTTCTCCATTAATTACTTTTTCGTTCTCGTCATTGTCTGGACCAAAAAATTCACCGACACAAAAAAGAATATCGAATGGGCCAGCCTGAATAAAAAAATTTTTGAGGAAAATTTTTCTAACAACTTATAAATTCCAATGTTATTAATAATTTATCTTCTATTCAGCGGCTTTTAAGGAAAAATTCTAAAAATATTTTTTTTTCTGGGAAGACTAAAAAATTTTTCGAAGGGTTTGTAGCGGCTGGTATTACAACGCTGCACCTACTTTTTTCTTAAAAGTCCCCCAATATTCTAAAACAAAAAAAACCTTTTGATTAACCAAAGCAATACGTGCTATCAATTGTTTAAAATTTCCATTGACATCACCAGAACATAAAACTTTGACTTGTCGTTTTTTATCGTTTCCAAGATTAGTATTTGAACGCATCCTTAAAAATCTATTAATTAGAAAACTTTAAAATAATCGTCTAAAATATTAAAAAATATTAGATCGAGCAAAAATAAATAATTCAATATCTTCAGAATGAAAAATATTTTTATTTATTTATAAGAGCATTTATAAACAAAAAATAAAAATAAAAAAATAAAATTAATAAAAAACATTAAAAAAATTTTTTTTTATTCATCATGTGCATTTCTCGTAGAACCAGGGCAAGCATTTTCAATATCTTCAGAATCTGAATAGGCACAGCCACACCAAACACAATAAAAGTGTTCTCTCCTCAGATAGCCAATTATGTGAGATAGGCTGATTTAAAAAAAAGTCTAGGTCAACTTAAAAAATTTTGGTACTAGTGATACTCGGGAGAAGAAAAAACGCGGGAAACGGCAAACGGGAGTCGGGAAATATCCGCGAGAGTTGGTAGGCCAAAAACACGGGAAATTTATCCGAGTCCGGATGCTCTAGTATGAATCGAACTACTAGTGCGTCTGCGTTTAATTTTACCAAATTTACATCCCAACGACTCACGGTTTCCTAGCTTGATCTCTTTGAGACTTTGTCCTATTTAAAAACTCCAAATAATTTTCTCACCTAAAAAATTCGGAAAATTCCATCAAAATTCCTCTCCAAAAACTAATCTTTCAAAATAAAATAACCTATTGTCCAATTCTTCCTCATCCATTTCATTAAAATTTATTTCAACAGGTGCCACTCTACCATTGCTGTAGTTATAAGAAAAATTATTTTCATTGTCATCATCTTCATTGTCACTTGTTTCAGGGAGTTTGGATGAATAAATTGGCCAAAACCAAAAATGTTCAGGAACGTCTTTTCCGGCACTAAAAAATTGAAAAAATTAAAAAAGTCAAGAAACAACCTTAAATCCATTTGTTGACACGCACTTCTAGCCTGTTGAATGTCACTAATTATTTGTTTCTGTAGTGCATGCATTCTTTTTTTATTGCGAAAATCGACAGCTAAAGATTCCTAAGAAATAAATTGTTTGTAAATTGAAAGGCAAATTTTATTATTAATTTAAATATAGTCGAATTCAGGTGGATAGTGAAATGCAAAGGATCTCTAGGTTCTAGAGATCAGATGGGTCTGCACCAAGGCCTAGGTTTTCCCTGTACCCAGAGTCCGGGCCTAGGCATTTTATGACCTTCCTGGGTTACAGGCCCAGAATCCGGCCCAAGTCAATAAATTAAACCTAAGCCCTTTTCATCCTTTCCATATGAGCTTCACAAACAAACCCCCAAAATTACACAAACCCCAGGAATAAACCAGGATTTTCAAAAATCTCGATATGTACAAGGTTCGATTTAGATTTCACTTCAAAATAGGGTTGGATATTCCCCAAAGGGAAACAAGTGAGTGTCATACAAACCCCCTCTCATTTCAAACGGACAAGATTTAAGGATGATTTAAGGACTTAAAGGACTTAACCTCGCCCCGATTTTACTTAAAATTCAACCCAAATATTCTCCACAAAAATCACACAAACCTCCATTCTCGCCCTTTTCATCATCCTTTCCATATGAGCTTCACAGACTTGGCGTTGTTTTTCATTTTGTTCTTCCTCGTGTCCCACACCACTTCGATTTGCTTTGACTTGAATTGATATGGGTTCTTTTATTCCTTCATTTTGACTTCCTTTAAAAAATAATTTTCTGACAATTTTATTTTAAAAATAAATTTTTAACCTTCTCGTTTAATTCCAAGGCTCATTCCAGGCTTATAACCTGAAAATTGTTGAAAACATGTTTTATTGAAAATACTCAAAAATTGAAAATACAGTCAAATCTCACAGCATTTTTGAATACACTTAAAATTTAGAGACTGGACCAGAACAAGATCTCAATTTTCGTACGACCCTCCCAGTCCGGTCTCTAATATAATTTGATACACACACATATCCAAATTCAAGTTTTTTTTATTTAAATTTAGATTGGTCATTAAAAAATATGCTTGTGAAGCTGCTTAAGATCCCCACCCAAAATACCTTTTTTAACATTGGCTGGCAACTGGGTTGGTTGGCTAAACTACTGGGCTGGTCACTAAATTTGGGCAAATACCTTAAGTCCCTGTTCAAAATACATTGTTTAAAACTTTGGCTGGTAACTAAGCTGCATAAACGACACCCCCTCTTCTAAAATAGCCCCGTTATACCCCCGATTTGTTCCCACCCCAAAAAGGAATCTACAATTGAGGTTCGGCCTTATAAATTTTCAAAAAAAAACAAAAAATACCCATTAATGATAACAACTTAAATCCTTTGCTGTCACTTCCAATGGGCTTGGATATTCCCTCTTCTCTTCTATTTTTCTCCAGCTGCTCTCTATTTCTTGGTTTTTCATTTTGTTGTCTTTCCTCTGCCGCTAAGCGATTTGCATGAATTTTTAAAGAACGTTGGGCTATCCGGGAAGAATTAATACCTAAAAATTTAACAAATTATGAAAAGTATCAAATTTTCGAACCTGGTTTAACGTCATTCATTTTCTCCATAAAAGTGCTAGACATGTAATCCTCATCGTCTGACATTGTAAAAAGTCAGTCTTTTAAAATGTCTAAAAAAATTTTCGAAATAAAATTTAAAAAATAAGTCAGGATTTCTGAAAACGGAACGCGATCATTGAGTACGGCCGTTTGTGTACCGCCGTTTGTGTACGGCCAGTTGTGTACCGCCGTTTGTGTACCTGGCCGGTTGTGTACGGCCGGTTGTGTACCTACCCAAATGGGGACGTTTGTGTACCCGCATTTTTAAGAATTTTTGTCTTTATATATCCCAGAACGAAAGTATTGCAGGTAAGATAGTAAGGGAATATAGACTATATCACCCAATTCAGAATCTTATTAGACCCAAGGTTACTTTATCAGGGGATTTTAGGCCGTATCTTCACTTAAAGAACTTTTTGTGTTGCTACGAAGAATAGGTCGGCATTTCAACTCAAAAAATCGATAAAAGGAATAGGTTTATGTTACTGGTACGGAACCCAGCGACCGTTGACTCCAGCGAGACGCGTGTCGCAAAAGCCCGCGCGAAGCGCGGGTGCTTCATAACTATAACTCAACCCCAATTTTTCGAGTTTAAAAATGATTTTGCTATCTTGTAGCAAATTTCAAGCTTTCGAATAAGGTCAAATTCAAATTTCAAAGCAACTCATAACGTGTCTAAAATATTTTATAAAGAGGCTTACCCTTATTCTACGTTAATTTTGCAGGGGGTACGGCCCACTTAGTCGCAGGCCACTTTGTCGCGAAGGTTCTTTTTTTCAGGTATGTAGCTTAAAACTTAAATCAAAGGTAATATTGAGGGATTTGGATGTGATATCTGGGATTTGGTCTTCAAAACTTGGCATTTCTCACTTGGCGACTAAGTGGTCGCGACTAAGTGGCCCGCGACTAAGTGTCCGTGTCCCTTTGCCGGGTATCAAGATCTTGACACTGAATGGCGCTCCGACACGGGCACAGTGATCCATTTGCACAGTAAGACAATTGCACATTGGGCATCTGCACAGTGGACAATTGCACAGTAATTTGTGGTTAAGTGCATTTGTGTTAGGCTTTCTGATAAGTTTTTTAATAATAAAATGGTTTTTCTTAAACAAAAACAATTTTCCCTGTTCTATAAGCAATTTTTCCCGTTGTTGGAAAAGTTGTTCGCGGGAGACGAAAACTCGCAGAGATATAGGCTCCCGAAAATCGAAAAACAATAGAGTAAACCAAGCGGTTTTTTGGGGTAAAAAATTCGAAGATGCAAATTATAGCTCATTCGAAAGAGCTTTTTGAGTTGAGTCGGCTGACACCAAAATCATCTTGATTGGATGATTCTGAACGAAGTTATGACCTATAGGTGAATGAGTCTTGCGTTTATTTGGAATGTTTCGCGATTAAACAGGCGTTTTGCGAATAAATGGGTAGGTCGTTTTGCGAATAAACAAGACTTTACTGTGCAATTGTCCACTGTGTAATTGTCCTCTGTGCAAAAGTCTTACTGTGCAAATGGATCACTGTGCCCAAGTCGTGTCACCCACTGAATTGAAATAGGTAATTTGCTTTAATTAGTTAAATGTTCTCAGAAAACTTTACTTATTTTTTAAATTTTTTACTTTTCTATTTTGAAAATTTTTTTAGCCTTTTTAAAATACATACTTTTTCCAAAGCAGACGATGGAAGAATACAGAGAAGTTTCAAGTAGAAGAAGAAAAAAAGTTGTTGTAGATGAAGAATTATTTTATTATGTTTTGGAGTAAAGCAGAGAATTTTCAAGTAGACGAAGACATCAAGTTGTTGTAGATGAAGAATTATTTTATTATGTTTTGGAGTAAAGCAGAGAATTTTCAAGTAGACGAAGACATCAAGTTGTTGTAGATGAAGAATTATTTTATTATGTTTTGGAGTAAAGCAGATAATTTTCAAGTAGACGAAGACATCAAGTTGTTGTAGATGAAGAATTATTTTATTATGTTTTGGAGTAAAGCAGAGAATTTTCAAGTAGACGAAGACATCAAGTTGTTGTAGATGAAGAATTATTTTATTATGTTTTGGAGTAAAGCAGAGAATTTTCAAGTAAACGAAGACATCAAGTTGTTGTAGATGAAGAATTATTTTATTATGTTTTGGAGTAAAGCAGAGAATTTTCAAGTAGACGAAGACATCAAGTTGTTGTAGATGAAGAATTATTTTATTATGTTTTGGAGTAAAGCAGAGAATTTTCAAGTAGACGAAGACATCAAGTTGTTGTAGATGAAGAATTATTTTATTATGTTTTGGAGTAAAGCAGAGAATTTTTAAGTAGACGAAGACATCAAGTTGTTGTAGATGAAGAATTATTTTATTATGTTTTGGAGTAAAGCAGATAATTTTCAAGTAGACGAAGACATCAAGTTGTTGTAGATGAAGAATTATTTTATTATGTTTTGGAGTAAAGCAGAGAATTTTCAAGTAGACGAAGACATCAAGTTGTTGTAGATGAAGAATTATTTTATTATGTTTTGGAGTAAAGCAGAGAATTTTTAAGTAAACGAAGACATCAAGTTGTTGTAGATGAAGAATTATTTTATTATGTTTTGGAGTAAAGCAGAGAATTTTCAAGTAAACGAAGACATCAAGTTGTTGTAGATGAAGAATTATTTTATTATGTTTTGGAGTAAAGCAGAGAATTTTCAAGTAAACGAAGACATCAAGTTGTTGTAGATGAAGAATTATTTTATTATGTTTTGGAGTAAAGCAGAGAATTTTCAAGTAAACGAAGACATCAAGTTGTTGTAGATGAAGAATTATTTTATTATGTTTTGGAGTAAAGCAGAGAATTTTCAAGTAGACGAAGACATCAAGTTGTTGTAGATGAAGAATTATTTTATTATGTTTTGGAGTAAAGCAGAGAATTTTCAAGTAGACGAAGACATCAAGTTGTTGTAGATGAAGAATTATTTTATTATGTTTTGGAGTAAAGCAGAGAATTTTTAAGTAGACGAAGACATCAAGTTGTTGTAGATGAAGAATTATTTTATTATGTTTTGGAGTAAAGCAGATAATTTTCAAGTAGACGAAGACATCAAGTTGTTGTAGATGAAGAATTATTTTATTATGTTTTGGAGTAAAGCAGAGAATTTTCAAGTAGACGAAGACATCAAGTTGTTGTAGATGAAGAATTATTTTATTATGTTTTGGAGTAAAGCAGAGAATTTTTAAGTAAACGAAGACATCAAGTTGTTGTAGATGAAGAATTATTTTATTATGTTTTGGAGTAAAGCAGAGAATTTTCAAGTAAACGAAGACATCAAGTTGTTGTAGATGAAGAATTATTTTATTATGTTTTGGAGTAAAGCAGAGAATTTTCAAGTAAACGAAGACATCAAGTTGTTGTAGATGAAGAATTATTTTATTATGTTTTGGAGTAAAGCAGAGAATTTTCAAGTAAACGAAGACATCAAGTTGTTGTAGATGAAGAATTATTTTATTATGTTTTGGAGTAAAGCAGAGAATTTTCAAGTAGACGAAGACATCAAGTTGTTGTAGATGAAGAATTATTTTATTATGTTTTGGAGTAAAGCAGAGAATTTTCAAGTAAACGAAGACATCAAGTTGTTGTAGATGAAGAATTATTTTATTATGTTTTGGAGTAAAGCAGAGAATTTTCAAGTAAACGAAGACATCAAGTTGTTGTAGATGAAGAATTATTTTATTATGTTTTGGAGTAAAGCAGAGAATTTTCAAGTAGACGAAGACATCAAGTTGTTGTAGATGAAGAATTATTTTATTATGTTTTGGAGTAAAGCAGAGAATTTTCAAGTAGACGAAGACATCAAGTTGTTGTAGATGAAGAATTATTTTATTATGTTTTGGAGTAAAGCAGAGAATTTTCAAGTAAACGAAGACATCAAGTTGTTGTAGATGAAGAATTATTTTATTATGTTTTGGAGTAAAGCAGAGAATTTTCAAGTAGACGAAGACATCATTTTGTTGTAGATGAAGAATTATTTTATTATGTTTTGGAGTAAAGCAGAGAATTTTCAAGTAAACGAAGACATTAAGTTGTTGTAGATGAAGAATTATTTTATTATGTTTTGGAGTAAAGCAGAGAATTTTCAAGTAGACGAAGACATCAAGTTGTTGTAGATGAAGAATTATTTTATTATGTTTTGGAGTAAAGCAGAGAATTTTCAAGTAAACGAAGACATCAAGTTGTTGTAGATGAAGAATTATTTTATTATGTTTTGGAGTAAAGCAGAGAATTTTCAAGTAAACGAAGACATCAAGTTGTTGTAGATGAAGAATTATTTTATTATGTTTTGGAGTAAAGCAGAGAATCTTCAAGTAGACGAAGACATCAAGTTGTTGTAGATGAAGAATTATTTTATTATGTTTTGGAGTAAAGCAGAGAATTTTCAAGTAGACGAAGACATCAAGTTGTTGTAGATGAAGAATTATTTTATTATGTTTTGGAGTAAAGCAGAGAATTTTCAAGTAGACGAAGACATCAAGTTGTTGTAGATGAAGAATTATTTTATTATGTTTTGGAGTAAAGCAGAGAATTTTCGGCCGTATCTGAAAATAATGCTGCAATCATATTTTTTCCTTTCATTTTTTCCTTTCCATATTTTTCCTTATTTTGTACAGAAAGGTCAGACTTTTTCACTCGTTCACTTCCAATGAATTTCCCTGTGGCATGTTCAAATGTAATTATAGAGAAAAGATTAAAAGCAAAAAATAAAAAAAATATTACATTTTTGTGTTGTATAACATGGACAGACAAAACACGGACGAAGACGGACAGAACATATGGACGAACACGGGCAGACAAAAAACTGACGGACTCGGACAGAAAACACGGGCGGACTCGGACGGACACAGACAGACAAAACACTGACGAACTCGGACAGTTTTGACAAAACACGGACGGACACAGACAAACGGACGAACTCAGACAGACAAAGAACACACACATTGGACAGAAAAAAAAGTAAATGCTCACAAAATTGAAGAAAAATAATCTACTGCGCTTATAGTCTTAAGGCACAAATCAGAAATAGAGAGAAAAATAAGA